TACTTTAAAACATATCTTCCTATTAATTTCAATAATACTTACTGAAACATTTAGTCTCTCAAGTATATGAACCTGGCTGCTTTCCGACTCAGTAGATGTCTCAGTGCTTTGCAAGCGTCTGGGCTACAAGGTAACCCAATTGTACTCAGGGATCCCCCAGGGGAGTCCTGCCTGCTGTGGCGTCTATTTTCACTCATGGAAGGAACCAGTACTATGTAGCATTTGAGGTATGGCCCAGGTTACAAACAGTTTAATCTTGAAGCAGTGAGGAAAAAAGGATTAAAACAAAAGACCCTAGAGGCAAAGACACAAGCTAAGTGGTAGAAAATAAAAATTTGATCTTAGCCGTTGAATTTCGAATGCTGTCGGAGCTTAAATATGGACGTGTTTCACGAGCGGTTAGAAAGCTGGACCTGAAGTTCCAATGAGATGCTCTGAGTGAACAGGAGTCATGAGGACAAGGACACGCGAGAAACTTATCTCAGGCCAAATGTGAAATGAAAAGGTAAGCAAGGACACGTCCTGAGGGAATGCTTATGGTTGGGGACACGTGATGGAGCAAGAAGTAGTAAGAGACTCTAGCAGAAACGCAAGCACCATCAGAACAGGGATGTGCTTCATTCACTGCTATATCCCCAATTACCTAGAAACTACCTGGGGGCCTAAGAGGTGCTCGGTAACTATCAGCTGAACAAACAAAGAGAGAGGCAGCAAGCCAACAGCATAAAGAAATGACAAAGGGTGTCAAGGAAGGATGAGTCGACCTTGTCCAAGATTGCAAAATGAGAATTGAAAAAGGGCCCTTGGACATGGATATTTGGAGTCTGTCACTGGAAATCTCTGTGAGAAGAGTTTCAGTGAAATGGAAGGGCAGAAGCTGACAACTACACATGCTGCTTTTGAGACATTTGGTGATAGAAAGAAAGAGGAAATTGCATAGCTCGAAGAGAAAACTGAGTCAGAAGATGATTTTAGTATGCTTGCAAGCTTAGAGCCAAGAGCAAGTAGAAAGGAAAAAGCTAAAAGCAGAGAAGGAAACAAGAAGTTTGACGGTGAAGAATCCAAGCATGAGACAAAAATGTGGGGGAAATCAAGGGCATCTATAGAATGGTTAAGCCTTAATAAGTAGACAGGACAATTCTTACATATCCCAAATTGTAAAACTGTAACTAGCATTCCAATAGTTAAGATGAGCTCTTAAAATTTTGCTTAGAACTACCTCAAACTGATTTCCCGAAGGAACTAAATTCAGTTTCTCAATCAACAAGCAAAAAATTATTAGACTGAGTCCAACCAACCACAAAAATAAGATTCTTTCAAAGGCCAGAAACATTTGAACTCAATATTGAAACACAGGCCAAACAGTGTTGCAAATTGCCTAAAATGAATCATGCTCATTTGTCTAGGCCCCACAACATTCACAAGACAGAAAATAGCAGATTTCCTTTGCCTGTGATCCCTGACACTACGTTGTTGCAGAGCTGCCAATATCCCAAATACTAAATACGTCACAGCAGGAAAGTATCAGAATCTAAAAAACAGCCTGAGGTTGCCGCCCATTTTACTATCAAACCACAAAGTCTAAAAACTGAAGGCCTCCATTCAAGGCCAATATATTTTATCAGAATCTAGGAAGACCAGTAGAAAGCCACGACTGATGACATTTTCACATTTCCAAGCCGTCTGCTTCACCCACCACCTCTGCCCAGCTGCAGAAACGCTCAGTGTGGATGCCTGACAGCAAAACAGGAGAACAGAAGAGAAATGAGAAATCCCCCACTCCTGTTTTGTCTCCCTTCTGAAGTTTGAGTTAATCCATAAATAATACTAATAAGCTCTGCTTTATCCATTAGTGTACCCTTTGAAATTGAGGCTGTTGCCCCAGCTGGGTGGCTCCGTTGGCTGGAGCATCGTCCCATACACCAAAAGGTCCCAGGTTCAATCCCCAGTCAGGGCCCATACCTAAGTTGCAGGTTTGAGCCCCTAGTCAGGGATCATGAGGAAGGAAATCAATCGATGTTTCTCTCTCCCTTTCTCTCTCTGTCTCTCACCCTCTCCTTCCCCTCCCTCTAAAAAATCAATAGAACATACCCTTGGGTGAGGATTGAATAAATAAATAGCAAATAAATAAACAAACAAAACTGAGGCTGTTGTTGGAGCACATCACCAACAGCTTTGCTTTGACCTGCATATTACTTTGTCAGCATTTTCTTTTTACTCTGTTTACAAGAACAAGATAACATAAAAAGACAATGATTTATTTCCAGAAAGAATCAATGCTTATAAGCGTTTAAAAAAAAAAAAAAAGCAGGCTGTTACTCAGCCTCCTGACAGGCATCCATCACAGGCAGGAAAAGCCAAGGCTGACACTGGGTTTCTGTTCTGAGCCGGCACCCAGGGCGCTTTTACTTTTCTGCATGGCTGCGCTTTAGGTTTCCTCACACATGCGTTCCAGGCCAAAGGTCTGCCTTTTTATTCACCAACGTTCTCCTCTAGACTCCTTGAATTTTCCCATCAGCTTGTCTCTATTCTCATACACTGTGCCTTTGTTCCTGCTGTTCACTCTTCACAGACAGGATGAGGCCTGCGCCCACCACCTCCACCAAAATGTGAGCCTCTACAAGGCTCATTCAAACTCCACCCCCTTCAGGAAGTATTTCTTCTGCGTGCTGCTCTGTGAGTTTGATTCCCCAGCCTTCTAAAGATACTAATCCTATCAGAGCAGGACCCACCCTCATGACCTAACTTCACCTTAATTACTTCCAAACAGGCTCATCTCCACATTCAACCACAGTTGAGGGGGTGAAGGGCTTCAACATATGAATTTTGTAAGCACACAAATATTAAATAGATAACATCCTCCTATTTCATAGATCAACCTAAATATTACCTACTCTGTGAACTGCCCAGAGTTAAGTACGTCTTTCTCCTGTCCATAGCATGTTGTGGGAAAAACATAACAAATCTGTGTGACCTACATGTATGCTTCTTGCTGTTTCTGACTATCCACATACACTTGAAAAGAAAATGATAGATGAAGGTTCTATATATGTTCAATAGAATACATGTACATTTGTAGTGCTCAAATCTATACTCTTACTAATTGCGATCTTAATTTCTGAATCTTCCTTTATGACTGTAGATTTTCTATTTCTCCTTATAATTCTATCAATTTTTGCTTTGAATATATTGTGTTAAACGCACAGAGGTTAAGGACTGCCAAGTTTTCCTCGAAAATACACTATTCTTTTTACCATTAGGTAATGATACTCATTTTGCTAATTAGGATTACAAACTTAAAGCTTATTTTGTCTTACATTAATTTCATAATACTAATTGTTTACTTTTTGACTACTATTTTCTTGATATATTCTCTTTTATTCCTTTTTCATTTAACATTTCTGTGTCAATGTATTTTAGGTATATCATTCATACGCAGAGTATGTGTGAATTTTTCAGTCCAATCTGAGAATTGCTATCTTTAAAGTGGCAAGTTGGGTCCATATGCTTCTACTGTAAGGATATATTTGTACTCATGCCTACCATATTATTTTGCAATCTTTATTTACCGAAATTTCCTGCTCCTTCTTTTGTCTCCTTACCTGCCATTTATTGGAATGTTTGAATTTCATTCAATAACATAGGAATAGCATTGCAGTGAAAGTGGTACAGACAATAAGGAGATGCACTTTCTGCAGGAATTTTAAAAATTATAACAAAATGAACTGAAGATGAGTCTGCTTTATATAATCACTATTTGCTGACAATTCTAAAAATGTCAGTTTAGAAATTTGTGTTTTGTTGTGCTTGTTATTGGTGCAAAGTTTTAACAATATATGTAAGCTTTGAATTAGCATATTTTTACCTTTTAATATTGTATTCAACGTGAATCCCAGTTATACAGTCTATACCACATACATGCACATATGTACTCAACTACACACGTTTTCAGATGTTTTTAACGGTTCGAAATCATTCAGGCTTACTTCAAGGGTAATTCCATATCTCCAATCCCTGTTGTATCACAAATTTCTGCATTTCAACAGCAGATTCAGATTCAAAACAAAGATTATTAAGACAAAGACAAAATTTGAGTCTCTTCCATTTTGTTAGTTTTTGACTACCAGGGTTAAAAACAAAAAATGGCAGGCTAGGTAGGCAGAAGAATTAAAAAGGACAACATGTGACCATCTCAACAGATTTCATCAAAAACATTCTAAAGCAACAAATCATTTAATGACAATATTTGACATTATTTAGACATTTTCTCTGATTTCTACATATGAAAACTTTAATAGTTTTTACCAAATATATTAGAAAATGATGAATTTTCTATAAAATAGATTTTAGTAAAAATATTTCAAAAACATTTCAATATTTCTTGTCACACAGAAGAGGCTGGTATTAAAACACGATCCACTCCAGGTGTCAAACACACAAAGTATACCAATGGTTTTCTTTATTTTATGTTTTCTCCTTTTACTATTTTTGAGGTTATACAATTTATTTCTATTCTTTGAGCAACTCTTGAAGTTATAACTTACACTCTTGACTTAAACTAATCTTAAGTTAACTAATATCTCTGACCTCCTCCAAATAATACAAGTTCTTCAAAATGAATGAACTGATTTCACTATCACATCTTCCACATTATTTTTCACAAAAATTGGAGATCCACTTTGTTTTTAAATCCCACAAATTCATCATGACCATTATTTACACTCAATACTTATGAAGATTTAATAAAATACTTATTAATCAATTTCCTCTTTTCTAACACATTGCTTCCGGCTCTCCACGCATTATGTCTGAATTCTATTTCTCCATTCCTGAAGTTCTGCCTTTAGAGTTGAAATTTCAGCAAGGGCTTTCAGTAGTAAACTCAGATTTTCTTCTTTTCAATTTGCTCTCACTCATGAATAACAGTCTAGCAGGAAACTGACGTCTATACTACTCTAAACTACTCCGCCAAATTCTTAACTTACCACTCAAATACTTACTTCCTCCTCTTCTGAATCACCATCGCCATCATCATCTTCCTCCTCTTCTTCACGAAGAGGCGGTGGCAAACGACCAATAGCTTCCTCCATCTGATTCACCGGCTCTTCCGCCATGTTCGGGGGCAAAGGCGGGCCAATGAGCTCCTCATCATCAGAAGACTCGGAACTCTCTTCACTTTCACTGCTGCTTGTGGCACTGAAAACACAGAGCAGAACCTTCACCTCTGATGCGACAAGGAACACGCTCTAGGGACAATAGCGAGTCCTCAGGAAACCCCGACTCTTCTTCTAGCACTGAGTGTTAAGGTTGCTTTTACCTTAAGAAAGTAGAAAACTTACTTTATCCACTTATCTTACCTATGCATAAAATAAAGTCAGAAATAAAGGTCACAACAATTGTATGTTAGAGGCCCATTAGATCTTCTTCCCTCATGAAGGGCCAGCAGAACAACTGGAATGTGTAAGAAAAACCATAAAAATACAACATCAACAAAAGAAAATCACTGTTTATCACATTTGAATCCAATCACTGTTTGCCAAAAGAGGAAATAAAGCCAATCATGTAAGAAAGTTAACAGTACTCCCAAAATGTTACAATATAATTTCTGAAAAACAAACTACTTCTCAGTTCTAATTCAAGTTTGCTGAGCTGCTAAAGTGTTAAGCGCAGCATTCCTGGATCCTAAATCTACCTTATCCTAGGAGCATCACATTGATTCTTGACTGTCTGTCCAGTATGCCTGACAACCAACACGCACTCTCATTGCGGCCTTTACCAAACACCTCTAAGCCTTCGGGAAGCAGCCAACCCCCTACCCCCAACCCCTCTGCTTCCTACCCCAGCCCAATGAGTTGAAAACAGCATTTCTAATTGTATCGATTAATCTATCAAACATTTTATAGGTCTCAAAGGTGTCACTGCCTTCTAATTAAGTATTTCCAGTGTGCGAGCTCAAGAAAACAGAAAAATTCCTGTCCTTTGTGTTCAATGCTGTGTCTCTAGCCTAGACGATGCCTGACATATCTATTGAAGGAAAAATGGGATTTTAATCTAGGCTCACTATGGAAAGGAATACATTCTCACATACATGCTAACCTTACACAAAGGTAGGAGCTGGCAAGTCTCCACAGAGAGAGTTTCCTTTCGCTGTTGCAATGGTCCAGCCTACTCCCTGGGCTCCAGCCCCGCAGGGGAAGCGTGGGGGCCTTTGCACTTGCAGTTCCCTCTGCTGGGCCTGACGCAACACGGCCTCTTGCCCTTCACTGAGGTCTCCTGAAATGGCACCTCCTCAAACAGGCCGTCAGGGTCCCCCCACCTTTCTCAACTTTCAGACACATCCATATCCCTCACTCTTGCCTTAATTGTCCTACTGCGATTACCTTTATTACACACATGCTAAGTTATCTCATTCAACTGGTTATTTAGCTGTTTATAACCTATTATCCCTCCCCTCAAATAACTCCACAGCAATATGAGCTCAGACATTTCATCTGACATGCTAATTGCTGTATCCCAAAAATTATATAGAGATGGTCAACAAATATAATAATTAATAGTTGAATGACTGGCTAAATTTATATTAAAGTATTCACACTCTCAAATTTTCTCCCTCATGATTAAGTCACAAATTTCCAACAGTGCTGGTTTAGAGGTCAGAGTTTCTCAATGCAGAATGATTCAGGCCACAGAGGACTGTACACAGGAATGATAACCCTTAGAACCTATGCTTTAACTGAGTCAGTTCAGAAGCCAGCACTGAACTGAGAACCAAATGGAGCCATGCTATCTCACGGCTGACTGCAGGCCTTGCCCCCACCTGGGACTGGATGTACACAAGCCAGAAACAAACAATCTTTAACATCAATTCAATATTCTGAAAAACAAAGTCCATGAAATGAAGTCCAGAAATGTCCCTCACAGAAAACACAACACATTCCATGTTTAAATATGTCTTTGATTCAATGCAGTGCCCAAATATGAACCGGAGCCCGAGAAACAATATATATTAGATGAAAAGACAGTTAAGAATCAAATCCTAATATTTTTCTCAACTTACTTTTTAAAAGACAGCTTAGCTAAGCATTAAAAAGATGTATAGTTGTACAATTTCAATTTGGGAAGTAAATTCATAAGCAAATTCATTTTTTTTCTGGTACTAATTTCTTAAAAGGAAATGCAAACATCTAAGTCCTGCCTTACAAATTTGGAGTTCAGCAACATTTCTCTCCTATCTTGTACTTAAATTTCATAGAAAAAAAGACATATTTCTTCCCAGTATTTGATTTTTGAATGGCAACTTACATCACCATAATATTTCTTTAAAGCCAATAATAGTGATAGTCTTAGATGGTTGTCTTTCTATACACCAAAATTTAACATTGTAGGTTTTTAAATAATTATTTGTATGTTTTGTGAAACAGGCTCTCAATACACTAAAAGGGGAAAAAAATTAAAACACATAGTACTGAAAAAAATACAGCCAAGAGAGCAGAAGAGCAAGCCCAAAACTGAATTCAAATTATTTTAAGAAATAATTTATATATAACAAGTCTGCATTCAAAAATGGTGAAGAAAATGACCACCATGTAATAAATGCGAAACATATGTAAAATGAAATAGAAAGCTATCTTAGAATCATACCTTACATTACACATCAGAATCACCAAGATGAGCCAAAAGTCGAATCAAGGAAAGTTGGACCCCTGCTTCATACCATATACAAAGGTAACTCAAAAGGGATCAATGACCAAAATGTAAAAGATAAAACTATAAAACTCTTAGAAGAAAACAGAGGAAATCTTCATGACCTATAATTTGGCAATGGATTCTTAGCTATGACACCAAAAGCATGAGCAACAAAAAGAAAAAAATAGGTAAATTGTCTTTAAAATCTTTAGTATGATATTAAGACAATGAAAAGACAATTTACAGAATGGGAGAAAATATTTGCAAGTAATTTATCTGGTAAGGGTGTTATAACAAAGATATATAAAAGACTCCTACAACTCAAAACAGACAAATAACTCAATTTAAAAATGGGCCAAAGAAGATACATAAATAGCCAATATGTACATCAAAAGATGCTCAACATCAGTAGATATTAGCGAAATAATAATAGAAACCACAATGAGATACCACTTCATACCTACTAGGAGGACTGAAATAAAAACAAAGCAAAATGGAAAATAACAAGTGATAACAAGAATGTGGAGAAGCTGTAATCTTCATATATTGTTGGTAGGGGTGTAAAATGCTGGAGTCACTATGGAAAACTGTTTAGCATTTCCTCAAAAAGCTAAATATAAAATTACTATATGACCTATTAATTCCACCCCGATGTACATTTACCCAAAAGAATTTAAAGCAAAGTCTCAAACATATCCTTGTATGCCATTGTTCATATTTGTAAGACCTAAAGGTGAAAACAACCGAAGTATTATTCAACAAATGAATGAATAAACTAATTATAATTTACATATACAATAGAATACATCTATCTAGAATAGGCAAATACATGGAGAAAGTATCAATAGCTAGGAGATGATTAAGGACTAAGGGGAGAGGAAAGTGGGGAGTTTTGCTTAATAGTTCTAGTTTCTGCTTGGAGTAGTGAATATTTTTGGAAACAGTGGTGGTGGTTACACAACACTATACATGTTATTAATGCCTCTGAAACTGTACACCTTAAAATGCTTAAAGTGGTAAATTTTATGTTATAAAATCTTTATTATGATAAAAAAAAATCAAGAAAGTAGTAACAGGATACACTTCAGAAATATGGCCCTGGGCCGGGCGGCTCCGTTGGCTGGAGCACCAGTCCATGCCCCAAAAGGCTGCCGGTTCCATCCCCGGTCAGGGCGCACACCTAAGCTATGGGTCTGCTTCCCTGTCGGGGCACATGCAGGAGGCAACCCGCTGACGTTTCTCTTTCACATCCATGTCTCGCTCTCTCTCCCCCTTCCTCTCTGAAATCAATGAACATATCCTCAGGTAAGGATTCAAAAATAAAATAGAATTAAATTAAATTAAAATGTATACTGGTTTACAAAATTCCCAAAGAATTCCCTTTAATTGGGTTTTGACCCCAGGGTCAGCATGTCCCTTTCCAGGACCAGTCAACAGAGCTACTCACAGTGCTAAAGTGTAATGTTTGTGGTGACCAGCAAGAAGTTGCCCCTTGTTTTGTATCTCTGGGAAAACTAAAATCTGATAGCACTTACTTGCTTGATCTCTACTTGGAACTGAAGGCCTTTGAAAATAGAAGAAAAAATAATCTTCTTAGAACAAAATAACTGTCTTTATCCTGATTTTTTTCTTTCTTTCCAACAGATAACTACCTAGTTTCATTATATAATGTAAAACCAAATACCTAAATAGGAGATAAACACAACTATAAAGAATTCCTAGCCTGTTGTGTTCTTAATAAATCAGAACCTGTCTTAATAGCAGTCTTTATTTCTTAAAATATAGAATATTGCCTGGCCCAGAGACAAACTACATAATTGTTTCTTAAAAACAATTCATAGGCAGGCAAAAAATCAGCATTGTTTTGTTTGAGAACATTATCAATTCAACCATTGATTTCAATGGCCTTGTAATAGTTACTTGATTTCCACACATTTTCATGTGTTTCCTTAATATGAAAAATGTTAGGGGCATTGGTTTCCTAATGCTTTGCATAGCAGTAAAAGTTGCAGTACAGTCAAGATAACTAACTAAATACTCTGTTGCAGCCAGGTATTTCCCACAATTCCCAGAACATGACCCTGTTCCCAGCTCAAAGTCACTGTTCTCTAAACTGGAGTTCTGGGGTGAGACAATCACAAAAAAACACTGAATTGAGCTCTAAGCTTTCTAGGAACTACGACAAAAAGGAAAGAGTGTTCGATGTATCTAAAAAGAAAAAGATGTTAGAGAGGGATTTTTTTTTTTTTGTCTTGGCATTAAATTTAAAAAATAACTTGTTCCCTGACTGGTGTGGCTCAGTTGCTTGGGCGTTGTCCCACAGAGCGAAAGGTGGCCCATCTGATTCCAGGTCAGGGCACATCCCTGGGCTGCAGGCTTGGTCCCCAGTCAGGACGTGCATGAGACAAGTGATCAATGTTTTTTGGCCTCTCTCTTTTGCCTCTAAAATAAATAAGTAGCTTATTATATGCACTCTAGAAAACATCTTGGATTGCATCTTGTAGTAAATAAGGATGTTCTTAATATAGCCACTTATGTAAACAGACTTCAAAGTTTTAATTAATTTTAGCCACGGTGAAGTTATTTTATAGTAAAATGATTCAATGTACAGAAGCAGTTTAAAGAATCCCATAATAGATAACAGGAAATGAAATGTACATGAAATAAAAGGTTTGACAAGTCTATTCACCTGCAATGGATTATTCACTTGAGATCTTCTGAAACTGAGTTAAATTTCCATTCTTTGATCAATGAAATAGAGTAAGGTTCTATAATATTTTTCTTGATGATTCTTTCTTTACATTTTATAATTATAATGTCAGTAACAGTTTTGTAATTTTAATCACTAATGACAAAAGTAATGCTTGGGTTTTGTCATATCAATAAAATGTATCCCCAAGACGAATAGTGCATGTTCTTTATCTTTGGGTTTTAAAGTTCATATTGCAGCAAAATACAGAATCGACAGAACTATTGAAACTTTTAAAATTTTCAATTGATGGCATCATTGTGTTTGTAAAACCCTTGGCAATGAAATGAGTTCCCAAAAAAACAACTGTAGTTTTTAACATCTTCAATCATCCCAAAAGAAACTGAAGGTGAATATTAAATACTCCTATGAAAAGGAGGAGTTTTTCTCTATCACATTGAAACCTGGGGATATTGTGAAATTGACAACTGGGGCACTGTGAGATTGACAACGGATATGCAACTATAGATAATGCAAAACTAAACTGTCTGACTAGTATATAAAAGAAGGACACTCTACAACTGGGGGTGGCAAACTTTGGCCTGGTACTTCTTTCTTTCTTTCTCTCTCTCTCTTTCTTTTTTATTGACCGATTTTGGAGAAAGTAAAGAAGAAGGGGAAGAGAGAGGAAGGGGGAAGAAAGGGAAAAAGATCAATTTTGTCGCTCTACCAATTCATGCATTCATTGATTGAGTATTGTTATGCACCCTGGAAGGAACTGAACCTGCAACTTTGGCAAAGCAGGATGATGCTCCAAACAATTGAGCCACCTGGTCAGGGCCCTGGTGCTTGTTTCTTAATGATTTACTGGAATACAGTCAAGCCCACTTGTTTATGTATTGTCTATGGCAGAGTTGAGTAGCTGAGAAAAAGACCGTAGGGACCCAATGCCTAAAATGTTTACTATTGTCCTTCATAGAAAGTTTGCTGACCCCTGCTCTCTCCTAACGTATACAAAGATGTGTGTGTGCCTCAGAGCCTAAGCAGGCGTAAGGGTTGCACTGTTAGGAAAACAGGCTTGTAGTTCCATGTAGACGTTCCTCCTGACAAAAATATGATAGAAAAGACCAATTTTATAAAAGAGTGAGAGTCTTTTCAAGAGCCTAGACTGAGATACCAAAGATCTGTACAAGGACACAGATGAACAGAAAAAGAAATGACATACTATAAATAGTATTTTGTATATTCAGGTATTTTATGGGTGGTTTTCTTTTGTTTGTTTTTTTTACCATGAACAGAAGAAATGTCAGTCCCATGGTAGACTTTGCCACAAATAGTTTCATGGAACCAATCCGACACTTACAAACATACCTTAACAACATTAGATTTCTTGTATTATTTCATCCAGATTTGACATCTATATACCTATTTATGTCTTTCTAAATTCTTAATAATTAAGTTACATAGTATTGCCCTGGCTGGTGCAGCTCAGTGGATTGAGCACCAGCCTGAGAACCAAGAGGTCACAGGTTCAATTCCTAGTCAGGGCACGAGCCTTGTTGGGGGCTGAGTCCCCAGTATAGGGCATGCGAGAGGTAATCATACATTGATGTTTCTCTCCCTCTCTTCTCCCTCCTTTCCTCTCCCTCTAAAAAATAATTTTTTTAAACTGCTTCAATGAGTTATAACATATATTAAAATTAATAATAATAATTAAGTTATATAGTATTAAATTTCATTTTAAAGTAATTTTAATGGCTGCTTTTGCCTATGACCCAGTAAACTTTATAATGTGCCTCCATTTATATTCTCTTTTTTTTACTCCTTACCCAAGGATATATTTATTGATTTTCAAGAGAGAAAGAGACACATGGATGTGAGAGAGGAGCATCGATCAGTTGCCTCCCATACGTGCTCCAACCGGGGACTGAACCGCACCTAGGCATGTGCCCCAATGAGGAATCAAACCCAAAACTTTTGGCGTATGGTATAACATTCCAACCTACTGTGCAACCCGGCCACGGCCGTTTATATTCTTTCTCATTATCTATATCAGTAAAGGGTCCCTCCAAATAAGGTTATCATGAATGCAGAGTTTGGAAAAGGGGACAAAAGATATGTGTCAAAATACACATGACAAAAATTATAAACTTAGCAACATCTTTCCCACTTTATATAAAGTTATGCTCTGCAGTCAAAAGTCATAGATTTCAACACTACCATCTGGAATACTTAGGAAACCTCAACCGATGACACAACATGAAAACAACATGACACAGGACCTTCTCATGACCCTAGGGATATGCTACAATACACTATTACCCGAACTGGGAGAAATTATGACAGCCTTTTCATACCATAAACTTTGCCTAACATGTTATGAACACCTAGAAAATGATGGTGTAATAGAATCCTTTTGAGAAAGTCACGTACCTGGAAGATGATTTAGAGCAATCTCTGACCACATTTGAGCCTGAAGATGTTGGTTCAATATCTTCACTTTGCCTTCTTAATTCTTTCTCTCTGTTCATTTCTTCCTCTTTTTCTCTTGCTTCTGAGAAGATAAAAATAAATTTCCAATAGTCAGACTTCAAAATCTGTCAGTTTTAAAAAGGATGACAATGAACAGTCATAAAGATGTAATTTAGAGTGTTACCACTAACAGCAAAAAATTATCACCCCAAATGCCCAACACTAGGAAAATTAAATTACTGTATATCAATAACATAAAATAAAACCAATAAAAGAAGCAACAGAAAATGTACACATCTGGGAAAATATTAATAGATATGTTAAAGAAAATTAGATGTGAATAGAATATGAACAGGATTGCACTATGTAAAAAAATGTGGAGGGTGATAAGTAAAACAAGTATTCAAATGTAAGATTTGACATAATTTCACTTTTTTCAATTATAACTTACATTCATTATTATTTTGTATTAGTTGTAGGTGTACAGCAGTGGTTAGACAATCATAAACTTTACAAAGTGTCCCCCCCCCAGATATTTCAAGTACCCACCTGGCACCACACATAATTAAGACAAGGTTATTGGCTGTATTTCCTATGTTGTACTTTACATCCCCACATAACTTCAGTTTTTATTTTTAATGTTTTAAACTATAAATTCAGCACTTTGTTCATTTCTGAACTCTTACACTGGATTTTTGGTAAGAAAAAGTTTCAATTACATTAGGTTGGTAGAGCTGTTTACCTTGGAAAGACCAAAATGTATCCAATGAAACCTAATCTTTTTCCTCTGATAATCCCACTCTACAATGGGGGACACACAGGAAGCAAATGAGTTACATGAGTAGTATGGTTCTCAATCACTACCATCCTCAATAACCGGAGATAATCTTTAACATTTTTTCCTTAATAATGAAAAACAATACACTGAAAATTAAACAGTATCAAAGGACACTTATTAATTAAAATGTTGTACTCTTCAGGGTCCAGTTCCTTGCTAGGATATAAAGGATGAGAAATAAGGAGACAACCAGTAAATGTCAACAAGTAGCCAGCCTTATATTTTAAACATGGAAGATAAAACCCCTCAGGGAGACATTAGGCCAATGCTATAGCTCCAGTTCCTGTTTTCTGTGTTTGGTTATTTGGGCTCTCGGATAGTCTGAGATAGGTTAGGAGTCAACAGTTCCACTCTGACAGCGGGAGGAGCTTAAAAAAAAAATAAACAGAAGGATAATGCCCAAATTTAAGAATGGGCCTGCTTGGCTCCTACCATCACCCACGTCTCCAGTCAATCCCTCCCCACCCTTCAGGGCAGGGGCGAGGTTGGGGGGCAATGGGACACCATGTTGGGACACCTGGACTCTAGGCTCAGGTCTTAGGGACAGCACTGACCCCGATCGGGAAATGACACCAAGGTACATATTGTCAGGCACCAGCCCCTTTTTCCCTTGCTTAGAAAGCCAGTTCTCCCCAGGTAGGGGGCAGCACCGAGCTTCAGGAGATGCTGGGCCCCTCCCAGACCAGAAGGGGTGACTACCTATTCCCAGTCGACCATATTGCTCTTGCCGATGGCCGCTTTTGGAATTCATGTGCCACACTATAACTACGCAGTAAGATGTGAAGGGAAGTCAACGAAAGGTACACTGGAGAAAGGTTTTCTCCTCCTAAAAAGTGAGATACAAAACAGTTTCCTTCCGGCCTGTGGAAGTGGTCAGCTCCATGTAACAAATTATCTGCTGATAATTTTGGGTCATGAAGACAGTCAGCTTAGGACAAGTGACACCCTAAAACTGGCAAAGCAGGAAAGGGAGAAAAAACCTTCATGTCCTTTGTGCCAAAATGCAGATGGAAGAGCCCCATTCCAGATTTTGTGTCATGGGTGGTAATATGTTTTTCCTATTTGAGCCATTTTTAATTTGCTCTTCTGTGACTTCTTTGCCAAGTAACCAAAAGCATCTTAATATCAGCCTTCATTTAACAACAACTGCAGCTAATACTTACATAAGGCTTACTATGTACCAGATATTGGTTGAAGCGCTCCCTATACTCTTTAGTCTTCGGTTTACAGTTAAAGAATCTAAGGCATATAGAAGTGAAGTAGGAGCTACTAAGTCCCAGCGCCGTGAACTCAGGTTCCACAACTAGATCATCCTTTGAGGTGATTAGACTTTCTAGAGACTAAAACTGTAACCCACCCCACCGTTCTTTTAACAGTGTTTCTGTAAATGATGACCTGTTTACTAATACATGACTGCGGATAAACAGCCTGTTCACTTAAGAATCCTAGGAGCTCACTTCAAAAGCAGCAGACCCCAACCCTCAGACATCCGGCTCTGGGAGATTTGTTGACCTTCCGTCAGTCATCTGAACAGGTTGTGTTGACCTGCTGGAGTCCCCTCAGTAGAGAACTCTCAACTCTCTCCTTTTGAGTCCTTCGTTCTGTTCCGTTTTTTTTTCTTCTTCCTCCTCCCCCCTTATAAAAACCCCTGCCTGTGTCAAATTCAGATGGTCTTTGTGATGAGAGTTCACCATCTTCTCAAGCTGCTGACTGCTGAACAAACCACATTTTCCTTCCACCAGCCCGTCTCTTGATTATTGGCTTTTGAGCAGCAGGCAGCCGGAGCTGAGTTTGGTATCAATATTACCCAACAAGCACCACCTGTCTTACAGAACAGTGAGCCTGAAGCTTTACCGCTTGCTTTCACCAGACTCCTTGGGAATGGTGACCCACCCACCTGTCTGACTAGAATTCCTGAGCAGTGGATAAATACGCCAAACTATTGTCCCTTCCTGGTGAAGGATCTAACTTTTTCATTTAAAATTTTAACTTTTTTTTTTTTTTTTTACCCTAGCAAGACTTTTCTATTCCAAGAGATGCTATTATCTGCTGCTTCATGAAAGCACAGTGGGAAATGGGGCTGTGGCTGGAAGAAAAGAAGACATTGCAGGAAAAAAATTTTTTTTTCCTTATTGTTGGCTGAGGACAAAAACCAAACAAAAGGAATCCAGCCCTGGCTGGTGTGGCTCAGTGGACTGAGTGCCAGCTGCAAACTGAAAGGTCACCAGTTCGATTCCCAGGCAGAGCATATGCCTCGGTTGCGGGCTGGGTTCCCACTTTGGGGCGTGTGAGAAGCAATGAGGCAACTGATCCATGTTTCTCTCCCTCTCCTTCTCCCTCCTTCCCCCTCTAAAAATAAATAGTATCTTAAAAAAAAAAAAAAAGAATTCAATATACTGTAAATCCCTGACAGAGGGGATTGTTTTGTGCATTTTCACCAAATGTGGAAACAAGCACACTGTAAACACTATAAAAATGTCTTCCCTTAACAAAAGTGAATTAATGTACTCTCCAACACAGTTTATTCTTCCAAGCCCCTCATTTTATTGTTACCTCTTTACTTTCAAATAGCTACCAATTCTGGATAACCATTTCTGCCAAAGCACCTCATACGTATGTGACTTTCATCTATGTTAACTGTAAACTATTCAAAACTACCAGGTCCTATCTGGCCTGATTCACATAAATTGCAGATACAAATGAATGTAATTTGGCACCTGAAAATCTCATAGCCAATCATTATAGTAACCACTTAACTTAAAGAAATCAGAGTTAAGATAAACAAATGTAAACGAAGTAAAGTCACTATAAATATAAGCTAGAATAAATATTTTCTAATCATGATTTTTTTTACCTAAAATTAAACATTTTAGATATTAAATGTTTACCTAAATGTTATTCTAATTTAAACAATTCACTAGCCTACCAATTTCAGGCAAATTTAATGTTAAATGTTTAATGTCAAAATACTAGAAAGTAAAAAAATAACTTCAACTACATTAGTTAATATTTCTCCATTAACTATTTAGAAATGTAACTACTGTGTACAAAGCTGTTATTCATTGTAAATATCAAAAGGAATAAGGTTATTGTCCTCAATACATGAACAATATTAAAATAAATTTGTAACATTTTTAAGACAAAAACAAAGGCAGGAGACAATTATGATGTCCAGAAAGGTTTTGAGATAATACCTAGAAAAGGTAAAATATGAGTGAGGCCTTAGAGGATGGGATAGAATATAACTAGATAGGAAGGCTATTTCAAGTTAAAAATTAAAGCTTTTTTAATTTCTAAAATTTCTGGGATAATTCTTCTTTTCAGGATCATGAACTCACCCATGGAAATTATATTCAATCCTACCTTAACCATTTTTTTCAAGGAAGCTTCTGCCAGCATAAAACAGAGGTTCATAATCTCTCCAAAGCGTGGCCATGCCCGAAATATAAATCTGAATTAAAAAAAATTTTCTTCCTCATTTACTTCCTCATAGTATAACAGTGCTAAAAAGGGTCTCTTACACATCCTTAGATATCCTTATATATCCTTAGATACACTTATAGCTTTTGGGAACATTAAAAAAATTTAAAAATAACTTGTACAGTATTTCCTGATATTTTACGTATTTTATTGAGATTTTAAGGTAGTTCATCCTTTCTACTAAAGCACTGAAACCGAAACAGTTCATATTCATATGCAGAGACAATTAAACTTGCTCTTAAAGGGGACCAAAGGGATTAAGAAGTACAAATTGGAAGTTACAAACAGTCACAGGGATGTAAAGTACAGCATAGGGGATACAGTCAATGATACTGTATAACTATATTATGCCAAGTGGGTACTAGACTTATGGGGGGAAATCATTTCATAAGTTATATAAAGATCTAACAACTATTCTATACACTTAAGACTAATATAAAATAATATTCAATGTCAACTGAAATTGAAAAATTTAAATTAAAAACAATTTTTTAAGGTCAGACACAAAAATGGGGGTGGGGGGGACTTGTAGCTAAAGTTCCTATTTTCTTCCGGGTGGATGTCAATGCCTGGGGAAAGACTCCAGTATCAATCATGAGATAAATAATGCCCATATCAGAATTCTTGAACTTTTAAGAAAGTAAGTCAAACTTTAGATTTGTACGTTTAGAGATGAGGGATGGAAACAGCAGTCCAAGTCCAAGGATGTAATACTAAATCAAGAAAACTCAACACGCTTAATTTATCCACTAATATCACAGAAGAAAAAAGTCTTAAGATAATTTTTCAAAATTTAAAAAATCTAATGACTCCATTGAAATTCCTCTTAATTGCTAAATGCAAACATGTTTTTACTTAAAAAAAAAAAGACAGGAATTCAAAATGACACTTATAAAGTATTTTATTATTCAAAAGGGACTGAACCCAACCTCTTAGTCCCCTCAAGAACCTTCTAAGGGAAGTCTTATCATGTCCACCTAGCAGATGGGGAAATTAAGGGTCTAAAATTTGAAAATCCACCCAATGTTACTCATCTAATAGAATGTGGGGCTGACCCCCAAACCTAGGTCCTCCAATTTCAAATCCCAAGCTCTTTATAATGGATCATGCCATTTAAAACATTCTCCCAAGTGGAATTTGGTTTTTGAGCATAATTACAGTTCTATATATTCAATCCAATCTTCTCAAATATATATTGAGAACCTATGGTGCAAGGCATGGTACTGGATACTATAAAACTTAAGTAGTTGAATAAGATAATCCCTGTTCAAAGTATTTTGTATCACATAGTAAAACAAGTAAATACAAGAAAGCTGTAATAGTATAAACATTTACTAAACTGTTTAAAAATTAAATGTTTAATGCATCTATAAATATGCTTCAGACAGTATGCCCTTGTATCCTGTTTGATGATATTAAATGATTTAATATTTTTAGGTGTGGTAATAGTATTCTAGTTTTCTAAGACTTATCAGGGTGATCACTGCGTAAGTTGTAGAAATATGTACTCACATATTGTACACCTGAAATTAATATAATATTGTATGTCAGTTATAACTGAATTTTTAAATGTTTTTTCAAAGAATCCTTATCTCTTAAAAACACAAACTAAAATATTTATAGGTGAAACATAAATATCTAAAATTTGTGTCAAAATAATCTGAGAGGGGCAGTGAATGGAAATAACACTAGCCATGAATTATTATAATAAACCTGTGAGAGGTACATGTGATTTCTTACTGTACTTTTGTGTTTGAAATTTCACGTAATAAATAGATCTCTGGAGAGCTATTTTTTCACAATTTAAAAAAAAATGTTATTCTGCTCTAAATTTATTATTTTGAAAACAAGTACCAGAGCAACATTCACTTCAATTTTTCCTGGAGTCCTGCCTGACTTCTATTCCCTTCTGCTCTACCAGGTCACACCTGTCTCCTCTCTAGTGTGAGAATGATCTGAAACGGATCCAAAGGAAGCAGTAAAGGAGTCAGTGTCCTTCCAAGACCCTGAGGTGGCACCTAGAATTGGCAACCACCTAGTATCAATCCAGACAGTCTGGAAATTAAGGCCTTCATTAAACGTCTGATACAGCTCAGTACTGCAGGGGTTCAACAGCAGCAGCCACATTCACTGTATGTCTCAATTTTCTATACTGTCTGGGTCAACAGTCAGTGGTGTACACAGCTCTGAGAGCCACCTCTCGCCCAGCCTTCCAAATACTGGTTCCGCTGTAAGCAGGAAAGAAAAAGTGAAATGAGAATCAGATAGAGGCGGAGGGAGAGGTAATAGAGAAACTGCTATTCTGATTCTTATATATGAAGATTTTAGCACTCAGACTTACTTACTTTATTTAGATGCAACTTTTACCATGTTTTTTTTTTAAAAAAACAACCAAAACCCTCTGCTTCCCAAGGAAGCAGTACATACGGTCTTTTAATAATTTTGAATTTTTTTCAGTCTTACGATAACTGTCAATATCTTTGTGTAAGAGGTACACAATATCTAAACCAATAAAACAGCAGATAATTGAACTTACCCAAAGTTTTCCGACTTCTTTCCACAGCTGTTCTTCGAGTTTGTTCAAACATTGCTTCCAAATCAAATGTGCGAGCTTTTTTCCCTAAAATACGAATAAGTGGCACACTGAGACTTTCTTGCATTAAACTGGCCAAACTTTAGGTACTCAATCAATATTTACTGACTGATCAATAAGCACTTCATCTTCTGATTGATAGCATGGCTACAAGACAACCATGAAGTATCAAGGAAGAAAGTATACTTCCCAGTGAATTCTGAATGACAATCTCATCACCAAGTGCCATTAACCAGCCATCTTTTCCATCCTCCTCTAATTCATCAAGACACTACCCCTTAAAATTACAACATTGGTATGACAGGCAGAATGGAGAATGTACACAACCTATCTCTGGAGCCCAGGAATATGTAACACTACATGGCAAGAGGGACTTCATGGATGTGATTGAAGTCATGGACTTCAAAGAGATTATCCTGGCTGGCCCAATCTATTTTCAGGAGCCCTTACAAGTGAAGAAGCAGAACAAGCATGGCAGAAGACAGAGCTCTGAAGTGTGAGGACTGAAGGTACAGCAGTCTGTTTGAAGATGAATGGCGCACGATGACAAGTAATGCAGATACATTAAGGAGCTAGAAGACTCACACTTACAACTAGCAAGGAAATGGGGACTCAGCTCTAAAACCATAAAGAACCAAATTCTGAATGACCTTGCAAGCAATTTTATATGTTTTCTTTTAAAAAAAAATACTACCTACTCTGTTGGTAAGAATATGGTAAAAATGGCATTCTTAACATTGAAACAACCTTTCTGAAGGTCATTATAATAATATGTACCAAAAAGTTTTTAAAAATACATACCCAAATTTTTTGGTTACATTTTATGATTTTTATTAAAGTAGTCTGTCTAGAAATCTACCCTATGGAATTACACATAAAATTCCTTTTACAAAAGAAGGTAATTATTTACAAAAATGTTCATTTTAGCATTGACAAAAGTTAGAATTTGAAACAGTGCAGGAGAAAGTTAAAAATATCACAAATTATGGCACTTCTATTAAATGGGCTGCTATTCATCCATTAAAAAAATCAGGGTTTGGAAGAGCATTTTATAATATGGGGAAATCCTCACAATACAAAGAATTAAATTATGTATAATTAATAAAAATATAAAAGTATACATACACATCTTAATTTTAATACACACCAAAAAGGACTGAAAACCTAACTTTTAAGCCATGATTTTGAAATCATGTGATTATGAATTATTTTACTTCCTTCTGATTTATTGTGTTCCTTATATTTTCAATATTTTCTGCTAGTTTTGTGTGTTATTTCTGAAGTTAGGGAGAAAGCTATTTTAAGGAACTGATACAAAAACAAGTACTCCGTATATTCCCACGTTAGACTATAGTACTTTTGTAGACATGAGCACCTAGAAAATAGTAAAAAATGTGACTCAAGACGTCATCAAAATAGATGAATGTATGAAACAATGAACACAAGAAGTGGACACATTAGCTTGACATCTGTCCTCTCCAAGATGCAAAAGAAATGGGGTGAGAAAACAATTTACGTTTATTCTTACTAACAGCAATATTTTCAACAGCTGACTACATGTCTGTTTGAGACCTTTTTACCTTATAGAGAGCGTGCCAAGACTATGCTCCACAAGAGAGACTAAAGTGACGATTCTGGAGATGAAAGACTTGCATCAAAAAGAACTTAAAACCATTATAACAAGACTTAACGGCCCATTTGTTGCCAAAAGGGCCACAGTCACGGGACGCAAATAAAGAACTCCCTCCACCAATCAACACCCTCCACCATGTGGGTCACAAGGCAACCTTTCTTTCTCACGAAGCTTCCCTAAATGTCACCTGAGCTACTCCCAATAAATAGGCAGGAGTCAGAAAACTGATGAGGAGGAGGGTGTCGAGAAACTGCAAGATATACACTGAAGAGCAAAAGCTTTTAGGACTTGGCACACTGGAAGGTGCGGAGCAGAGGTGACAGCTCGGCCTCCCCTCAACCTGCGGATCTTAAAACCCCTGCAAAAGGAGACGGCGTTACGCCTTGTGTAGTCACTCACCGAACCCCGTGAAGCCCATGGTGACCGCCAGCTGCGGGTCCGGTCCCGATGCGTCGGAGCCTGTCACTGGGAGAAAAGAGAGGGTGGTCTCGTTAGTGCGGCGCCCCCGGAGTCCCCAGCCCGATCCACCCTCCCCGGGCTCGCCTCACGGAACCCACCTTCGTTGGGCCCCGGGCGCTCCATCGCCAGCTTCCCGTAGCAGAACGATCATCAGCTGCAGCCCAAACTCCTGCAGCAGGTTCACAGCAAACCCAGCAGGAAGTAATCCCTTCGAGCGTCTCGTGGCCAAGGCCAAGAGCGGCGCCTTCCGCCGAGGGACGGCGGCCTCCCAAGCAGCGCCGCCCTAGCGGACTGGCGGGGCACGAACCCCCGGGTCGGAACTTCCCTGGGGGTTTTCTAAGACCCTTTTAATTTTAACAGGTGTTTACCGCTAAGGTGATAATCCTCACAGAATTATAAAGAAAAGCCAACAAACTCCTTTTCTTTGCGTTTTCTCCTCTATGGGGAAACACCCACAGTTTTCGACCTTTTGAGCATATTTTTAAAAAGAAATGCGTATTTACTACACGACTGACAGGTACTCAGAAGCCAAAAAGACCTGAGTAGCTAAAAGAGTTGTCAGAAAATGCTCTAAAGCTTATACTCTTAGCCCAAACCTCCCTCTATTAGCCATGTTTATTGAGTTTCCTAGTCCACAGCAAGAGCTCCAAAGTACTTTATTCAGTTCATTGTATTTCACTTTTCATTGTTTTTTAAATATTTTAATATTTTTTATTTCATTTTTATCCATTACCATTTATCCCTCCATACCCTCTTCCACCTCTTCCCCTTCCATTGGTTTTAATTACTTTACAACACTACTCCTTGTCTGTGCTATGAACTAATAGCATATTATTTATCTACATATTTCTGAATTCTAGCAAAACCATGTATAAGCCTAATGATGTTGCTGAATGCAAATATTTTCATAAAGTTACTCATTAGTTGCACTACTACCTTAATCTATCTCAAATTATGCTCTATCTATAAACCCTTAATGATAATGATCAAGATTAATAGTGTTTCCGTTGCTCTTAAAATTAAATGCAAAATTAGCATGGCCTCCAAAGCGTTCCCAAGTTCTGTTTCTATTTTCCACCATGCAAGTCTTCTTTTAGTTTTACAGGCAGCCTTAGAACATGATGTCCTGAAGCTCTGACTCTTCACCAATTCCAATGCCCTTCATTTAACCCCACTCATCCTTCAGGCCTCAAAATAATCTCCAATCCTCTTGTAAGCATTTACAGACCTTTTCAGGCCTCCAAGTTAGGCCCTTTTTACCTATCAAGTAACCTAATCCTCAGTGGGCACTGAGTACTTGCTAAATGAATAAAAGAATAAATGGCCTTGGCCAGTGTGGTTCAGTTGGTTGAGCCTTGTCCCTAAACCAGTAGGTCTCGGGTTGGATTCCAGAGTAGGGTAGATGCCTAGGTTGCAGGTTAAGTCCCCTGTCGGGGCAAGTAAGAGAAGTAATTAACTGATGGACGTTTCTCTCTCACATCAATGTTTCACTCCCTCTCATTCTCCCTCCCTTTCCCTCTTTCTAAGATCAAGAAGCATGTCCTTGGGTGAGGATTTTTTTAAAAAAGGAACGAGAGAATAAGAGAAAGTAGGTGTGAAGGCAAAACTACTCTCCTTACATGCAGGATGTTATATAACTTGGCACAACCAAGTTTGGTTTCATCCCAACAGATTATTGAACTGCAAGTGTCAAAAGTCACTGTGAACTTCAATTAATAATGGTAGTTCATTGCACCTTTAACAAAAGAAGTTATTAATGCCACTGGTCTCTTTTCTGAGTACAGATGAACAGGCCTTAGGGAGTAGATTAGAACTTCATGAGTACAGCTCATTGTGTAACCCATACCCCAGGCTTATAAATAGCTATTTCATTTCCTCACTAGTCAAGAACCTATAAAGGTTTGAGATGATATGTAAACTTTTTTTTTCTTTTGAGGCTTTAATTTCAGAGCAATTTAAGTCTCAGAGAAAAATAGAACAAAAAGTACAGAGATTTCCTATACGCTCCCTCCCGACACACATGCATAACCTCCCCCATTATCAACATCACCCACCAGAGTGATTCATTTGTTACAGTTGATGAACCTTCATTAACATAATCACCTTAAGTACACAGGTTTCAATCATGGTGTTGTACATTTTATGGGTTAGTATAAGCGTATCATGACCGGTATCCATCTTTATGGCATGACTTAGAATATTTTTACTGTACTAAAAATTGTGCTCTGCCTATTCATCCCTCTTCCCTACCACCGCCAAACCCCTGGTATTTGTACTGTCTCCATAGTTTTGCCTTCTCCCGAGTGTCATTGAGTTGGCATCATTCAGCCGTATGTAGCCTTTTCAGGTTGGCAGCTCTCAGTAACATACATTTAAAGTTCCTCCCTATCTTTTTATGACTTAACACTCTTTTTTTTTTAAGCACTGAATTATATTCCATTGTCTGAATGTACTACAATTTACTTATCCATTCAACCTTGAAAGGACATCTTGGTTGCCTCCACGTTTTGGGGATATGAATAGAGCTGCAATAAACATCAGTGTGCCAGTTTTAGTGTGGACATGTTTTCAGCTCCATTGGGCAAATATCAAGGAGCAAGATTACTGAATCATATGTTAAGAGTGTGTTTGGTTTTTAAGAAACTGAAAAACTGTCCTCCAAAGTGGCTGTACCATTTTACATTCCTGTCAGCAATGAATGAGGGTTCCTATTCTTCTATAGCCTCACCAGCATTTGGTGTTGTCAATGTTCCAGATTTTGGCCCTTGTACTATGTGTATCTCATTGTTGCTTTAATTTGCATTTCCCTAATGATATATAATGTGGAACATCTTTTCACATGCTAAATTGCCATCTGTATATCTTGTCAGGGTGTCTGTTTAAAGTCTTTGGCCCATTTTTAAATCAGATTGCTTTCTTATTGAGTTATTTGCATGTTTTGGCTTGCAGTTCTCTGTCAGATGTTTTTCCAAATATTTTCTGTCAGTCAGTGGCTTGTCTTCCCATTCTCTTGACATTGTCTTTCACAGAGCATAACTTTTTAATTTAAATCTAGCTTATTATTTCTTTAATTGGATCATGTCTTTGGTGTTGTATCCAAAAAAAAATCAATTTACCCAAGGTCATCTAGGTTTTTCCCTTATGTTCCAGAGATTTTATAGTTTTGCATTTTACATTTGGGTCTGTGATCTATTTTCAGTTAATTTTTGTGAAGGGTATATGGTTTGTGTCAAGATTTTTTTTTTTTTTTTTTTGCATGTGGATGTCCAGCTGTCCTCGCACCATTTGTTGAGGAGATTCTATTGTAGCTATACAAAATTTTAAAATACTAAGTGCTAGAAGGAAAAAAATGGAAAATGGAAATCATCAACCAGTGGGAGTAGATAATCATACTTATTACAGGAAGATGTACTTGTTTTTGATAAAAGAGGGAATAATTGCACTAGTGGAGACTTTCACATTAAAGTATTTTTTCCTGGTTTTCTTGCATGAATATCATAAATGTTAAGTGTGCCAGGGCAGATTTGAATTTTTGAAGCAAAATAAATTTACTCACAAATTTGAAAGGCAAGATACCACGGTTTTCTGAAAATGAGTTCCAGAACTATAATGTCTGGGTTCAAAACCTGGTTCTGATAATATGTTTTAGGTGAGTTACTTAGACTCTCCGTGCTTGAAATACCTCATCTGTTAAGTGGCTTTAAGACTTAAATTAAGCTGGGGTGGGCGGGGGAGGGTAGAGAGATTGAGCAAAAAGGAAAAAAGGACTCATGGACATGGACAACAGTGTGGTGATTGCTCGGGGGGAGGGGCGGAATAAGGGGACTAAATGGTAAATCGAAAAAATAAAGGTTAAATTAAAAATAAATTTAAAATTTTAAAGAAGAATTAAATGAAGACTGCTGTTTGAAGAAGTATGGTTTGATTTCACCACTCAAGTTGCCTTCTGTATGAAATGAAGCTTCTCTCTCCTCTCCTTGCTCATTTCTCCTCTCATTCTAGTGCAGTTAATACCTACCACATACAAAAATTATGGTGATACACTTTATTGCCTTTCTTGTGTGTCCCTGCATGAAGCACCTTGAGGACAGGAATGCTGTGTCCGTTTGATATTCCTGGCACCAGGCACAATGCCTGACACAATTAAGAATTCAGTTTCTGCAGAAGGACTGGGTGATCTGTTGGGTGACTTTTATACCAGTCCCTCTGCTATGAATTAGAATCACCTGCTTCCTCTCGGTAATGCAAGGCAGCTGCCCCCAGCACGCAGCGAAAGATTCCTTAAACACACAATTGTTCACAGTAACGGGCCACAAAGTCAAACGGCAGCGACGCACAAATAGAAGAGCCTGATTGATTTTGATTTACACTGATTTACACTGAATTTTGGTTCCTATGTAAACTGTTTCTGACACCAAGCTACCGACTGGCCACTCTCAGAAGCTATTGGGGGCACCAAAGAAACTAACGCGCATACTCTTAAACAGCTGCAGTTGGACCCGCGAAGCTCGAGACACCACGATCCAGCGCGCGCTAAACCCATCCGAACCGGAGCCACCGGCGCGGTCACCGGCGCAGTCACCAGGGCGGCACCCTACGCCCGGGTCCCACTCACCCGGTCCCTGCCCCTCCTCCCTTCCTATTCCTCTCCCCCCGACCCCGCCCCGCCCCAACCCGACCTCGGCCCGTCCCTCTCCTTCCCGGTCCCTTCCCCTTTTCCCTTCCTTCCTCCCTTCCCCAGTTAACCTCCTCCAATTTCCACCTTCCCCGTCCCCAAATCCAGCCATCCCTTCAAAACTGCCTCCCTCTCACTCGCTCCACCCCTAATGCCCGCCTCTCGAAACAACCTCCTCCTTCAAACTCCCAAAACGGAGCCTTCAAATTCCCCACCTGAGGAACCGGAAGTGCGTCATGCCCGGGCGCCGAGGCGCTGGTTTGGCGCGCGCGCCCTGAGCCTTGGGTCTGAGCTAGCCTTCTGGATTTTTGCTCATTTCTCCTTGGCTTTTGACTTTTTCCGAACACTACTGTCTTCGATTTTCAAGATGCCGTCTTCTTTACTGGGCTCGGCGATGCCGGCCTCCACGTCGGCCGCAGCCCTGCAGGAAGCGCTGGAAAATGCGGGGCGGCTCATCGATCGTCAGTTGCAAGAAGACCGCATGTACCCGGACCTTTCCGAGCTGCTCATGGTGTCTGCCCCAAGTGAGTGATCGGTGCCCATTTGGTGACTGATTTCTCAGTCAAAAAGAGTCTCCCCGAACTCCCTTATTAGGTCCTTATCCCTAGGATGGACCCGGCGAAGGCATCTTGAAATTTAGGACACTTGCTTGCTACATTTTGAAGAGCGAAAAAGAGCCTATGTTCAATTGTTTTTTCCTGACCTTATTTCATTGCAGACAGTTGAGAGGGTAGAGTGAAAAGAGGCAAAGACCCAACTTTAACGGGCTTCTCGCTGCCTCCGAGTGTTCATGGCTAAGGCCGGGCGAGGAGGATCGCCTGATCCAAGTCTCATCCTTGTTAATTACTCCTATTAATATTAGAGTAAATCGGAAGAGCAAACGAAGGGAATTTGGAAATTTACTGTATTCTCTCAAAGATATGCGTTTATTATGTGTAGAGTTAGTGTCATGTGAAGTGCTGAAAAGTGTTAAAAAGAACTGCCAGTGAAATGACGAGAACAGAAATCGGCAATGATGATGGACAGGGAGGGCAGGGCAGAGTATGTGCCAACGACACCAGGGGCTGGAAGATGCTTTGTTTAACGGTTTTGAAATATGGCTCCTCGAGGCATATGGAATTACATGAGTTGCTAGAAAAATAGTGACTCCTTTGTGAGATGGAAATTGGAGAAAAGCAGAGAAGTGCAAGTGAGATAGAGACAAGATTTTTTGTAAGCAAGAACCAAGATTAAATAACCAGGATAACCTGTACAATGTAATCCGAAAAGACACCTCTGGCGATTTATAAAAATTGTTGGGTGGATTTGTAATTAGAGGAAAGACAAAAAACGTAGCAAAGGTAGTATTCGTTCCTGGCAGCTATTTACCAGTGGGCCTCTCTTGTGAGAACTGAGTGACCTGTTAGCAATTCTCTTGAACAATATTGCTCACTTGAACTCCTTAGGTTTGAAAGCAAGATATAAATATAGTCCATACTTTCTAGTCTTTCATCAGATCTGACCCTAATCCTCTCAGTCCACCTTTACACAAACCTCTCTCTTCAAACTAATCTCTTCCCCCTCTTTCACTCTATTCTCTGCCCCCTGTTACAGCCACACTGAATTTAACGTGTTTTCCATTGGGGGACCCCTCTTCAGGGTTTTATTTTACATGTATTCTTCATTGTTTCTGGAATGTTCTTTCCTCATTGACAAATGATTCTTCCAAACTCCCTTAAATATCTCTTTGTGAAGACTTTCCTAACTGTTCACATCTAAACCAGAGTTGTTAATTCTGCTGTTTGCATCCCCATTGCCATTGAACACATGCACTGTTCTATTAAAATATGTTTTAAGATTAAATGGGATGTCTGGGATTTGCTTCAGAAGATCCATTAGGGAAGGAGCAGGTAGTGATATAAATACAACATGATTGGCCGTGTTATTGGAAATTGTTGAAGTTGGGTAATCAGTACCTAGGCATTGATTGCAGCTTTCTCTCTAGTTCTGCATATTTTGAATTTCTATAATATATTAAAAAATTCTGTTACATGTAAGTTTTTCCCAACATCTTTGTACTTCAGAGAACCTGAAAAGGTGCCAGAGCTAAGTAGGTCATCAGATCTAAAGAGCATCGTGTTCACAGCTAGAAAGTGCAGGCTGAGGAGACCAGCCTGCTCCTGGCCTCAGTGTCCAGCTCCTAGGGCAACAGAAAGGTTGCCAGGTGAGACCCCTTTGTAGAGCAGTAAAACAGGGTTTCTGTGGTGTTTTCACTGTATTCATCTTGTTGGTCTTAGGAGGGAAATCTAATGGAAAAGGCATGGATTGTTTTGATCTATAAATGTTTAAGTGGGAAAGGAAATAGCTATTTTTTCTCCTGTCAATATTTTGCCCACAGTTGTTCGATCTAAGAATCACAAAGCAGGTATAGATATATCCCATTTCAGATTAGTAAAATAATAGAAAAATACTAGATTATTGAACTAATCACTTTGTTTTTTACGGAGTAAGTATCTGGGGAAGATAACCTTGTTAAGTTGCCCCCACCTTAACATTGGAATTCCTCAGGTCTCCTTTGCAGTGGGTCAGAATGACTTTCTTCTCTCTGTACCTCTAGAACCACCACGTGCACACTTTTGTTGTAGTGTGCAATGCTTCTGTATACCCAGTTGATGCCCAGTACATGATTAATTTTAATTAAATGTTTATTTTTTGGCAGATAATCCTACTGTTTCTGGCATGTCAGATATGGATTATCCACTACAAGGACCGGGTTTGCTGTCGGTGCCAAACCTTCCAGAGATCAGTTCCATCCGAAGAGTTCCTCTCCCACCTGAACTTGTTGAACAGTTTGGACGTATCCTATTGCATTTTATTTAGTGCTTTAAAAATGTTTTTAATTGGTAGTCTCATTTTTATAATTCCTGTTTTATGTTTAATGAGTGTTGTAAATAAGCTCATTTAAAGGTTTTATTTAAAATACATTTAAGTATATGGGTAGTCTACCATGTGCCCAAAAAATTTTATATCAAATTGAATGTAGAATATTGAGTCACATTTGAATTGTTTTGGGACACTGAGGAGAGTGAATTGTTTACAAGAAACTTTGCATTTTTTAATATTATTGCAAAGTATTACTTCCCAGTTAAGTGCTATATAAGAAAGTTTTTACTGCTACACTTTATTAGCTCAAAGACCCATGATTTTTACTCCCCCCCCCCATATTTTAATATTTTAAAACTGGGATGTGGCTCAAAATATGTTAAAAATAAACAAATATTGCTAGGTGTTTCTTTTTTCTCCCTTCCAAAAAGTTTTTGGTGTGATTTTACATTTACTTGTCTTAGAATTGAAGTTTCTTTGTGAATTTCATTTCTAAGGATCACAGTATGAATTTGTATATAAAGATAATAGAAATTGAAATGGTAATTCCATCTTTATAGATTGAGTAGCAAGAGGAGTTTTCTTACCTTTTAAAAAGACAGATTTTATCTGGTTTTCTTAACATGTGGCAAACTCTAGAAAAGGACTAGATTTTTTTTTTTTTGCTAAGATTTTATATCAATCTATAGCTCTCATAATGAAGACATCAAGATGCTATCTTAAAATTTAATGAGACTTTTAAAAGTATATTAATCTAGAATAAAAAAGGTTTCATATTTCAATACAATGATTTAGAAAAAGGAAATGGAAAAGTAGGGGAAATGCTTATGAAATACATAGAAAACCTAGTAAAATATGTTTTCTCTATAATTTTTGCTGTTTCTTTGAGACTTCGTAAAATAGTGTTATTAAATACATAATCCACCTTATTCCTTGCTTAGTTTCTTAATATTCTTCTTTAATCCTCTGATAATACTCTGTACTCTGCAAGAGACATTTCCTTTATGGAATTAATTTGTTTTCACAATTGTTTCATTGTCTTATAACTAACTATATAACATAAACCTTTGCCTATTTTTAAATTTCACTATTTGTAAAATAAGAGAAATGCATATTGTTACCTAACTGTAACTAGCATACCATGTGCTTTTTTTTAATCACTCTTGCTCCTACGCAATTGGAAAAACTGATTCAGTAAAACAGTTTTTTAACATCAAAGTTCAATGGTGTTATTCATAATGAGTATTCTTTTTAAAGTTAGTAATGGTAAATACACACACACACACACACACACACATACACACACAAAATACTTTTCCAGAAGAATATATTTCAAGTGGTCAGATAGCATTATTTAGAAATTAAAAATTATAAGTATTTCTATCATACACTGTGTGTCATTAACCTAATTGGAAATCAAAGTATTTTTACTTGCTCTTTCTATTAAAGAGTGGGCAGGTCATGATTTTTTAATCATAAATTTTATATCAAAGTCTTTCGAAACAAGTTTAAAATAGAGGCGGCTGAAACCTTTTTACCTTACATCCCCAAACCTCAGACATGCAGTGTAACTGCATGATGGGCGTGTTTCCTGCCATCAGCAGAGCTTGGCTCACAATCGACAGTGACATATTCATGTGGAACTATGAGGATGGGTATGCACTTGAGGCTGGCGTGCTTCAGCATGACTAGAATGTAGATTATCTTAATTGTACCTGGTATTCTGCTTATTCAGCCTTGCCTGGCTTGTCTTTCATTCACCTAACATCTAGGTCAGGGCTTCCCAGGGTGGGTGTCAATCACCAGGGGGAGTCTGGGATAGCAGTTCTGAATGAGGTTCCTGAGCGCACTTGTACCAAGCTCCCAGGGGATGCTGCCAGTCTAGGTACCACTCTGAGTGGCGCGGGTCTAGGTCCTGAGCTCTTTCTCCTTCACTAAAGAGTCCCTCAGTAATTCTTTGAAAGATGGTTTGGCAGTTTTAAAGACTTCTGTTTTCCTTGCATTTCTATGAAATGACTTAACTTTTATCATTCTGGGCTTGACCTGTGAGTAAATTAAATGTATATAATAGAGTCTGCATGAAGGCCAAAGGCATTTTGCTTAAATTTTATTGGTCTGGTGATCTCACGCTTGGCTTTTTGGAGGTAAATTTCATCTTACTTTTCAGTGCTTCATCATACTACCTTCAGGAGAGGTGTGGGGTAGGAATGCCGCGTTACTCTTGCCTCTGAGTAATTAATGCAGTTACTATGTACACACACACAAAACATTGTGTCACTGAATCAAAATTGACAGTGAGAACATAGAGTAAATGAAACCATTTTTGTTTGCTGATCTTAAAAATTAGACCAACCTTTTCATAGGTATTTTTATTATTGAAATGTTATATCATCGTAATAGCCATGATGTCTGCTGCTGATTGTTCTCCATGTACCCTGAACTTTGCCCCAGTTTGTTATATTACCATAACTATTCATTCTGATAAGAAAGAATAAAACCTCTATTTAGGCATGGATCCCTCAAGAAAACAAAATGCAGAAAGTTTTCAGTTCATTGAAAATTTTTGTATTTCCATTAGCATCTAACATTCATTTAACAAATACATTGAGTTTATTGTGTATTAGTTTTGTGCCAGAAACAGTACTAAATGGGATAAATATTAGTCTGCCAACATGGAACGGTCTAACTTTACTGTGTTTTCAAACTAGAACTCAATTAGAGAAAAATGACTTGAGCACTGTGCTTTTTGAAAAATATCCAGGCACAAGTACTGAGTATAAATCTTGAATTCACTAGTTCAGTCCTGCAAAACCTTAGGCTTAGCTTTAGTTATTCCTTTAGCTTCCTATTATAAATCCTAACTCCATCTGGACTATACAGTCTTGTGCGGTTCATTGTTCTCTGACCCTCAACTTTCCCAGTATCAGTCTTGTTTGGGAGGGGGCTGTCCGGGGTCTCAGAGGAGCCTGTGATGCCACAGCGGGAGAAATGGGAAACCTGGCCTACGTGCATGGCCATGGGGGTGTGTTTGGTTTTGTTTGCATGGCCCCTTTCTGGGCAACCAGAAGTTTTCTTCAAAGTCTGGATCAAATTTTTTTTCTTAGTATTTATCTTGCTCGGTGTTCTCTGTGCTTCTTAGATCTTTGTTAGGATGTTTTTTGTTATTTTTGGAAAGTTTTTCAACCACTACCTTCAAATACTTGTTCTGCCCTGTTCTCTCCCTCTTCCTTCCGAGGGTTCAGCTATGCTTTTGTTAGACTGCTGGGTGGTTGTACAGCAGACTGGGTGCTCTGCTCTGCCTTTGTTTCTCTGCTCTCTTTTCTCTTTTGGTTTCGATTTGGACAGTTTGTGTTAACTCGACTTCAGGTTCACTGATTCTTTTATGTGAGATCTCCTGAAAACTTCTTAAAAGACATTCTTTCTCTCTGCTGTGCCTTTTATTTCTAACATTTTCACTTATTTCTTTTCATTTTCATCTCTCTGCTGAAGTACCTTACCTGTTTATGTGTACTGCCCACCTTTTCCATTAAAGCCTGTACTAGGTTGATCATATTTGTTTCAAATTTCCCGTCTGCTGGTTCAGACGTTTGGTTTGTAGCCGAGTCTTGTGCTGTTGTTGATTGCTTTGTTTCTTAAGAGCAGGGCTTTGCTTCCCCTTGCTTTTTTGTGTCACGTTTTCTTACTAAAAGCCAGATCTCATATGTAGGATAGGATATTGGGTACTGAAGTAAATAGCACTTATCCTCAGAAATGGGCATGTGTCAGACATAGGATTTTACTCATATGCGGGGTATAAAACAAAAAGCAACAAACAAAACAAGCTCATAGGTACAACAGAACGGTGGGGGCAGGACAAAGAAGGGAAAGGGGGTCAAATATGTGGTCATGGAAGGAGACTCAACATTGGTGGAAAACACACAATAAAGTATACAGATGTATATTCTAAAATTATACAACTAAAATTTATATAATGTTATTAACCAATGTTACCCCAACACAGTTAGTTTAAAAAAATTTTAAGAAGGAAATGAGCATGTTTCTTCTTTTGCTAGAGCCTAGCAGGTAGGCCTTTATTTGGCGGGAGATGACCTTTACCAAGTCAGGAATTGAGCTGCGTTTGGTTGCGTTGTTCTTGCGTTACTCTCATTGGACCACAGGTTCCAAATTTCTTCAGAGTTACGTTGCACCTAGGGTACAGGTTGGGTTGCTCAATTTTCCTCTTTCACCTGCTTTTCTGGAAAAGTCCTCTCTACACTCCTGTCCCTGTCCCCACAGTAGATGCTGTTACTTGAGACTCGCAGCCTGTTGAGGGGGGCGAGTTTGGAATGCAGAGCAGCTTCCCTGTGTTCCTGGTTTGTGCGTGGCCTTGGGCAGGCCTCTGTGCCTGGGTCTTGGAACTGAAGCAGTTCGTTTGCTTACTTATTTTTTCATTATGTTCTATAGTCATGAAGAGCATTATAAGATAAAACCTTTTCTCTGTATATATAACCTGTTTTTTTTTCCAACTATTGACAGAGGGGACCTTGCCTATTTTGATGGACTTAGTGAGACTATTCTTGCCGTGGGGCTTGTGAAACCAAAAGCTGGTAAGAAATAAAAAAATACATAAGGATTAAGTTATGTTTGTATGTACACACACTTCAAATGTTTTAGGACTAAATGGCAACATGTTTTAAGTAGTTGAATTTCCTACTTTTATATGAATTTTGTTCAAAGTCCTTCTAATTAGAAATAATTAGGAATATTTAACAGTTTTTTCACTTCATAATGGTATAAATGAGTCTGCCTCTAAAATTGTTAAACTGTGTAGTTCTTGAATTTTATCTTGATTACATTTTGTTACTCCTGATTTTCCTGAAGTTTTTGGTATTATACATTTTTTTATCACTTAACTGTAAAAACCATTTTTGTCTCTGCATTTTTTTTTTTTTTTTAAGTTTTGATATCCCAGGAAAGTGAGAACACAGTTCAGAATAAATCTTAGAGGAGTCACAGGCATTGTTTAACCCGCAGTTTTAACCTCCTTATGCCAGGTCTTTTATCAGAGCTACTGACAAGTAGAATTGATTGATTTTAAATTAAAACACATCCCTTAAATGCATCTTCCTGCAAGAGGAAATAATAGACAAAATTCACTTGTTTGCAAGGCCTAAATAAAACTCTTTAAAGGTTACAGCTGTTTTGAAATTGTAAAAATTCAGTAAGTGCAAACATGCAGTTTTAATGTACTGTTCATATGATTACTTTGGAAATGTAGTTTCTTTACATAGACCCTTCAAAGCATTCTTTACTCTGATGTATGTATCTCTGTCTTATTGCTTCATTTAAAGTTATTTATATAAAAGTCAATAGCTGTTCCTGCCCCCTATTTAATAAATATAAATTATTCATCTAAAACAAATAGTAAACTTTTGTTTTACTTAAATGTAAATTTCATTGCAAAATTAAAATTATGTTGTAGTCTTTGATACCGCAACAAAGGTGTTATCTTTGATAATTAAATAATTCTGACTTGGTTGTCAACAAATGCTGAACATTCTGACTCTCAAACATGTGTTAATGTTAACAAAGTCCACATTTTACTTTGCCTTTTGCAAGGAAACATTTTTCAAGTTAAAGTCATTGCTTCCTAAGTCACTCAACCTTTGGGCAAAAGTCTGCTTTATATGTAAGCAACATTATGAAACCATGTTTCAATTTTATGATTGGATGAATAAAAGAAGAATTCTTCAGCATATTCTAGCATTTGCAGGCTTTTGCCTGCAGAGAAGTTAACAAGGTTTAATCACACTTTTTGAGTTCACGGTAGTATTTCTTGTGCATCGAAGAGAAGAATTTCTTACTGTTTTCCAGCTTCAGTCTCATCTTCCAGGGAGAGAACTTAGCTGAAACAGCTTGTTGCGTTGGAGTAGTTTTTATAATAGTGATGATATGATTGTGAGTCGAACAATTCACCTTATCTGTATGACCCAGTGAAGCTTCCACCAGAGTCAAACCATGTGTAAACTTCCTCCACGTTGTTCTTGAAATGATCTTTCCTTGCCTCTAACAGAGTAAATCTGCCTCAGGCTTAGTCAACTACTTATGAAAGTCTGAACTTCCCAATAGGAGAGAATTACTTTATATTTTTCTAGTTCTGGACAAAAATTTCTTGAAACAGCACCAATTTATACTGTCATTGAAATTGTGTTTGAAGTTGAAGGGTACTGTTGGCTAAGTTTTTGGTGCCCAAGCATGGCTTTGTAAAAATCAATGATTTAGGGTTCTGTTGAGTTTCTTCATCAAAACAACAAGAACAGCTGTGTTGCAAAGGATCGTAAGTGTTCATATTTGTACACAAGTATTTAACTTTTTATTGGGCAGTGAAGCTTTGAACCATTCCAGAGACCTGAAGAACTATGGTAGTTTCTTAAACATGCTAATAAGATGTGCACTTTATAAATAAGTGAGTTGACTAAAGTGAGAAATGTCAGCCATTGACCCTGTTGCATCCTGAAGGGAAGGGGCTTTCATTTTTACTATCACAAAATACTTGAGAGATTTTTTTTCATACGACTTTATTTATTTAGAGAGAGGGAAAGGGAGAAAGACGGAGAGAGAAACACTGATGTGAACATCTGTCAGCTGCCTCTCACATGCACCCCAACCAGGGACCAGGCCTGCAACCCAGGCATGTGCCCACTGGGACTTGAACCGGTGACCTTTAGCTTTGTAGGATAAGGCCCAACTAACAGAGCCATGCTGGCTAGGGCCATGAGAGAGTTTGGAGAAGATGGAATCACTTGACAAGACACCGTTTTAACTTATCTTCCTTCACGTCAAGCCATAAGCCTGCTCAACCATCCATAAAAGTCCCAACTTCCCTAAGGTTTCTGTAATCTAAGGTGACTCCTTTGGCATACCATTGTGACTGAATACTTTGAGATATGGCTTATTAAGGAAAATCCAAGTTTTCATAAAATTCAAGATTTTTAGATCGACTTCCGAAATAGCAGGTGTATTTTGAGGTCAATTAAGGTGGAAGGTCTGTGCCTCCTGCTTCATGGTCTTAAATCTTGACACACAGTGCTGGCTTTTAAGGCCCTTGGTGTTTGTTAGTGGCAGTAAAGGCAAGTCATGATAGATGCTTTGTTCTGTTTTCTGTGACATGTAACACCCTTAGGTTGGCCAAATGTATGTGCATAAAGAGATGTCCATAATCATAACATATTATTTCCTTTTATTCCTGTCAGTGAGACACTATTTTTGGACATCATAACATAATGACAGTGATAATTATACATAGCATCTCAAGGCACAACACACTTTTCAAGTTAAACAATACCTTAGCGTGCATTAACAAAAAATATTCTGCTTTGTAATGTCCCTGTGAAACTAAATTATCTGGTTTTGATATATAAATGCATTTCAGCAGCTCACTGACATATCAACTCATTTCTGTTTTTATGAATTTGACTACTCCAGGCACCTGATGTAAGTGGGATTATGTGGTATTTTCTTTCCTGTCACTGATTTATTTCACTTAGCATGATGCCCTCACGGTTCATCCCTGTTATAGTATGTCAGAATTTGTTTTAAAGGCCAAATAATATTCTATTGTATGTTTATACTGCATTTTGTTTATTAGTTCATCCATTGACGGACACTTGGGTGGCTTCCACCTTTTGGATACTATGAATTATGCTGCTGTTAATGTGGGCGTACAAATAAAAGTCTTTACATATTAATAAACTACTTTGTAATACAACACTTACTTTAAATGGCAGTAAATACTGAAGTGTTCATTTTTTTAAGGTGGTTCTTTTCTGCTATTTGCTTTTTAATTTTTTTTATTGATTGATTTTTATTTTATTTTATTTTTTAGAGAGAAGGGAAGGAGGGAAAGAAAGAGTGACAGAGACAGACATTGATTAGTCGTTCCGCTTATTTATGCATTCATTGGTTGATGCTTATGTGTGCCCTGAGGTCAGACCTTCGGCCGTGGTTTATCGGGACAATACCGTAACCAGTAGAGCTACCCAGACAGGGCTGCTGCTTACTCTCTTAAATGATCTTAGGTAGTAATATTTTAACATCAAGAGGAACTAAACTGGGTTCAGACTTTTCATATACTATTGAATCGCTGGCTCATTGTAATGGTAAAACCTTATTCTATAAATGCTTAAATACTGGATATTATTGGAAAAATAATCCCAAACCCATGTATTTTATTTTAGGCATCTTTCAGCCTCATGTACGACACCTCCTGGTTTTGGCAACCCCTGTGGATATAGTGATTCTTGGACTCAGCTATGCTAATTTGCAAACAGGTATAGCAACCCACATGTTGTGTTTTTAAAAAAGTTGGTGAAATTAATGTTACAAGTAACAACTAATTTTTTTCACTAAGTTAACTTTCCAGGCTCTTTGCTCATAGAAAAATCATATTTCCCTATAGAAATGGTATCTTTCAGGGAAGTAGCTCCACCAAAAAAGTATTTTGGATGTATTTACTGTACTAATGTGCATGTTTTAAATGTACAATGTAACGGGAGGGTAGTAAAAGAAGAATAGTCTCTGCTAGTGAGATTTTAATAATGCCTTCAATTTCTTTGTTTCTAAATTGTTGAATGGCCATTTTAACATGGAACACTGAAATATAATACATTATTCTTTACCTTGAAGTAAGAAGCCCTCAGTTAATCACAGTCACATTCAGTGGTTTCTTGTGCATTGTTCTGGGTGAAATAGTGTTGAATCAGTGACCCAAAATAATTACCATTACTATCACATTCTTAGGCTCATTTTGAAAATTAAAAAACTTGAGTTTTTTGATTGATATGTTATAATGCTACATATTATATATGATAATTATATATTTCATATATATACTATAGGTTCTATTTCACTTGAATTATTAAATTTTGAGTTTTTATAGATGTTATAGATGCTCATGTATCAGTAAGAATGCAGTAAAAATAATCAGTTCTAAAGATAATACAGTGACTGTTTTAAACTTTAAAAAAGATGATAAACTGATTCCTGGGTTCTTTCTTTAAAAAAAAAAAAAACGACAGGTCCCGGAGTTCTGAACGACAGTGTGTGCGGCGGGATGCAGCTGCTCCCAGACCCTCTGTATTCCCTTCCCACTGACAACACTTACCTTTTAACAATAACTTCCACCGATAACGGCAGGATTTTCTTGGCTGGAAAGGATGGCTGTTTATACGAAGTAGCATACCAGGTAAGCCCGGCAGCTGTAGACATCTTTTCTCCCGTTTGATGAGGTAGGGATGGGTTTTGTTTTTCTTTGTAGTTGTATAAGCACATTAATGCATTCTTACAGAAGGTCCTCAGACACACAGTCAAAGTCCTGGGCCTACGCCCCTGCATGGTTACGTCGTGCCCGCGGGACCCAGTCCTCTTTCCACGAGAAAAGCCGTGTCAGTCCTTTTAGACACGATACATTGATATGTACCTATAAATATCTATACACATGTATTTATGTGTGTATACACATATACCAATACATAGCGTATTTTTGTATATGCCTTTACTTTAATTTTTGCTTGTGTTTTGTTACATAATTGGCTTTTCACTTATCTATGCCTTGAAAGTCTTTCCTTGTCAGTATCTGATAGGTAGGTAGGTAGGTAGGTAGGTAGGCAGACAGGCAGATATATGTATGTATGTAATGTTTGGTGATTGATGCATAGTTGTCCATAAATTGGACATACATGGTTTACTTAACAATTTCATCCCTGATGGATGTCCAGGTTTTCAGTTCTCCTTTTCACAAATAAAGTTACAGTAAGTGTTCTTCTGCAGGCCCCCTTGTGCACGGGTAGATTTTGTGTGTGTGTCTAGTCTTAGAATTCTAATAGTCAGGTTATAATGTATATGAGTTTCAGTGAGGGGGGAGGTCAGGGGGTGAAGGGATTGAGTAAAAAGGAAAAAGGGCTCGTGGACATGGACAACAGTGTGGTGATTGCTGGGGGAGGGGCGGAATAAGGGGACTAAGTGGTAATGGAAAAATTCAATGAAGATAAAAAAATAAAATAAAATTGTTTAGTATTTTCATATTGTCCTTGAAGAATTTTAGACTCTTAGCAGACATTTGTGAGCATATTTCACCCACACCCACTCTTTGCTAACAGCGGTATTATGCAGCTTGTTTCTTTTGGCCAATCTGATGGAGGGAAACTATTTTTTTATAACTGAGTTGATAATCATTTTACGTATCTATTGGTCATTTATGTTTTCTCTACTCCAAAATGCCTTTTTCTGTCCTTTTCTCTGTTTATCTTTTCCCTCCTGTATTGTTGCTTTTTGCATAAGGTAAACCATAAGAAGCTGATAAAGTAATATTCTCGTAGTCTAACTAGTGGCAGAACTAGGATTAGAACCAAGGTCAGCTGTTTTTTGTTTTGGTTTTCTAAAATTACATGGTCCTTCTTTCTTGCTCATTTTCTCTTGGCTTTGTTCATTACCACAAAATGATTTGTATGGCAAAACTCAGTCATTGAGAAATACGCTGTAGATGGTGGTGGTGGTGGCTGCTCTTGTTAAAATTTGCTTTTAGCAGAAGTGGGTAAGATCGAGATACAAGTACCTCGATCTTACGTCCTTAGGGCACTTACAAACTCTGCTTATTATGTCCCTTATGCTTTGAAATAGTTTTTGAGAGAATTAAAATGTGTTCACTAGTATAACACTACTGAGATTTCTAGAATAGACATTGCCGATTTCATTGAGGGCAGTAATTTATTTATGACTATTTATGGTCACTGCGTTTTTATTTTTATTACAGGACTAAACTCAGTACTACTTTTGAGTAGTATGTCTTCATTTGCAATTATTGGTATTTCACTGATACTTGAGGATTTTTGTAAATGTGAACATCCAGTAGTTGCTATAATGGAAGCGCCTACATTTACAAGTCTTCTCTCCATTTTCTCTTTTAAGGCAGAAGCAGGTTGGTTTAGCCAAAGATGTAGGAAAATCAACCACTCGAAGAGTGCGCTATCCTTTCTTGTTCCTTCATTGCTACAATTTACATTTTCAGAAGATGGTAAGTAGAAAACAATAAATTTGACAAACAAAAATTTTTAACAGGTCATTGACTTACCATTTTCTTGAGAAATTTTCATTCTTATTTGAAAGTTTGTCTTATTAAATACATTTCTTATATGTTCATAAGGTCTTTAAAAGGAAGAAGGGATTATAAAACAGAAACAGTGTGGGTTTGTTCCCAACTGAGTGTAAATGTAGCATCACGAAACATGTCTGAAAGAGCTGTACGTAAGCTCTCAAAGTGAACTGTGCATGTGCGCATGTGAGAACCAGACAGACATCTAATGCATGTTTTGCCTGCTCTAGAACAAGTTCCCAACATAAAATAAATACATGAGTTTTGAATAAAATGAGAGGTGCCAGTGAAATAATTTTAAAATACTTCCGTGAAATAAGATAAATTCACTTTAAAAAGTTATTATTATGACTAAAATAAATGATAATCCCTTCACACAATGAATCATTAAACTAAAGTGACAGTTTCTTGAAGGAATGGACTGAGTATAGTTATTTTATGTGTTTCTAATATATAGCAAACATTAAATGTTCACTTGTTGAATGAAAAAATAATCTAAAACTTGTCTTTGGTTTGTCTTAAGATTTATTTAGAGGACAGAATAACTTATTTTTCATGCTCTTACTCAGTCACAGTATTTGATATCTGCTTTTTTTTTTTTTCACACTTTGTCTGATCTAAGTGTTTCTTGGCTTTGTTCTTATGGAAATATCTTACAGCTTCTACAGAGCAAGCAGAAAGCCCTTGAATGCAAAGTTCTGGTGTAGCAATTTTAATTTGCTACTGTATTTGATTTGTTAATCTTTGGATGGGTTTTATTTTATTATATGTGTGTATGTATTTATTTTGTCTTTCAGATCCTATTGTTCAAATTGAAATTGATAATTCTAGAAACATTTTATATACACGATCTGAGAAAGGAGTAATACAAGTAAGTATTAATATTATATTACCATACAAGGTGGGAATAACATCCCTGTGTTTTTGTTTTTCTGTTTATTGATTTTTAGAGAGAGGGAGAGAGGAACATCAGTTTGGTGTTCCACTAATTTATGTATCCATTGGTTGCTTCCTGTTTGTCCCCTGACCTGAGATCAAACCCGCAACCTTGTAGCTGGACGAAGCTCTGACTAATAGGGCCCAGCATCCCTGTTTCTATGGACGGCAGCTCAGCCCAGCATCCCTGTTTCTATGGACGGCAGCTCAGCCCAGCATCCATGTTCTATGGAAAGCGACTCAGTCACTCTTAGACTTTTTCGTACAAACTGTGTGCTTTTTAAAAATCATCGAAACCCTTTTTAATGAAAGTTCAAATCTGTGATTGTTTTTATACCTATATGAAATACCAAAATTAAAGGATCCCTAAAAAGGAAAAGTCTATTTAATAAAGTTGTATTAAGAAGTTTATTTCATAAAACTTATGCAGGTTATAGTCGTGTTTCAGTGGCTCCAATGTTTCACGTGCAGGTTTATGATCTGGGCGGCGACGGACAGGGAATGAGCAGAGTTGCCTCGGTGTCACAGAACTCCATTGTCTCTGCCGCTGGGAACATTGCCAGGTAATGTGTCAGCTCCTGGCAGACACTTCGTTTGCAGGCATAATGGTACTGTTCCGTGCAGCGTACTGAAATTGTTTTCTTCTCAAAACACCTCTAAAAAATGAGGCATGTTGAAGGAAACAACATCGTAAGTTATGTTTGAAATTGGGCTGCCTAAGACTTTTATTCTTATGCTGGATGTTTTAAAACATAAGGTAGAGTGGTTTTAACTGTGTAAAATACAGCTTGACATGTGTTTTTCTCTGAAACTCTAGGTGGTCCGTACAGGCAATACAGGTGTTGTATCTAGGAAAGCTCCCCTCTTGCAACTGCTCTGCTTTTTTAACAGGCCTGCGTAGTGTGAGTGCAGTCGGTCTGATAATTGACCCGAGTGCAGTTTGGAAATGCAGAACTTTACAGCTGTGCTGTCTGTGTTTTTTCCTCCCTCTCTCCCTTCTTCCCTCCCTTTCGAATTTTTATAGGCCTTTATTTGAGCCAAACTGACAACATATGCTGGGGAGCAAGATCTCAAATGTTTCCCACATTGTGTTCTTGAGGAAGGAAGCTGAGAGATACTGTGACTTGTATGAAGTCGGGACCATAAATAAATGCTGGAACCCAAGCGAGAAGCCAAGTCTTCGGACATAATACGCTATATTTTATGTATATCGCAACTGATTTAGCTCAGCTACAAAAGGCTCTTCACATGGCAAGGCCCTCTGTTATCTGTGTGCTTGGGTTATTGCTAAATGAGATGACCTAGGGAAAAAAAATCAACATTTTCTTTGCCCTTCAGTGACAAAATAATTGTTAAGGCAGATAACCTAAAACAAAGGCTTTCCTCTTTCTTCAACATTTTTTGGAAACTTTTCAAATCTACAGAAGACTTAAAAGAACAGCATGGTAAAAACGGATGTACCCTTTATATAAATTCACCAGTTAACATTTTGTCTCATTTTCTCACTCTCATTTACAAGCCTTGTGAAAAATAAGTTGTAGAAATCATGACCTTATCTTTTAAGTCTTTCTCCTAAGTTTCTTACATTAGCAAAATATCAATTCCACACTTAAAAAATTAATAATTTTGTAATATTATAATTGTATAGTTCATATTAAAGTTGCTTAATAGTCTCAAAAATTCTTTTCTTTTTTAAAATTCTTGCCCAAGGATATGTTTGTTGATTTTAGAGAGAGAGGAAGGGAGGGAGAAAGAAAGAAACATTGGTCAGTTGCGTCCCATACGTGCCTCGACTGGGATCGTACCCACAATCTTTTTGTGTGTTGGGTGTGCACAACAATGCTCCCGCCAACTGAGCCACCTGGCCAGAGCCCCAGAATTCTTTGTAGCTTTCTTTCTGTTGGTTTTTCTTTTTCCATATATCTCCAGATTTGTCAGAGCTCATGAATTGCATTGTTATTAGTCTTTAGAACATCCACTGCCTTTTTTTTTTTTTTTTTTTTCAAAATACTGACATTTAGGGGAGTGGAGCAAGAATTTTCTGAATTTGCCTTTTTTTTTCCTTATTTGGGTCAAGGTAATACTTTTTTAGTTAACATTACATAGGTAATTACTTATAGCATTACATCAGAAGGCAAATCACTATTGAACTGTTGGTTAAGATGGTGTTCACCAGATCTCTTCCTTATAAAGGTTCATTTTTTCTCCTTTTTAATTAGCGGTAACTTTTACAATGATAATTTGATGCTCTGAGAACATCTTTTCCCCACTAGTGATTTACCCAGTGGATTTAGCGGATCCACATAAAAGTGGATCTTTTATGATATTTGAAAAAAGTTACTCTTAACAATATTAACTAATGTAAACGATACATAATATCCATGGCTTTTGCCAGTTCTTAACTGCTATTGTAACTGTTCTGAGAAGTTAGTAGTAAACTCTTTGAGCAGATTTCAACATGTAAAATTGCTGGTGGAAAATCTTCTTTGTAATTTAGTAGACACATTTTTAAAATATTCTAGTTTATTTTTTCTCTTGTCCTTCCTTTTAGGACCATAGATCGTTCTGTTTTTAAACCAATTGTTCAAATAGCAGTGATTGAAAATTCCGAGTCACTGGACTGTCAGTTATTGGCTGTCACACATGCTGGTAGGTTATTTCATTTGTGTTTGCTATTGCTTTTATAACTTGTAATAATCCCCAGATTTGGAAATTTATGATTAGAACTATGAGAGAAATTTGTATTTCTTTATCAATTATAAAGCCATATTAACAATTTGTAAAATTAAGAATTTTGAAAATCAGAAGATCCTCGGTTCTGTCTGCTCATTTTATAGATGTAAAGCCAGGCCTTGAAGATGAAGTGGCTGGCATTCACTGACACAGTCTGAGCTTCAGCAACAGAGGCTTGTGTGGCTTATAGTTGGAAGCTCTTTCTGGAAAGTGATGTGTGGCTTTAACAGAGTTCTGTGCTTCTCTTTGGAACTGGTCTAATAACAACACGTGTGCCTCAGGTCTTTTATTTTCTGTCACTGATTTATAATTTTACCCCATCATCAGGGATAAGGTTGTACTTCAGCACGTGTCCGTTCAGGCAGCCACTAGCACGACCTAATACGCTGACGCTGGTTCACGTCCGCCTGCCTCCTGGATTCTCAGCGTCTTCAACAGTGGAAAAGCCTTCAAAGGTACATAAAGCTCTCTACAGTAAAGGTGAGTTCTGAAGTACTATCAGAGTGAATCCTGGCTGCTTAAAATAATTAAAATTAGAATGCATTTGAGGCACTTGATAATAAAGAGATTTTCCAATAGAATATAGAATGTTTTGTTTTCTTATGCGGGAACTTTTTTTATATTAATGTAATATTTTAAGCATTTTCAATTGCTAATAATTTGTGATCCATTGATGGTAAAATATATTCTAACTTTAGAAATGTTAAAATGTGAAAAAAAGATAATTGTTTACTTGACAGAAATACAGTATAAGATCTGGAACATTTAATGATCCTACCCTACCAATAATTTTATGTCCTTTTAGGGGATTTAGTTTTATTTTTGTAACTTATTTACTTATAACGATTAATGCTGTATATATTAGTGTTATTAATTACTGTTAAGAATATTGGGGATGCATATTATTTGGCATCGTAAGTCTTTGTGTCTTAAACTTTTAGGTATTCTGCTTTTAGTTTTCATTGTAACTTGGTTACCTATAACAATTAATGCTATAGATAGATATAGATATAGATGTTAATAATTGATATTATTGAGATTATTTGGGATGCATATAATTTGGCATCATAAGATTTTGTGTATTAAATTATTAGGTGTTCTACTGATGACAGCCTCAGAAAATGAAGACAATGACATTTTGTGGTGTGTCAACCATGACACATTTCCTTTCCAAAAGCCAATGATGGAAACTCAGGTATCAATTATCAGGATAATTGTAAAGAACTTTTAATATAATTTTAAGTGAAGAATACAGTTGTAAGAAACTTTATCTTCTATTATAGTTTGCTTCTAAATACCTCATATAATTAGAAAGCATGTAGAAAAAAGTGTATCTATAAATTCTTTGTTTTTCCTCTGTGACGCCAGAAGTTATGGTAATCATTAAAACTCTCTTTAAAATAAACATTGAAACCCTTGTAGAATGTTTTTTATAGGGTACCTGAAAATGCATGTACCTTTTCTGAAATTGTCTTTGTCCCATTTAAATGTGTTATATTTTTAGTTATTATGAGGCCACCCATTATAGTTATGAGTTAGAATTTTATTCTAATGATCTCTTTATAGTTCTCCCTAAATTTAAAAAAATTTTAGTTATAGACATTTTCAAACATACTCAAGAATAGAGCAAATGGTGACTTGAACTCCACATTAGTGAATTATCAACCCTTCCCCATCTTGTTTCTTCTCATTTCCCTGCATAACCAAATGCGCACACACAACCACGTACCTGTGCTTTCAAAGCAAGTACCATACGGACTCCGTGATGCGGAGTTCTGGTGAGGAGTGCCATCGCTGCCCGTGAGGACCTACGGGGAAGGCCATCTACTCCCTTGCCTTGGTATTCCCTGTCCCACCCCCATCTGTCCTCCCAGATGTCCCAGCACAGTTTATGCTGCCTGCCTCCCAGAAGGTGCTGATGAAACCAGATAAACCAACGAACGTGAATGTCTGATACTCTCTTTGGAACCATTTCTGTAAAGGCATTTTGGTTCCACCTGGGAGCAGCTTCCTAGTTATTCTTCAGCTTGAGCCCTCCTGGGCAGGGTGAGCAGGAAAAGGCGTGTAGATGGGAGGAGGAAGAACCCACCCCCAGGGACGGGTGCATGGTTTGAAAGGGCCCTTCCAAGTTTCTGACATGGACCAAGTCGCTGGGGTAGGGCAGAAGGTTGGTGTGGAGGCAAGGCGCACCTTTCTCAAAGTCTTCCCTTTATCCTTCGGACTTACTCTCTGAGCATCTACTATGTGTCTCATGCCGTGACAGACTGAGGGTTCAGAGTCCTGATGGGAGCGCAGTGTTGGGGCTACAGGTTTGAGTCCTGGCTCCATTTCCTCAAAGTTGTCGTTCAAAGGACTTAACATGTCTCTGGCCCACAGTTTCCTTGCCTCTAATAGTTACAATAGGACCTCCCTCTACGGGGTTGTGGAATTAAATGAATTCACATATGTAGCTCTCAGAAACACTGCATGGTGCCTAGGAAGCACTCAATAAACGTTAAGTATTATGTTTTTAAAGCAAATACTATAAATTGTATTTCATTTATATAATGCTTGAGTTCTTCTAAAACAAGTACAAGCAAGTATAGACTTATTTTTTTAACCACCAAATATAAATATAGTCCATGAACTTCAGCTAAATTCTAGTCTCCCAGAAACAGTTCTAAAAGACATTGGGACAGTGGGGAAATTCAACATTGGCTGGATATTAGACTAGAGAATTGTAAATATTCTTATGTGTTATAATGGTATCACGATTGTATAAGAAAACGTCCTTATTCTTAGGAGGTGCATACAAAAGTATTTAGCAGTAACATCATATAGCTTTCAAATGATTCAATAAAAGAAAAAATAATATCGAAAGAGAAAAGGTAAATAAAGCAAAATGCTAACATTTGTTGGATCTAGGTATTGGGCATATGGACATTTACTGTACTTTTAACAATTTTGTATGTTTGAAATATTTTATAATAAAAGTATTTTAGGAGATTAAAACACTTTAGAAAAAAAAGAAGTAGCTTAGCTTAGAAAGCAAATATAACTTCAGAAGAGAGCAGAAATCTACATGTCAGCAAAGTACAAGCACTGAGCCTACCAGTACATGTCAGTCTGTCCTGGAAAGATGGTAGAAGGAAGTCTTTGGTTATAGAAAGAACTGTAATTCTAGTAAATGCTATTTATAGTTTATCTTAAGAAAATTTTGCCTTTATCCTTTGGTATGGACAGATTGCTTGTTACCATAGGAGATGCCTGATTGAAAGAATTAGAAAGTAGAAAATTAAATACAGACTTTTGAGAATATTTGTTAATGTATTAATTTATTAAATCCTGTGTTTAATTTCAGAATAAGTCTGTGTAAGTTTTCCTTTTTAAAGTCCTCCTTAATATTAACTTTCATAGTATTAGTGTTAAAAAGTTTATTTCTTTTATATAGATGACAACCCGTGTTGATGGTCATTCCTGGGCTCTTTCTGCAATAGATGAATTGAAAGTAGATAAAATAATTACACCCTTAAACAAGGATCATATTCCAATAACTGACTCACCAGTTGTCGTGCAGCAACACATGTTGCCTCCAAAGAAGTTTGTTCTCCTCTCAGCCCAGGTATGTACATACTCTGTTAAGGTGAAGGCAAGTAGAAACAATATTTAATGTGTTTGCATTCTGCAGCACTTGCTCAGTAGAGTCATTTACTTAAGTACTTAGGAATGTTTACTCTTAACATGTTCTTAAGAAAGAAATAATAAATCCCAAAAATTCAACAAAGAGAACTTGCTTTTTATAATATTATATTTCTAATGAACCTATTCTATCATCAGTGTTCAGTAGCATAAAATGAATAAACTGAGCTAAGTTTATTTAGTATCGATCTCACTTAAATTATTTAAACATTTTTCTTAACATGTATTTTTTGAATGGTAATACATTGACAAAATTCAGATGGCCAACAAGCGCGAGACAGCACAGCCTCCCTCTCACTTCAGGCTTCTTCCCCACGGGCCCCAGAGTCATTGGTGTCTGTGTATCTTTCCAGAGATGTGTTGTCAGCTACAAACAGGACAGATTTTGAAACAAGTGGCAGCATATTATATACACTGCATTATACTCTGCTTTTTATGTTTCAAAAATATGCTGTAGAGCTCTTTTCCATATCATTATAGAGAGACTTTCTCATTCTGTTTGTTTGAAACATTCATTTATGTGGATGTACCATATTTAACTATAGGCCCCTATTAATGGATCATCTTTGCTGTTAAAAATAATTCTGCAACCTTGTGCCTGTAACATTTGCATGTAGAATTGCATCTGCTGAGCCAGAGTGTGTGCGCATATAATTTGAGTATATGTTCCCAGATTTCCCTGTGTACAAACATACATTCACTATGGGTAAATGTTCAGTGCCTGTTTCCCTACATCCTGGCCAAGGACAACGTGCCGTCTTACTCAGAGTGAGATTGACTGTCATTTTAAGTGCTTATTTTTCTATGAACTATCTATTTCTATGTTGTTCTTTGTTCTATATTTCTATTTCTACTTTTCTATCAAATTGTTTTTATTTAATTTGTAGGCATTCTTTGTGTATCAAAGGAACTAACTTTTTGTAATTTTTATATAGTTTGATTTATCATAGATTGTCATTTAATTTAATCTATTAAGATATTTCCAAATGGATAAATTTACAAGTGGTTGAAATTTTCAAGTTATATTTTGAGGCTTATGTGATAGTAAAAAAAAAAAAACTTCTCACTTTGAGGCCCATAAAAGAATTCACCCATAGTTTATTTTATTTTATTTTGTCCTTTATTAGTAGTTTTATAATTTTATTTTGTCCTCTAAATCTTTGATCTCTTTTGAATTTATCCTGGTGTAAGGTATAAATAAGAATCCAGCTTCATTTTTTTCCTAAATGAGCATCCTTGTGCCAATAGGATTAATGGATAATCTAACTTTAATCTTCTGGTTTGAGGGGAAGTTTTTATCATAGTCCAAATTCTAGTATTTACTTGACCCTATATTAGAACTTCCTGAATTAATAAGAAAACACTGAGCTCTGCAAAAAATAAATAAATAAATAAATAAAAGTAAGTGAAAAGGTGCTGGATCCCTTAAACATAACATTTTATAAACCTTTCCCTTATGCATGGTAATAGCAGATGCTATACTAATACGGTTTGTGTCAGACAGAGCAGTGCTTTCTTATTAGATTTTTCTAAGGATGTACAGGCGTAGTACAGGTTGGGAGATGAACTGGAGATGCTCTGTTTCATCCATTTACTTTGTATTCTTGAAGTTATTTTTTTGTTTTTTCATCTCATTGATTTTATTAAATAAAATAACAGGGTCAGTTGTTACCTGCTCAACTTGGTAAATTTATTATTCACGTTCTTTTTTTTTTTTTAACTTCTTAGGGGAGCCTTATGTTTCATAAACTTAGACCAGTAGATCAACTGAGGCATCTACTTGTGAGTAATGTGGGTGGAGACGGAGAAGAGATTGAAAGATTCTTTAAATTACATCAGGTAATTATTTGTACTGTTGGTTTTTTTTTAATGTGATGGTAATTTAAATAAGAAACAGTGGGAAGTACAGCTAAATTTTATGTAAGTCCAAAAATACTGTAATTAACAGGTAATCTTACCAGTCTTTCTTTACATTAACCACTATACATGTACCGATATTTGGGAGCTGTATTAATACACTGTAAGTTTAAAGGCAATAGTGTTTACTTCTTTTTCATATCAACTGATTTCATTCAGACAGCAGATATTTATTGAGTAGCTGCTACATGGTAGGCACAGATTTAAATGTTGGCTACAACATTAGACAACACTTCTTTTTGAATGTTCATGCCTAATATAAGGGAGGGTGTTGTTTTACAGGAAGACCAAGCTTGTGCAACCTGCCTCATCCTTGCTTGTTCCCCCGCTGCCTGTGATAGAGAAATATCTGCTTGGGCCACTCGGGCTTTCTTCAGGTATGTGTCAGTTCTCTTGTTTTTGGCCACTTTCTTAGACAGTTGCCTTAAACGTGATGGTTTAAGGGCTTGCCAGATGGTTGAGTTAAAACCCCTTTGTGAGAAGGTGAACCTGGAAGATTATGATGCTAAAGAAGCAGCAGTTTATGCACTGTTACCCACTCTTCTGTCAGTAGTCTTCTCTCGGCACCTCTGTGTCAGCTGCCGGCTCACCTGTTGTTTACTTCCCTAAATGCTAGGCCACTTCTGCTTTATGCGTGCCATTGACACTGAAGGGTTCTAAGTCGCTCTAAGGAAACTTAGTATCAAAAAAGTATTTTTCTTGGAAAATGTTAAGCTAAGAATAAGAATTTGAAATGTGATTTGTTTAAAAGAGTTTTTAAAAGTACCGTCTCACCATACTCTAGTATAAAAATTATAGTACCATGTACTCATTAAGTAAATTTTTGCCTTGCTGACCTTTTTAAAGTTTTTAAAAGATTTTACTTATTTTTAGGGAGAGGGGAAAGGAGAAAGAAAAAGGGAGAGAAACATCGATGTGAGAGAGAAACATCGATCAGTTGCCACTGGCATGAGTCCCAACTGAGGACCGAACCTGCAACCCAGGCTTGTGCCCTGACCAGGAATCTAACCGGCGACCTTTCGCTTTGCAGAAGGAAGCCCAGCCAGCGGAGCCACACTGCTCGGGCTGCTGTCCATTTTTTAGAAATTGCCGGTTCCTTATAATACTTCCTGATAGGATTTCAAGTCAATTTTTACTAAATTAGTATTTTTAATGTATATAGATACATTATATACATTATATACATGACAGGGTGAAAGTAGGTTTACAGTTTTAATAACAAATATGTAATACAACAATTAATAAGTGATATAAGAATAAACTCTGCATACTCAACTGTAAACCACCTTCTTTTGCTCCACTCTGTATTTCACTGTAAATAGAATGTATTAAAGTCTCTAATGTTTAAAGTTTTATTTTGAAAGCAAAGCAAAACTTAGAACAATTCCAGCTTTTAAGGCAGATAGTTTCACTGAACAAACTAAGCCTATGTTGTCATAAAAACAGGTACGGCGGTGAAGCCCAGATGAGATTTCCAACCACCCTCCCCACCCCAAGTAATGTTGGTCCCATCCTGGGGTCTCCTGTCTATGCTAGTGAGTATGAAACATTGAAATGAAGCTGTTTTTAATAGTTTGAATTTTAGAAACCTTGTAGTATATTTTAATGGACAAATCTTTTCATTATATTGACTTCTACTGTTTTGGTGAATAATTCTAAAGATATCTGACTCTTAAAAGTGATGAGTTCTTTTTTTTTTTTTTTAAAGGTTTGATTTATTTATTTTTAGGGAGGGGGAAGGGAGAAAGAGAGGGAGAGAAGCATCAGTGTGTGGTTGCCTCTCAAGTGCCCCTTCCTGAGGACCTGGCCCACAACTCTAGGCATGTACCCTGACTGGGAGTCGAACCAGAGACCCTTTGGATCGCGGGCTGGCACTCAATCCACCGAGCCACACCAGCCAGGGCAGTGATGAGTTCTTACTCTATGTTAGAGAACAAAATAAGATACAACCAATAGTATTTATAGAACTCATTTGTTTATTTATTCAAAAGAAAGGAGATGAATGATTTAATAATAAATAAACTTCCACGTCAGTGTTTTCCAAAGTGAGGATTGTTAGAAGATTGCTGGGGAATGAGTTGAGTCCTTATCTCTTGAATACATAACGGGTGGTGCTGGTCCACACGCTCATGCTTAGAAACAGCTTCTGTGTCTAATTTTGATCAGATTCAAAAGTTGGGAAGTCATTTTATGAATCTTATATTCTTATTTCCTTTCTAGGTTCTCCTCTTCCTAGTGGTGGTCCATATCCAAATCCATCGTTTTTGGGAACACCATCTCAAGGTATCTCTTTTTTCTTTTTCTTTTTCTATTTATTTTTCTTTTTCTTTTTCTTTTTTTCATTACTACCATTATTTCTTTTGAAGAGCTAACACTGTGGGTTATCTTTAATGCTCGGTGTGAAAAAGATTAATTTGCCCTGTTCTCTTAACGTAATTTAGTTCTGACTGGTGAGGCTCAGTTGATTGAGCATCATTCCGCAAAGTGAAAGGTTGCTGGTTCCATTCCTGGTCAGGGCACATGCCTGGGTTGCAAGCTTAATCTCTGATTGGGGCTGTGTGAGAGGCAACCAATCAGTGTTTCTCTCACACATCAATGTTTCTCTCCCTCTCTTTCTCCCTCCCTACCTCTCTCTCTACAAATAAATAAATAAAATATTTTTTAAAATGTAATTTAATAGACGTGACATCCAAGAAAGTACTGACTATTGGCTGTGAATGCTTTAGGAGCGCCTTTAGTAGCACCTGGAAAGCCCCTTGTTTGCGCACTGAGATTTAACTGCCAGCCGTGACGTCTGTAGAGTTAGTTCCCTTTCACTTCCAGTATTAAGGAGCCGTGATTGCAGGCTCTCTTTCCTTTTCATCCTGCATTGCCAGTGTTTGAAAACTTATCTGGGAGCACCCGTTTAAGTCTAAGTCTCTCTTTATCTGTTTATTTCAGTATTTTTGTAAATATTTATTCCCGTGGGTCTAGATACAACAGACTTGGGCTACCGAGCATCCTCAGTGTCTGTGGTTAAATTTTAAGTTTTGTTCTTGTTACGTGTGTCCAAGGCATGCATCCTCCTGTCATGTCAACACCGGTGTGCGCTGTGGGAAACCCGGCAATCCCGGCCGCGAGTATGGGCTACACGGCAGGGCCAGAGATTGTGTACTCTGGGAAACACAACGGCATATGCATTTACTTTTCTCGGATCATGGGGTAAGTTTTTCATGGAATAATTAACTGTTGCTCACCTTATCCTAGTTTGTGTCACTGAATATTTTTAATTCCATATTTGATATGTCATTTATTCCTATTAAATTGTACCTAAAGCTTTAGTTCCCTGTCCAATTTAATAAAATTGTTTTCTATCATTCAGCTTTTTTATTATCTAACCATGTGTATTTGTTCCTTTATTTTATATATATATATAGACCTATATCTTCAAAATATATCTCTACACATATTATATATAGTGTTACAAACCACCCCATAACTCAGGAACGTGTATCTGCAAGTTAGCTAGAAAGCTCTGGTCTTGGCCTGGCTCACTTGTGCACGTACAGTTGGCTGTGAGGCTGGAGAGAGCTCTGTTAACATTTAGCCAGGTTGTCCTCCACGTGGCTTCTCCTCCTCCAGCAGGTGAGCCAGGGATTACTCACCTGGTGGTAGCAAGGTTCTGCGAGAGGAGCAGAAACTTGCAAAGCCTCTTGATGCCTCTTCTCAGAATTGGCCTGCCACCAAGTCCACCTCATTTATTTGGCCAACTCAGATTCAAAAGGTGGGAAATAGAGTCTTCATCATGAGAACGGCATCAAAGTCACATTGTAAAGGGGATGGGTGTAGGGAGGGATGAAGAGTAACAGCCATTTATGCAACCAGTCTATCATGTTATCTAGCCAGTTCTCATGTCTAGTATATATTTTTTCATAAGTTAAGAGATGTATGCTTCCATTCTAATTATTTGTTTAAAAATTGGAAACTTCAGAACCCCTTGATAAATTTGTTTTTGCATTATAAGCTTCTTTGTTTACAGTTCATTACCCAGAGCTTTTTGATTTTTCTTCAGGGGTATTTTATGTTGTTAAATAACTTAGATATATCATGTTTTGAAATTTTCCTGTTTTCCATTTTTTCAGTTAACTTAGTAAAACGTTAAAGCATTGCTATATTTTAATAAACACATAGAAAGGAATTTACTACATATTGTGATTATTTTTATTCATCCTCAGTGTAATTATTAAACCATTTTTGTTCCAGAAATATCTGGGATGCTAGTTTAGTGGTGGAAAGAGTATTCAAGAGTGGAAACAAAGAGATCACTGCGGTAAGTGTGTTGTGTAATAGTATTCCATTATTTCTTGGTAACCAGGGTATGCTATTTATGGAGGAGTACATTGTTTCACATTTCTTGGTGTTATAAACAAGATGCAGTGATTATTCTTTTATGTATTTGTTTCTCTACTTGTCCAATAAACTGTCCAATTCCTGGGTTAAGCCTCTGCTCTTACACTTATTAACAGATGAGTAAATTTCTTAACGTTTCAGAGCCTGATAACATTGCTGTAAGATGAGGATAATATATCTCCTTCATAAGGTTCTTGTGAGGGTTATAGTAAGTCCTAATACTTAATGTTGCTCAAAGCTACTATTTAAATATTTTGTTTATATACCCAAAAAGTCCATGGACCCAGTACTAATTTCCATGTACTTGCCTATATTCTAGAGTACTTTGAGATAGCATCTTGTAAAACTTTGTGTTATCATAAATTCAGGTAGTGAGATTTTTTTCGGTGGAATATGAATGCAATTTATTTTAAACTTTTTAAAATGAAAAGATATCGCGATATCAAATATATTTTCAACTCTGATATTCTTTTTAAGTTCACATTTCTAAGAATAAGCATGTATTTATTTGGTATGGTATGATTTCATTTATATGAAGTTGAAGAACAGGTTAAACTGCTAGATAGTCATAGAAGTAAGAAAGTAGTTAACCTGCGAAATGGAGTGACTAATGAATGGGGCATTAGGGAGCTTTCCTGGCTGTTGGAAATATTCTATATCATGGTCTGGCTGTGGCTGTATTAGGATGTAAAAAGTTAACAAGATGACCACTTAAGATTTGTGTATTTTACTCTCTGTAAATTATATTGAAATCACACCAGAGTAGAAGGAGGGATGTGATGTCTAGCCCTTCATTCTGGTCACCAAGTATGAATTGATATAAGAAATACCTTTACTGTTTGTGAAGTTAGGGTACCTCAGAATTAAAATTTATATTCAGTTATAGATATACAGAGCATGTTTTTATATATAAAGACATTTTCATTGTTTCATTTTCATGGAAAATACTTTCTTTTTAACAGGTTGAGAGTAGCGTTCCCTCCCAAATGCTGGAGTCCGTGCTACAAGAACTAAAAGGTTTGCAGGAATTTCTGGACAGAAACTCCCAGTTTGCAGGAGGACCATTAGGAAATCCAAAGTAAGAATAAATAGGACTTATTTACTTATTTTTCCCCTTTTTTCCCTCTGAGGTGTAATTCATATGTTATAAATATCATCCATCTAAAATATACAGGTCAGTGGTTTTTAGCGTATTTTCAGGTTATGCAGTCATCACCCACCACTGATTCCAGGACATTTTCATCACACCAAGACCAAACCCTCTGCCCACTAGGAGACACTCCCTGTCTTAGTTCAGGCTGGAGTAACACAAACACAGCAGGCTGGCTCACACAACAAACGCTTATTTCCCATGGTGCTGCAGGCTGCCGGTCTGAGGTCCGGCGCCCGCATATCCAGGTCCTGGTGAGGGCCCTCTTCCTGGTTCACAGGCGGCTGCTTCTTCCTGTGTCCTTGCATGGCAGAGAGAACGTGAGAGCATGCTCTCTGCTATCTTCTCATGAGGGTACTCGTCTCACCATGGGGCTCCATTTTCATGGCCCTGTCTAACCCTAATTAGCTCCCAAAGCCCCCACCTCCAAATACCATTACTTTGAGGCCTAGGGCTTCCGTGTAGGAATTTGATGGGACACAAACTTCTGTTCCCCTTCCCGTGGTCCCTGGCAGCCACTCATCTGTTTTTCTCTGTGGAGCTGCCTCAGGTAGTTGTTCTTTGTATTCAGTGCAAGGCTGTGAGTTAGAGTCAGTGAGAATAGCCATAGCAGACTTACTCCATCGTGGCCACTGCCGATAGTGCAAGATTTGTTGTTGTTTTCTTCTCAAGGATTATTTAACTTTATTTTTAGAGAGAAGGGAAGGGAGGGAGAGAAACATCACATCAATGTGTGGTTGCCTCTCACGTGCCCCCGCGCTGGGACCTGGCCCACGACCCAGGCATATGCCCTGACCAGGAATCGACCCAGCGACACTTCGGTTCGCAGATTGGTGTTCAATCCACTGAGCCACACCAGCCAGGACACAGTGCGGGTTTTTACTTAGTAACATTATCAGCCTACTATTTTAATATTTCAGCCTGTTGCAGGTTGTTTTTTTCTTTTTCAATGCAAAATTTTTCCATATTTTACCTCTTCAGATTGCTCTTGAATCATTTTGAGAATAGTCTTTGATAGCTTTCTTTGCTTTCTAGTGTGATAAGACCTCCCAGGCTCACTTGGTACAGTTTCTGCCATAGACCTGAGATCAGCCATTTCTCCCACGGGGCCCTGGTTTCTTAGGATAGCAAAGGGTATTGGAGACTGTAGCTAGGGCTGTTTATTGCTCCTGGACAAGCTGTAAGTTGTTTTTATTTTTTAATAAAACAAAATTTTGAGTTGTACTGTTATTGGGGTTCAAATTTAAGAATACAGGATATTCACTGTCTGTTAACTCTTTTATGATATGTTTATATTGCTTTTACCCTAAAAATCTTATTTTCTGACATTGACATAATCAGTTACTTGCTTTCTCCTAGAATGTGCCTATTATAGCTTCAGTAGTCATACACTTTTGAAGTTTAAGATCTTAATCTGCATTTCACTGAGTATCAGTTCTGAAACAGAAAGTTCTGAAAGCTCATCAGTCTTTACAAATGCTCGTATTTGCTCATTTCCCTCAGTGGTTGGTATTTTCTTACAGCAGATTCTTTGCTTTTTATTTTTGTCCTAAAGTTTTCTCGTGTGAAATGGGATTCTTAATAATACTTACCTACAGAATTATTGTGTTCAGTTAAATTACTGGTGCAGGCAAAAAGCAAGTGTTCGATAAAAAGAAGTAATTGTTATTATCCATTTACTCAATGAAACTTTAAGCACCTAAGAGATCGCAATGCTTCCAGTTTAAAATATCATTGATTTGCCAGTGCTGCTTCACTAATCTGCAAAGGAAAAAATATTTACAACCTATTCCAGGTCATTTATATGAAATATTCAGAGAAGGCAAATATATAGACACAGAAAGATGAATGTTGCTTAGAGTAAAGGTGAGGAAAAGGGGGAAATGGGGACTGACTGCAAATGGGGGGTGTTCTAAGATTAGATTGTGGTGGTAATTGTGCAGCCCTATGCATTATACACTTTAAGTTATTGAATGTTGTGGTATATGAATGATATCTCATTAATGCTGTGGAAGACACAAGTACACATTCTGGAGTTTCTGTTTTAGTACCACTGCCAAAGTGCAGCAGAGGCTGATGGGATTCATGCGTCCTGAAAATGGAAATACCCAGCAAATGCAACAGGAACTGCAGAGGAAATTTCATGGTAAGTTATTACTTCTGATCGCTTAAATGTACATGACCCTAGTAACGAGTTTCATTAGATGAGGAGAACATAATGCACATCTCAATAAGATTTAGGTTGTAGTAACACATTTTTTTTTAATTAAAATCATCTGTGTGATTGAGAAAAGTGGGACAATGTGGATATCATGTATTTCCATAACTTTCAGCCCACAAAATTTTTTCTCTTCTCCAGAACACACGATATACACCTTTTTAATGATATTTTTATTGTAAAATAGACATAAAATTTATCATTTTAACCAATTTTAAGTGTATAGTTCAGTGGCGTTTAGTATGTTCACTACATCCATCTGTAAAACTTTTTTCAGCTTCCTAAACTGAAATTCTGTACCCCATGAAACAGTAACTTCCAATTGCACCCTACCCCAGTCCCTGGAAGTCAGCATTCTTGCCCCGCCCCCAGCTTTGATTCATACGTAGTACCTCCTGTAATTGGAATCACACAGTATTCATCCCTTTGTGATTGGCTTGTTTCATTTAGTGTAATGTCTTCAAAGTTTGTCCATGTTGTAGCACATGTCAGAATCTCCTCCCTTATTAAGATTGAATAATACTCCGTTGTACCACATTTTGTTTATCTGTTCATCCCAGTGGACACTGGGGTTAGTTTCACCTTTGGAGTATTTTGAACAGTTCTGCTATGAATATGGTATACAAATACAAACTTGAGCCCCTGCTTTTATTTTTTTGTTATATACCAAGAAGTAGAATTTCTGGATCATAAGGTAATTCTATTTTTAATTTTTTTGAGGAACTGACATTGTTTTCCATTGCAACTGCACCATTTTACATTTCCTCCAGCCATGTACAAAGGGTTCCAATTTCTCTACATTGCACCAGTTATTTTTCAGTGGTTTTTTTTATACCCATTCTAATGGGTGTGAAATGATATTATGGTTTGATTTGTATTTTACTAAGGATTAGCGACACTTTTTTGTAGACTTAAAAAATGTGAATTAAGTTTTTGGTTGTGTTTTTGTCCATTATAAGTAGTGACAACTAAAGAAAGTGTAAGGGAATCAAGAAGTTCTCATAATCATCAGTTATTCCAGATATGAATTGGAATAACAATAAGTTATTGCTTAAATTTTGCTTGCAATTCATTTTTTTTTAAGTTCTCTTGTCTTCTGTTATTTAAGCCAATCATTCTGGCTGATAGATCTTGGCTAATTAAGACCCAGCCGTTTACTTTTGTCCCAAAATACTTTTTTCCCTTCTTGCCAGCCCTTGTTTCCCGTTCACTGTTTTGCAGGTTCTTTTGCAGTACTTCAGTAGGGCCGTAAGCCTGGCACCACCAGCACAAACAAAAGCATTCTAATTGCTGGCAGTACTCACTGAGATGACCCTTTTGTAGAGCAATTTGGCCATGTCTAGTAAAAACTTAGAATGCATTATACTGAAAGCTGGCAATTTTACGTCCAGCTGTGCATCCTAGGACAGTCAGTCTATCAGGCTTTTTTTTCACAGTAAGAAATATGTTTTACATTATGACCCAGATATTCAGTTGTGTGACACACACATACAACTGAAGCAAAAACTTAGGAAATAACTACTTGTTTTACAGTCTAAGATTTTTTCCTTTTTAATTCTATTTTATTTCCTCTTTAAGGAAAAAAAAAAAGACTCTATTGACTGACTGAACTGATTTTATGACTCGTCAATGCATTCTGGTCTAGGGCTTAAGAAACTCAGTCATAGAGAAACCTGACTGTGCTTTCTAGGAGACCTTTTTTATGGATATTTATTGCTATTGTTTTAGTAGGAAAACAGCAAAAAATGTAAATGCTCTTCAGCTGGACAATGTACCTCATTGTAGTGTACTCCATGATAGAGCACTCAGCAATTTTAAAACTTGTACTAGATTTATATTTGTCAGTATGGATCACTTGCAAAAATATAACAAATGGAAAAAGCAATGGCATCAATGATTTTAAAACAGCAATACTTTTATTGTTTATGTGTATACACAAATGCACATGCGTGTAATAGTGCTCACGGTTGCCTGTGATGGGGGAGTAAAGAGAATAATGATGATTTCACCTTCATAGTTGTTTTTATTTGAGGTAAAGTACTGTTTTACTTGAAATAAAACAATCTATGTCATTTTATAAAACTTCATTTAATTGCATTTTGTAATTAGAGGCTCAAGTGAGTGAAAAGATTTCACTTCAGGCAATCCAGCAGTTGGTCCGAAAATCATACCAGGCTCTGGCTTTATGGAAGCTTCTTTGTGAACATCAGTTCACTGTCATTGTAGGTGAACTGCAGAAGGTAGGATATTTTTGTTCCCTGAAGGCCATACTGTTAATCCTATGCTTAGTTTTGTTTTGTTTTTGTGTTTTTCTTTTGAGTGAACTTTAATTTTACACTCTAGTTTGGGAGGAGATTATTTGGGGAAGCATTTAGGTTATGATAAAGTTCCGATGTTATAGGGAGACTGCATTAAAGATTGAGGGGTTCGCTTTGTCAGAGCCTCGAGTTTTCACAGTGTATGAGAACTTCAGGTGGTATGTGAATGAAATCTTCCTTTCCCAAAAGTACTTTTTGAAAACAGTGGATTGTAAACTTTATTTGGGCTACAGATCCCTTTGGGAATCTGATCAAACTATCTCTTTTCACCCTCAAAGAATGCATACAAACATATACACAAATTTTTGCATATGATGTCAGAGAGTCCATCAACCTTGATTAAACATTTATACTTTAAAAAAAGGTGTTTCCCATTGTGGGATATGAATGGTCCATAATCATCTTGCTGTTCTCATTTGAATCCTTTTTAATAGTAATAATTTGCATTCATTTAAGTATTAGGTTTATTTTGAGGGAATGTATTCCTACCCATTATTTAATTTTGAACATTTTGAAACAGATGAAAACAGAGCAGTTTTACAGCTTAATCCGCATATACACTTTACTGGTATTCAGCATTTTCAAGATTTTACCAACTTTGCTTCATCTATCCTCCTTTTTCTTTTACTTTACAGAATTATTTTAGAGTAGATCCAGACATTACATTATCTCATTCCTACCTGCTTTAGTATGTACATCTTTAAAAAGATGGACTTTACCTTGAATAATAATGTCATTATCACACTCAGCAATATTAATAATTCTTTGTTAGCATCTAAAATAATGAAATCTCTCTGGCTTTATATCTTTTTACAGATTGGTTCATTCAAATCGCATTCTAAACAGTTGGTTCACTCATTGAATTTTATTATTGTTTCTCTTAAATCTCTTTCAGTTTAGAGCTACTTTCCCTTGCTATTGCCTTGTAGCTACTGGGTGATCAGTCCTATGGAATGCCAGCATTCTGAGGTTCTCTGTGCCTTTCTCGTAATAAACTTGTTTCTTTATTCCCTTCAGTTTTCTGGAAAATGGAAGTTAAGTCTACAGAAGCTTGATTAAAGTTCAGGTCCATTTATTTAAGGAAGTACTAAAATACTTCATAGGTAGTAGTTTCTGTGTCAGACTGCATTTATTAAGGGACACCAAAGATTTGATTGCCCCACTGTCAGAGATACCTCAGGTCGGCTGCCAGATTTCAGACGGTGAATCTAACCGCGCCGTCAGGGAGTTCTCCGTGAGACTGTCATTATCCTCGCTGTGCACCGCCTGAATGACTGACTGCATTTAGGGTTACAGAATGGCGAATTCCTAATCGGATTACAAAATCCAATTTCTGTTATATTAATAAAATTGTCTTTTATCCTGTAGGACTGTTGGTTGCCCTGAAATGTGTAGTTCTTGACTTTTAAGTACAAGTTTTAAAGTTAAAAGGCATTGCCCTAGTTCTTTCCGATGAAGTCCAAAGAGGTGTATTATTGCTCATTTTATTTCTTTTAAACACATACTTAAAAAAATGTTTTTTAAGCTAAAATGTTTAATTATGAAAATGTTTACATATCAGGTAGAATACGGTTTAGTGGGAGATAAACGTACTGTAATTGAAGTTTTAGCCTAGGCATCTTTTTTGTGATCCATCTTCAAAGTTCTGTCCCTTGCATCACAATTTATATGCTTAAGGAATAAAAATTCTATAATAATACAAAACTTTGGATGTAGATAGTATATTTGCTGAAATTTATAGGAAAATACCAGTCAAATCTCAAACAGAGTATTTTACTGTAGTATAAATTACAATTACCTCACTAATTGATTATTCTTTTCTGGTTATAACTAAAGTCAGGAGACCTGGCTCTAATTTTGGCTTTGCCTGAGCTTTACCTTCCTCATTTGTACAATTAGAGATTTGGACTAGACATACTGTGGATTCTTTTTCTATTCTATATGATTCTATGAAAATTTCAAAAATATGTTAGTTTGCATAGTTTTAGTATATTTTCTCTTTTCAATTATAAAGTCTGTTAATATTTTGGTTAAATTATTAAAGGAATTTTATTCTGTGTGGAAATATGATATTCTTATATATTTGATAGAAGAAAAGTTTTTTGTTTTTTTTTTTAATACTCCTAGGAATTTCAAGAGCAGTTGAAAATCACCACCTTTAAAGATCTGGTAATCCGGGACAAAGAACTGACCGGGGCATTAATTGCTTCCCTTATCAACTGCTATATCAGAGACAATGCCGCTGTTGACGGCATCAGTTTACACTTGCAGGACATCTGCCCACTTCTGTACAGCACGGATGATGCAGTCTGTTCCAAGGTACGGTGCTTCGCTAGCTGTTTCAGTGTTGCCTGCAGAAGAGGAGGTTTCGCAGTGTGGTCAACATGAACAGCGCGCTAGAGTTGGAATCAGGAACCATCTGTTTTTACTCTTATGTATGGCCTCAATACTTTTCTTAACCTCTCCTGGCCTCAGACTCCTCATCTGTATAAGAAAGGGGTCAGAATACATGATTTCTTAAAATCCATATATATTAAAGTTTTTCATGAAGAATCTTTGATGATATTGCTAGGCCATATTTTAAAAGATAATGGTTTGCCCCTGGCTGGTGTGGCTCAGTAGATTAAACGCCAACCTGAGAACCAGGTTCTCAGTTCCTTGTCAGGGCATATGCCTGGGTTGTGGAACAGGCCCCCAGTTGGGGGTGTGTGAGAGACAGCTGGTGGATGTTCCTCTTGCACATCAGTGGTTCTCTCCCTCTTTCTCCCTCCCTTCTCCTCTCTGAAAATAAATAAATAAAATCTCTTTTAAAAAATCAAGATAAAAAAATGGTGGTTAAACATGCTTCTCCTTAGAAATTAAAGAAAATCTCTAAAACCTAAAGTAAGTCTGTAATGAATCAGAGTTAATCGGGCAATTTTTATTGATCCTTTCCTACAGGTGGAAGGAATTTAAAAAATCAGTATCACGTGGACTGCCTGCTGACCAGTAATGTATTGACTAGGCAAGAGATTTACCAGAAAAAAAGCTATCTTGCTTAACATGTTTGTGAAAGGAATTAAGAATAGCTAGGATTTTTTGGTCAAAAACTTTTCTGCCTAAAATTAAGAAGAAAGTAAGTTTGTAGAGTTGTTTTTATTATTGATTATAATAAACCAGATGTAAATTTAGACATAAGACTAAAACATGTTGACAGCGTCATCTGTGTGCTCAATTTTATCTTTTTAAGTTCTTGTCATTTCTACTTTAGGCAAATGAGCTTCTCCAACGTTCCCGACAAGTTCAAAATAAGATGGAAAAAGAAAGAATGTTAAGGGAATCACTGAAGGAGTATCAGAAAATCAGCAATCAAGTTGACCTTTCCAATGTTTGTGCTCAGTATAGACAAGGTGAGAAACAAAACATTCTTCCTGACTTTTTTTTTTTTTTTTTTTTTGGTACCAAATTACTTTATTTGAAGGATGGTACAGATGAGAGATAGAAGTGGATGACTGGTGTAAGTTACGGGAAAGGGAAAGGTCACTCTGACATGCACGTGCTGCCTTGGTGACAGGGCTATGCATGTGCCATGGTCGTGGAAAGGCAGCCTGGGACTGAGCTCTCCTCACTGTCTCCCAGCTGTGCTTGTCAAAGAGATGCTCTGCTGAGCCAGACTCAGGGGCCCGCCATCTGCACAAGGTGGTTACGTGGTCACCCACTTCTTTGATGGATTTCACCTGCTTATCCAGGTGGTGAGTCTCCGTGAAGTCACACAAATGAGGGTCATTTTCTTTCAGTGGCCAGTTTGTGCAAGTCCAGTAGTGACCGATTCACACTTATTCCAAGTGTGACGCACACTGCATTGCATTCAGCCCGTTCTCCCAGCCATCACGGTCTGGTTTCCTGATACTCCGAAGGAAGATTGGGCCGCCTCCTTGGTTCTGCAGCATCATCAGTTTCTCAGCATGTTCCCTCTCCTCATAAGATCGGTGAAGAAAATATTTGGCAAAGTTCTTCAAAGCCACATCATCACGGTCAAAGCAGGAAGACGAAGATAGGTAGACGGAGGACGCGCAGGGCTCCAGGTTGATCTGGCAGTGGCTGGTGGCCTCCGCGTCCTGGTGGCAGCTCTGGCGCGTGTGCGAGGTGGACGTGGTCGTCATGATGTGCGCCTGAGGACAGGCAGCTTCGTGGCACGGGAGCAGTGGCAGAGGCCCTGGGGCGGTCCGAGGCACTGTGAGCGGGTGGCAGAAGGGCAGATCTGGGCATTAGGCTGTGCCGGGGGTCGAGCACGCGTTCTGTCCAAGCTCTGTTGAAGCAGGAAAGCACAGCAATTCCGGGGAAGACTGTCCTTCCTAACTGCTTAACTAAGGGGACAAGTGACTGCGTGACTGAAACGAGTTAGTGATGAAGAGCCTCTTCCCAGAGACGGATCTTCAAGTTCATTGGCTCAAGTGCATGACATGGAAACCCGTTCCTCGTGTTTTACTTTGTGGTGACTGCGCTGGCCTCCTCAAAAGCTTTGGTGCTCTTTTTGTATCTTCAAATATGTCACTTTATACCATTGGTGTTTCAGTCCTGGTTCAGTTTAACTACTGTGTGTATGAGACTGCTTTCTGGGTTACATTTAAGATGCTTAAAAGCTTTTGTTTAATTCTTTTACCTGCCTTGAAGTATACTGTAAAATATTACCTAGTCAAATTTAAAAATCTAAAATAATATAAAATAACTGTAGAAAAGGTATTGTTTTAAATCCCAAGACTTTTCAACAACCAACTGTGTCTCTCCTGTTTGCTATTTTTTTTAAGATAATATTTATTTTTTTAGAGAGAGGAGAAAGGAGGGAGGAAGAGAGAGAGGGAAACATTGATCGGCCACCTCTTGCTCCCCCCTAACCGGGGACCCGGGCATGTGCCCTGACTTGGAATCAGACTGTGACCTTTGGGTTCACAGCCCAGTGCTCAGCCCACTGAGGCGCACCAGCCAGGGCATCTGGTTTGTCACTTTAAATACAAGAAAATTTTTCCAGTGAAGAAAATATACTTAATAGCTGCCTTTTAGTCCTGTTAGGACCTTGTTCTTTGGGGGCCTTGTTCTGTGGTAAACGCATTAAGAAATTTTTTATATAATGTCACCACAGTGACTAATGTACAATAGAAATCTAATAATATTTGATCAGTATTTTTATAAGCCAGCTAAGAGAAAACATACCCAGCTTAATAATAAACCTTAAGTCTTTGTCCTTTCTCTTTCCCCTCAGTGCGTTTTTATGAGGGTGTGGTGGAGCTCTCTCTCGCTGCTGCTGAGAAAAAAGATCCTCAGGGTCTTGGACTTCATTTCTATAAACATGGAGAACCAGAAGAAGACGTCATGGGACTTCAGGCTTTCCAAGAAAGGTGAATTTTATTACCTTAGCAGACTTTCCTTCGTGAAAAGTTTGATTGATAGTATTAGGGAAATAATATTTCAAATATAACCCTTATAAAATTCAATTCAATTATGCTTTCACTTTAAAATGACTTGTTTTATCAAAAGCCTGACTCAATGTTCTAATTCCTTGCCTACGGATAAAATTTTGATCTGGTAAAAATTCCTTAGTACTTATAAATATTTTAGAAGTTGTTTCTGTGGTTTTTCTGAGACTTTATTAATGTCAATTTTAAATGAGATAACTTGGAAACAAAACTGGCTTTTCCCCCACCTCCTGATCTCTTCCTCTGGATGACGTATTTTATTTTAAAGGATGAATTTTAGATGTTTGCAAATTAGTAGAGACAAAAGAAGTAAAGTGCTATGTCCATAAAATACATACTCTATCTAAGACATGGTTTTTGTTAATACATTCATTTTTATGACATTACCCTTTTATGTTTAACCAAATGCCCCTCCAACTTATTGAAAAATCATATCTATTATTTTTACTATCAAATATATACATATATTTATTCTTCAAAATAGTCTTTCAATTCTGGTTGTGTATGTAAAATTGGGTAAGATAAATAAATCAGTTCCTATCTAATTAATGCCGTTGCTCCTTTCCCATTCCTTTTCAGATTAAACAGTTACAAGTGCATTACAGATACACTTCAGGAACTGGTAAATCAAAGTAAGGCCGCCCCTCAGTCTCCCAGTGTACCCAAAAAGCCTGGGCCTCCTGTGTTGTCATCGGATCCCAATATGCTGAGTAATGAGGAAGCAGGACATCACGTAAGGGACATAGCATATTTTCATTCTGAAAATACACTGCACTTAGAACTGCCGTGTGGTGGGGGCAGCATAATCCCCTTGGGAAGGGCAGTAGCTCTTGGAACATTTAAGGGTTCTTGATTTCTCTCCAGGGGTTAATAAGGCTAAGGGTTCATGATGTCCAGCAACAGAGCCCTTATCTGTGCTAATTTTTCCTGCTTTCTTTATTTTAGTTTGAACAAATGCTTAAATTATGTCAACGATCCAAAGATGAGCTCTTTAGTATTGCCCTTTATAATTGGCTAATACAAGCTGACCTTGCGGATAAACTGCTACAGGTGAAAAATGGTTTTTTATTCCAATGTTGTTAATTTCTATAAGTAATGTAGTATTTTTTCCTAGTGTGCAAAATAGATCGTTGCTCTAATTTTCTCATTATTTATCAGTTAATTGGGGTAGTTTATATTGCGGGGTGGGAATCACTGGATTATGATCAGGAGACCTGAACTTGGTTTGAGCTCTGCCATTAAGTCACCACATTGACTTCTCATGTCTCTTCACTTCCCTAAATCTGTGTTTCACACATAAAATGAATGTGTGGCATTTGATCATTTCCAGGATGCCTTTGAGCTCAGAGTTTGAGACTCAGTAGTTGTGTTCTCAAGGTTTATTAAGATTTATAATTGGATTAAAATAAATTATTTTTATCAGCCTAAAGTATCCTAGCAACTGTTTCATCAACTGTGGTAAAAAAAAAAAAAAAAAAAAATCATTTGTAATGAGAAGATTGCCCTCTCTTTTATCTATCGTTTTATTATAATTTTGCTTATATAGTCATAAAGTAAGGCATACCTGTAGTTATCTTTAAAGTGTTTTACTTACTGTGTGAAGAGCAAGTGTATGGTGAGAAAATGTTTCTGGGTACCTGTATAATTTCCAGATCACGTCCCCATTTCTGGAGCCACATCTAGCCCGAATGGCCAAAGTTGATCAAAACAAAGTCCGCTACATGGATCTGCTCTGGAGGTATTACGAGAAGAGCCGCAGCTTCAGCAGTGCCGCCCGCGTCCTGTCCAAGCTGGCCGACATGCACAGGTACGGCAGCGTTCTCGCCGAGGGCAGGGCCAGTGACCTGCTGCACCCGGGCCCATCCGGATTTCAGAACGTAAATGAGACTTCGTTCAGGTTCTATGTGTGTAGAGTTTTTATGATTTTATTTGGATTTATCTAAAGTTTACAGTGTTTTCTTTGTTTTGTTTTTAAGAATGTGTAGGAGATTCTAAAAGAATATATAAGGTCCTTTTTATTCAAATTGTCTTCTAAGTCCTTTTCTCTAAAACATGCCTTTAGAGTCTTCCTAATGACAATTAATTGCTATTCTTGATTAAAAGGACAAAAACTATTTTTTAAAAGTTTTAAATGTTTTCCCAATTCCAGACTAATTTTCCTTATTCTGTTATTGGGTTAAATTACTGAAAAGGTCTTAGAGGATTATCAAGAATCCTGTTAACGTAAGTATTGGGATTTCTAATTAGATTATCATATCGAAAAGACAATGTAATCAAATTAGGTTGCGTGTGTGTGAAGTAAATGGGTAATGGTGTTCCTAAAAGTTAGAGAACTTCTGAATATTTCGTAACAAAAAATGAGTAATTGTTTTAACAGGGAAAAGGTTAATGTTCAAGGAGGGGATGCAGAAAAGGAAGCCTGTGGGGTTGGAGACAGTGAACAAGGGAGCACGCGGGAGGGGGTGAGGGTGGGGGAGTACGTGGCGGCTCTTGTCGTATTTTCAGAAAGCGTGTGATGATCTGGTTTTGTTTTCTAGTAGCCACTCTAGTTGCTCTGTAGAAGATTAAATGTAGTATTGGCCATGTTAAGGCAAAGAAATAAAGAATACGAGGAGCTATAAAGAATATTCTTAATTTAATTTGAAAAGAATCCCAGTTTTAATATCCTGAACTAAAGTTTTAAAATAGGAAGTTACTTTTTTGGACACAAACATGCCTGTCTTTATGTGTTGCCTTAAATTGTGGCTCGCTCTCATTAGAAATCCTCTTATAAACTTTTTTCAAGTTCCAATTGGCTTTTTAGGTCCATTTGATAACAAAATAGCACATCAAAATTGATGTGTTTGTATCTTGGAACCTTAAGAATTCATATAAATAAAAATGAGCGTTTTTCCCCCCAGCACAGAAATTCCACTCCAGCAGCGACTAGAGTACATTGCTCGTGCCATTCTTAGTGCCAAAAGCTCCACAGCCATTTCCTCCACAGCTGCAGACGGTGAATTCCTTCATGAACTGGAAGAAAAAATGGAAGTAAGTGATGAAGATACTTAAGCTTTGTCTACACTGAGTACTTTCCCTTCTTCCTCTAGTAAAATGATAGGTCTACAGTAGCAGTCAGTATTATTAATTCTAGCTTTCTCTGCTTTTATTTTCCATTTATTTTCATATTTAGATATAAATTGTGGAAGACTTTAATGATACAGTATTTGGGTCACAGACTGTTGCTGTAATTTAAAACTTTTCTCTATGGCAGTTCTAAAGTTTTTTTCCAACTCTTCCAACACAAATCAGATTATATCACATTCACTGTTTATTCTGGAAGCTAAAAGGTAGACATTTGGAGTAGAGGAGACTGCCTTAATTGACTCCAAAAAATGTACAGTAGTCCCAGTACAAAAGCTTATTTCCCAAACACAAAAATCCAGAGTGGGTATTTCTGATTGACAGGTGACTTTCTTCCACTCGGTTTATTTTGGGGACCCAAGTCTTATTTTCTGTTTTTATTATTACCTTTGACCTTACCTCTTTCTTCATTCAGAGGGAGGAAGGGAAAAAAGCATGAAAGACCTCTCTTAGAAACCTCAGCTCTGAAGTGACACACTTCACTTTCCCTCCTGTCCCTTTGCAGAGAACTTAGTCTCATGTCCGCACTTCCCTGCCAAGGCGGCTGGGAAGTGCAGTCTAGCCGTTCGTCTGGCTGCCAGCTCGGCAAGAACAGCTACTGACGGGCGGTAAAGACTCTGCCAAAGGACCTTTCTTGGGAAAACTTTTCTGCTGTGATGAAGGGTTGCTAGTCTGTTATGATAGAAGTTTTTATTAATACATTGATTTTAAGAAACTTGAAGCCAGATACTAACAGTCATTTCTTTGAGTACCTCTTGATCTTTTATAATGAAATCAATATTTCCTTTTGTCCGTCCAAACTAGGTTGCTAGGATCCAGCTTCAGATACAGGAGACACTACAAAGGCAGTATTCCCACCATTCATCTGTACAGGATGCCATATCTCAGCTGGATTCTGAGCTAATGGACATAACTAAGGTAATAAAAAAGCACGTGGAAGTCCTGCAGCAGCCACGCAGCCACCGAACACCTACACTTCACGGTGGGGGTTTTTGCATTTTATTTTTTGTTTCGCTGGGAAAGATTAACCTACCTCCACAAAATAAGGTCGGCCATCCTTGGCAGCATGTCCCTGGGCCGACAGATCTCTGTTCTGGTGTGTGACTTGGAGAAAGAGCTAAGTGTCTCTTTCCAGGCCAGTTAACTGTCAAGAATCTATCAGCATCATATGGGGATTGGTTAAAACTCCTGCCAGCTATTTTATTCCCTTGCTTCTTGTCTTGAAAAAGTAACATCTTTGCTTAACTCTCCAAGCTTCTCTATCTTTCTGAGCAGTTCTTTCTTCAGTTATTCTTGGACATGGCTTTAGTATCCATAAGCATCCGTAAGCATATGTCAGTATTTCAATGATTCTTCAAGCCCTGTTGTAGACAATAGCAATTCTATAAGAGAAGTCATTATGACATCTACCAGCCAAGAAAAAAATGGCATACATCCTAAAACCTATTTGCATGGAGTTACCATTCATTCACCACTTTAATCCAGAGTTATGACCAGCTCTACACATCTTGTATTTTTATATCATATTTTAGGAACTTTAGATAAAATCTTTGGTTGTTTTTAACTTTTAAGTAGGGCTTCATTATTAATTTCTGGTGACACTGGCCTCTGGTTGGATGTATAATGTTGACATTTTCTCCTACAGCTTTATGGGGAATTTGCTGACCCATTTAAACTTGCAGAGTGTAAGCTTGCAATAATTCATTGTGCCGGTTATTCAGACCCTATATTGGTGCAGACCCTGTGGCAGGATATCATAGAGAAAGGTAAGCGTCCATTCCTCCGTGCAAAGATGTACTTAGCTTCCATTCCCTAGTGACTTGGTAGAGAAACACAGACCGCTTGCAGTTCATGTGTCCAGAGCGCATGAAAATTGCTCCTGAGCAGAGGGCACATGGAGGGCACCTGGGTACGGTGGAGGGTGGTCCTCTGGAGAATGAGCCCGGGGAGCACTGGAGAGGACTCCCGGGGAGTATCATTTTGGGGTTTGCACTGCCTAATATGGGCAACTGAGACACTTCCCTCAGAATCTCCTATCCCCTGCCCTGTAAGATGAGAGAGTGTATCAGAACCCAGCCGAAACAGAGGATCCTGTCCTTACGTTCATGTGACTGTCGGTTCCGGGGTATTTCATTCCCTGAAACAATAAAACAGCCCATATAACCTCTTCACCTTAAACATAATTGGGGTCTCTAATGACATGTCTCTGTCTTACAGAACTGAATGACAGTGTGATGCTGAGCTCCTCAGATAGAATGCATGCCCTTAGTCTGAAGATCGTCCTCCTTGGCAAAATCTACGCCAGCACACCTCGCTTCTTTCCCCTGGGTGAGCAGTCACCTCGGCGCTGCCGTGGGTTTTCTCTTCTGCAGGTTTCTTCACTGACATGGAAAAATAACTCTTTAGGCTGAAATCATTTCTTTATTGCTATTAAGTAGTTCAGTTCTACCTCTCCAAAAAGAAAGACCTCCAAAGAAAAGCAGAATTTGTTGGTAACTAGTTCAGTATAGAACTCTTTGACCCTCCAAGTTTACAGATCTGTCTGGGGTTAGAGTAGACCAACAGACGACAGTGATAATATTGTTGGTAACCCTGTATATGCTTGTATAGATGAAAGAAAAATGACTGGTGTTTTTGTGACTGGCTAATCTGTGATTGATTCCACAACTCCTCTTGTCATACTGAAGGCATGTTTTTCTTTAAAATAGCGAGTACTTGTCTTCAAAGTGTAATATGCTAATTGTTAGTAGATGACTAATTTCTATGAATCATTTGCCAAGCTATTGTGTTTTCTTCTGTTGTAAAACAATAGAATCAACATAAATACATTTATAAAATAGAATGTAAACCAGCTTGTGTTTTTGAAAAATATTGAGATACATGATAATGCTCACACTGTATCATTAAATTTTTTACAAATCAGGATACAGACTTACTTACAGACCATCTCTAATTTAGTATTTATTCCCCAAACATGGTAAGAAATAAAACCACTGTTATCATACCCTTATGTTTTGTAAATACAGTACTGTATTTACCTGCTGTGCCATTTCATTGATCAGAAAAATAAAGAGCAAATACATATATATTTTATGAGTATACGAAAGTTGACAATTTTAATAGTAAAAAGGCCACATTCTACACAACGGCCTTGGAGAGCACTTCTGCTTTGACTTGAAGTTTTAATTTGGGACTCAGAAGAGTTCAGGGTAGAAGAGGTCTTCCTTTTTCTGTCAGCCTGTCAATCAGGCTCCAAGGGGTTTCAAAGCAGGACAAATTATAGTTTTGTTACCTGTGCAAAACCATTGTGTGGTGATTTGTAGGAGGGACACAGGCTCCACAGCAGCTTTTTCAGTGATTCTTCTTACTCATGGGTATTCACGTTCAGTCTCAGATTTCAGGTATCATAAACCTGAATTTGAATGTTACTGTTATGGGCTTATTTATAATATGGTAGATAGTAAAAAGTAAAAATGGGTTAGCACATTAAAAAAATCAAAATGAGTAATTTGTGAGTCTTGGAGAGGTGCATTTTAAAACATATTTAATATTTCTAAATTCAGGATGCAGTAGCCTTTCCTGTCTGAAAAGCTGTTATATCAAGGATATATCAGTATGTTAAAGAGATATTATCAGTGTTCTCTCCAGTAGTGGGGTTGTGAATGGTCTCTATTGTACCTCTCTATATTTTCCAAATTTACTAAAATGCAGTTTTTTCTTAATAGCTTTAAAGTGTATAACTCAATGGTCTTAGCATATTCACAGTTTTGTAACCATCGCACAATTAAACTTAAATCGTTTTCATCACCCCAAAATGAAACCATGTTGCAGCCACTCCCCACTCCCGTGGCCCTGGGCCACTACTAATCTATTCTCCATCTCTATGGATTTGCTGATTTTGGTATATTTGTCTTATTTTTATTAAGAAATGTTTTTGAAAATTGTTTTTTAAAGGATTTCCTCTTACAAACTGCTCATTTATGAATAAGGCCTACTTTTTAATATGAAGAGTCAACAATCCTACAACAACAAAAAAATAGTAATTGTGTGAGGTGAAAGACGTGTTATCTAATGTGATTGTAGCAAACATTTCATAGTGTATGCGCATCCAGTCATCGCATTATACACCTTCACCTTATACATTGTTATTTGTCAGTTATATCTCAGTAAAGCTGGGGGGGAAATAGTCAGCAATCCTAAATCCTGACCCTTTTTCCTCCCCAGATTTTATTGTGCAGTTCTTAGAGCAGCAAGTCTGTACTCTGAACTGGGATGTGGGTTTTGTCATACAGACAATGAATGAAATCGGAGTGCCCTTGCCTCGACTGCTGGAGGTGTATGATCACTTGTTCAAGTCACGGGTAAGGAAAGTGCTAAATGAAATAAAATCATTTAGTTAAAGTTACGTAACTTTTTCTAGACATAGGAGTGGTTTATTCTGATTGCATGTTTATAAGTCTCTCATCATCTAATAGATCAGGAATTTGCTTCATTGATTTAGTATCAAATTATCGTAAGTCACTTTTAAAACCAATAATGAGAGGGCTTTGCTGTATTTCATGATAAAAATCAAATATTACTTTTTAATATAAACATGTTTTACTCTTGGAATAGACTAAACACATTATATTAGGACTCATCATGTACTTTAAAAGAACAAAATAGCTATATTAACTGTAACTTCATCTAAAATATCCTTGTATAAAAGTCTTTCTCACCACATTGAACCTTATTGGACCAGCGATTTTTAACCTTTTTCATCTCATGGAACATGTAAACTAATAATTAAAATTCTCCCACACACCAAAAAATAGATTTTTTGCTGATCTGACCCCAAAAAAGATGTATTATTGATGGATTTACAATAAACAAGTTAATTAATAATAGTAATTACCTACCCTTTTTGCTCGAAAGTGACTTTTTAGAAAATGAGTTGCCTATACTTGTACATAGGGATTTCTGACCAAGAATTAATCAATCAGATACAACCTTAATATGCAATGTGACCAATAAGACGCACCTCTATTATATGACCTTTATATTTATGGTGCAAGACAGGCCATTCATGCTGTATGGATATTATTGTGTGGGCTGTTGTCAATTTTTTTTTTTTTTTTTTTTTTGGATAACCTAAAAGGAGAGAGGTCAGTGCCTCTTATTTGTCAGGTATTATATGTTTAAAAACTTCTTAAGGCACACCAGTTGAAAATTGCTGTTTTTAGCCTATACATTGTAATTTTTATTCTTCAATAAAAGATCAAAATAAAACCTTGTTGAACTAAATCGTGACTTTTATAGTAGCATCATCAAAATTCCCACAGTGTTTTAGGTACGTGTGTATCTCATTTAAGCCTCACAGTGAGCCTGTGATGGAAATGAGCAAGTAGCAGTATCCCCTCTTCTACTCCATCTGACAAGAGCAGAGATGTTAAATAACCTACCCAATGCACATGGTTAGTAACAGGTGAAGGCGGAGGTGGAATTAAGATTCTTTGACTATTAATTTAGCCTCTTATTTACAGTATCAAACTGAATCTCCATAGATTCACAATAAAAGTGATGTCCCAGATGATAAGAGGTGGATTTTTTCTCTTACCTCTGGTTCCTAAACAGGAAATTTACATGCTCTGTCAAATAGATTGATATAAAATATTCCTCATAAATAACATCACATTGGAGTTTTCAGTATTATTCAAATATTAATCATAACCAGATAAAGTAGTTCAGTAACCACGTAATGTTAAATACTTATTTTAATATCAGGAAATTTTGCCATGGACTCTGATGGCTGTTTTAACCAACATAAATTTTTAGTTAAAATCAATTGACAGAGTTTGCCTTATAACTTACAATGTACATTTTCTTTATAGGATCCATTCTGGAATAGAATGAAGAAGCCACTGCACCTTTTGGATTGTTTACATGTGCTGTTGACAAGATATGTTGAGAATCCTAGCCAGGTTTTCAACTGTGAGAGGTAACTATAAATTAAATATTATATTACATAGTGAAAGCTTTTAAGTGATTCTAATAACTATCTGGGTAACAAATTTGGAGACAATGGTGAAAGATACTGAGATTGTAAAGAAGTACAGGAGATTTAGGCCTTTTTTTTTTTTTTTAATGTTAACAGTAACTATTTGAGTGATACTAATCGGCATGTATGTAAGGTTAGAGTTTTTCTATTTTTCATCCCTTATGCAGAATTCTTTCTGCAAGTGAAAGGATACCATTTATGGATTACTTCTAAACTCCATTTGCTTTGAATTAGTGACCAAAGACCGTTTAATTAGGACTCTGTGATATTATTGGCCATTTTAAGGTATATTTGTTTGAAAAGGCCAAAAGAATGTAAATAATTTAATATTAATTTAAGGAATCATCGTTTACTGCTTCTTCATTACAATAACCTTCCAAAGAAAGATGGTGATGTTGCAGTAATCCATCTGCCCCCTGAGTTTCCGCCTCCTTTCACTTATTTGCCATTTACTTAATCACATGATCCTTGCTCTTCTGTGGGAGTATAAGTAAGGTTAGCAGAAGTGGGAGGGGAATCCTTTAGAAAGAAATGTTTGTAAATATATACACAGTTGATCTGGTGTCTTTTCCTTTACAGGAGAAGATTTACAAATCTCTGCCTGGATGCCATTTGTGGTTATCTGGTTGAGCTGCAGTCTATGAGCTCTTCAGTAGCAGTACAAACCATCACAGGGAATTTTAAATCACTTCAGGCAAAATTAGAACGGCTTCATTAATTATTGTAATGTACTTTTTCCATTCATTTTGAACTGTAAAATAAAATCTCATCTGGGTCCAAATAGCAAGTGCTCTAAATCTAAGAAATCAAGACAATTTTAATAGAAATGTGTTTTTCACAAGTGGGTAGTATCTACAAACAACACATTGGCCAGATGAATTCTTTTTTTACTACTTCTCTGTTTTATAATCAGGTCAAAAAACAACTAAGATTTTTAATGCTCTTATTAACACACGGATAAGGAATATTTAGGAACTCTTATTTTGAATTTTAATGCAGGCATAAATTTTGAATCTATAGTATTCATTTTCAAATTAATCCAAAGATGGTTGGTATCAAAATTTAAATAGGCTAGCTGAGCAGGTCATTCCCATAATACTGGATTCTACAACAAGCCTTAAAAAGGCAAACATACACTGTCTCTTTTAAGTTACTTAGGTGTTGGGTGTATCCTTGGGAAGAAATTTCCTCCAACTACTACTGATGTCAGTTAGAGCCCTTGAAGAGTAAACATATCAGTTTGTTTTTTCAGCAGGTGATACACTTCTAACTAATGGTCTGTGTCCTGAAAACCTGTACAGGGAGATAACTCTTTTTTTCCTAGTGCCTACCTAGTTCTTTGGCCTTGTGACTACTGATTTTATTAAAACATTGATTTCTCAAAATGTGTGCAGCAAACCAGCACTTCAGCATCATCTGCGAGTTTGTTAGAAATTCAGATTATTGAGCCCATTTCCAAACCTCCTGGATCCCTAACTGGGGGTGAGGCCCAGCTCTCTGTGTCTTAACAAGCCCCCTGGCGTGTGCTGGGGCATGGCAGGTAGTGCGTGACAGGCTATGGCTGGCCTGTGCATTGAGCTCCTGATCCGATTCCGCCTCTCCCCCCATGGATGACCAGAGCCTCCAAGATTCACCCAAGACACCCGATATGTAAAGCACAGTTGTTAGTAATGTAGTTTTCAGGTTTTAAGAAAATTGGAATAACTAAACCAAATGCCCCAAAGTCATGGCAATGATGAGGGAAGAGAAGGGGGTGAGAATGACCAGGACTAACCAAAAGTGAAGAGCATAGCCTGCTCTCCTCTCACATTTATGCCACCAAGAATAACGGCCTTCTCTCTGCTGTCACTAAGGCATGTCTAACGATTTTTAAAATACACTTTGGAAATAGATTTTCTTCCATGTTTATTTTTTCCCCAAGACCGTGGGTTGCCCTTTCCATATTTATTCTCTTAGAATTTGGCTCCCTTTCTCCTGTAATCTTTAATTTATAATATTTAATAGAATGTTAAGATATCACTTATTAGGTACAACTACCTCTCATATTTTTCAGATTGTCAATGAAGGTTTTTTAATATGGAAAATAAATATATGCTATACTTTGCTAATTCTGTAAATTTAAAATCCTGTTATGTCTACTTAAAATGAAAGCTCAGCTTAAATGTTACAATTTAGCTGTAACTCCAGTTCTGCTAGATATATTTATAGTTTTGTTTTATATATAATACATTAATTATATATAATATATAGATACAATATATACTAATATATAAGCTATATGTAATATATATTTTATATATTATATATTATATATAACTTAATATAGTATATATAACAATATATCATTTATAAAATATATAGTTATGTTTTAAATACATTTATATACAACCACATTAATATATATGTTAAATGTACTCAACTCACAATATTGAAGCTACTTCATTCAAAAGGGCCGCAGGCTAGCATGGCTAAACGGTTTGTAGGAGTCAAAAATCTGAACCCTGCCCCTTTCATTCCTGTGGTTCCTTTTGAGAGGCTTTAAGAATTCCACCTGTCCAACAGATGTTTTCAATACCCTTTGGGGAGGTAAGATCCTTAAAAGAAAAGGAATTAGATCTCCTCACTTTTAGTCCTCTGGACAATGTTTCTAAAACTTTAACATTCATAAGACTTGCCTGTATAACCGAATAAAACAGATTGTTGAGTTCCACCTCCAAAGTGAGGCTGGTACCAGTGGTCAGTGGATAAAGTAGGGGTGGCATTGTTTTTGCGCTTGTATCCACTGCATCACTATATACTTTGAACTTGGTATTCATTCAACACATTTTTTATAGTGACTATTAAACATGTATAGGCAATGAATAATGAATAGACCATAGCTTACGAAACAGTGTATTCATTGTAGTCAGGAGACATTGAAGAGTTGTTATGTATGTATATTTTAGGTAGATTGTTATGTATGTATATTTTAGGTAGATCATATTAGTGTGGCAAATGGTTAGGTCTAAAGAAGAGAAAAACCTATTTTGAGTAACTGTAAAGTATGGCATGTTGACCCCAGAATGCATGTCATGCGTGTTCAACATTTTTTAGTTGTAATTTACTACACAAACTTCCTCCACTTCTATGTATCATAGTTAATTTCACCTCAGGACTCAGAGATTACTCATCTCCTCCTTGAGATACTTCCCACCTCCATCTCTTTTCCTCTTATTCATCAGAGGAAAAATTATGATAGTGATACAGTCATAGCAAGGAAATGAAGAACTAAAAATGTTGAATCTAAATTCGTGAAAGGGCACATAATTTCCTTTCAGTTTCTATCAGTTTCTTTATTTAAATTCTCTGAATAATGAAACATGTGCTTAGACTCTTCTTGAGTCCTGTAATAAATCATTTAAACTCTTCTGAGCTTGGTTTCCTCACTGGCAGTTTTCCTCATGAGCATTACTTCTACTGCTTCATGGTATGTTTGAAATTAATATTTGTTTTAAAACTCTTAGATATGCTGTTTGCATTGTAGCCACTCCTATCAGACAGAAAACTAACTCTTTTTAAGCCAGGACTGTCCTATCTGTAGCCCACACCTGAGTGTTCGCCTGTGTAATGAACACTTCCACTTGGGTGACCTCCACACCTCCTCAGTCAAAACGTGACCAGACCCCCCTCTCTCCCTGCCTTCTGTCCGCTCCTGTTCCCGCTCCTCTAGTTTCTGCCTTAGCCTTTATTATCGAGGTATTCAAATCAGAAATATGGGTACCATCTTTAAATTCTTCTCCCTCCAAAACCAATCAGTTGCTGATTTCTCAGCAAGTCTGTTTTTCTTCACATCCTCCATGTCTGTCCAGTTGTCGCAGTTTATTGTATTTCACTTAGGCCTGCAGTAGACTCTCAGTGGTCTTTCTGCTTCTAATTTGAACCCCTCTTCATTCTTTTTTCCACACTACAGTTAGAGTGGTCTTTTTAAAATGTAAACCTACATATATTATACCCCCACCTTTTCCCTTGGAAGAAATTCCACATTCCTGGTGTGGCATATGAGGGCTTTATTGCAAATGATAAAAATTAAAATAAAAACATCTCTAGTTTAAGCAAAACAATTTACTGGCCTTCAAAAGAAAGAAGTCCAGGTGTAAGGCTCTTCGCACATGGTTAAACCCAAAGCCACACATCTTCAGAGCTTTATTTCTAGGTCAGTCCTGCCCTTGTTTTCATAATCATTTGTTGTTTCTTTCCGCAGTTTGCACCATAAACTCCTGGGAGAAAGTGGGTAGCATCAAGTTCATCCTGTTCACTCTAACCCAAGTGTGTTGTCAACAAAGAAGTGGTAGGAAGGGTTCTGACTGACCCGGCCTGAGTCACGGATTCAGTCTTGGCGTATAGTGGTGCAGGAGCATTGCCCAAGCATACAGAACAGGAAAGAAGTGCTTGCCTACAGAATTGTAGGCTAGGCACACATCACTCTACTACATCTGTCCACCCACCTTCTTCACGACTGACTTCCTGTGCTCTGAGGAAAACTAAAACCCCATCAATCTGGCTCAGCGAACCCAAAGCAGGATAGACACAAAAGCATACCAAGGCACTTCATAATCGAATTTTCCACAAACTAGGAATAAAAGGGAACTTAGCCTGATAAAGGACATCTGTGAAAAATGTACAGCCCAAATCACATCTGATGATGGAAAAAGTAAACACTTTCTCCTTAAAGTTGGGGGGAAAAATAAGGATGTTTCTATTCAGCATTGTATTGGAGGTCCAGTGCAATTTGGCAAACAAAAGAAATAGAAGACAAGATGGAAAAGCAGGCATAAACGTGTGTTTATGCAAGTACTCATTTAAAATAATGTTAAAAAACAAAATAGGATTTTTTTAAAGAAAATTTAAGACCTTTACAATGGGAACTACAAAACAGTGTTGGAAAATTTCAACCCTTAGTAATGAGAAGTATACGGTGTTCATGAATTGGAAGATAACCTATTAACACGTCAATTCTCACCAAAATGATATACAGCTTTGATGAAATCCCAACCAGATTTCCAGCAGACTTTTTTTTTTTTATAGAAACCGACAAACTGATCCTAAAATATACATATGGAAATCCTAGGCTAGCCAAACAGTTGAAAAAGAATATATTAATATTTGGGAAACATTCTATTGACTTTATTATAAAGGTTCATTAACTGATAATGGCATTGCTGTAAGGATATACGTATCAGTCAATGAAACAAAGTAAAAGTACAGAAATAGATACATATGTGGGCACTCAATTTTCATCAAAGGTACCAAGGTAATCGAGTGGAGGCAATAATAGTCTTTTCAATAGATGGTGCTGGAACAGTTGAATATTCACCCCCAAAAATACCCTCAACCCTTACCTCATAACAAAAAATTAGTGATATGCATCATAGACCTAAATATAAGAGATGAAACTGAAACTTCTGAAGGAAAACTGGAGAAAAGTCTTTTTTTTTTTTTAATTTATTTTTAGAGGGGAAGGGAGGGAGAAAGAGATACATCAAGGTGTGGTTGCCTCTCAAGTACCCCCTCCTGGGGACCTGGCCCACAACCCGGGCATGTGTCCTGACTGGGAATTAAACCAGTGACCCTCTGGTTTGTAGTCCAGTGCCCAATCCACTGAGCCACACCTGACAGGGCTGAAGAAAAACCTAAATGACCTTGAATTAGGGAGATTTCTTAGGACACAGAAACCCGGAATCAGATCAAGTTGGTAAATTGGACACCAAAATTTAAAACATCTGCTTTTCAAAAGACATTTTAAAAATGAAAAGGCAACCCATGCCTTCATGGTCAATTAATATTTTTGACAAAGGAGCAAGAGCATGCAACAGAGTAAAGACAGTCTCTTCAATAAATGGTGTTGGGAAAGTTGGACAGGTAACGCAAAAAAAATGAAACGACCAACTTACACCACACACAAGAATAAACTCAAAATGGATAAAAGACTTACAACATAAGTTGCAAAACCATAAAAGTCCTAGAAGAAAACAAGCAGTAAAATTTCAGACATCTCACCTTGGTGATATATCTTAGGGCAAGGGAAACAAAGGGGAAAAGTAAATAAATGGGACTGCATCAAATTTAAAAGCTTTTGAACAGCTAAAGAGACCTTCAACAAAGTGAAAAGGGAACCAACCCACTGTATGGGAGAACATGTTTGCCAATAATATATCTGATAAGGGTTTAATTTCCAAAATATATAAAGAACACCAGGAAGACAAACCAATTTAAAAATGGGCAAAGGACCTTAATAGACAACTCTCCAGAGAGGACATACAGAAGGTCAATAGATGTGGAAAAAATGCTCAATATCACTAATCATCAGAGAGATGCAAATTAAAACCACAATGAGATACCACCTCACACCTGCCAGAATGACTACCATCAATAAATCAGTAAACAAGTGCTGGCGAGGCTGTGGAGAAAAGGGAGCCCTCGAGCACTGTTGGTGGGAATGAAGACTGATGCACTCGCTGTGGCAAACAGTATGGAGTTTCCAAGCAAAATTATTATTTGATTCTTTACAAAGAGATCAGCGTTCTTCACAGAGAAAGTCGCTCTCTAAATTTCTTGTTATACAGGGTCCAGCACAATTAATGCCCCTGTTTTATTATAAATAAAATCTTGTATTACAAAATCATAAGCAGGTAATTCTGTAACATAACAATATCACACTCAAGCACACCATGTGACATTTTAGGTGAAATGTTCAAATTAAAACTATAAATTATTACCCTACCAACCACACTCAAGCAGGCGTTACTTCTGCCAGACCCTGTATATCAAACTCAAAGCATTAATGTGTGAATATGGAGCTTTATCATAAGCTACAGTGCAGGGCAATTCAGAGAGGACTCAGAATATACCTAAGAGAAGTACTATCCAAGCAAATGAGGGAGAAGAAAAATGACTTAGCGGAAACCAGGAAACCAGGAACACATGTATTTCAAGGTAAAATCTCATGGGGATGGAGTTGAAGAAAAAGTTGAAAGAGTAGATTTTCCCAGTTACTGGAAAATATTGTTTCTTAGGATCCTCCACCCCCAATTTGGGGTGATCCCAGCAGAATAAAAAAAAAGGCGATGGGAATGGAGCTGATACGTTCCTGACCTGCTCTCACCTCTTAGGACAAGTTCGTTGAGAGCAAGAGGACCCCACTGTAGGGGCAATGGAATGGGTGAATGAAGGATGTGTCTGAGTCTTCATGGACACTGTGGTATCATCACATGGAAAATTAGAGACTCACTTAATGTACCACATTGGACACCAATGCAACAGACCCAGGAGCAAGCATCAGATATCCTGAAGCAGTGATGGGTAAACATACAGAAAACAAAGTTTGAGTATCATCACTCCACCATGGCTGTGAAGGCACAAAACCCCTACCACTATCGTTATGAATCTGCTCTGTAGATTAAGTAGAATGAGAATGAGAAAATCTTCAGGCTAGAGAATTTGTTGGAAAGAAACTATACCAAAGAAGAAATGGAAGTAAAATTACTTGTCAAGATAAAGACTTTCCTTGTTACACATTGAGGTAGAGGCTCATGAAAATGTTCAATTATAGAAAAAGTTTTAAACTACATGTTCTTTGTAAAGTAGGTATAAATTTGCCATCTTTTCACTTTATCATAAAAGAAGCCAGTCTGAAGAGGGAAAAGAATCAGAGAAAAATGGAGCACAAGACCTGCCTGATCAAAACTTGCAAGAAGCCTGCTGCACCCATGTTAATGAGCCACTCAGCTTCTTTTATTCTTAAGTACAGTGCGTGCGAAGTTCTCTGTTATGTAAGATCTTTAATAGGCTTAAAGATTGGCAATTTAAATCAGGCAGTAAATCACAGAGTTGAAAATTGAACATAATACGTGTAACATCCAAAGTGGGTCTCTTAATCACCACACTTGATTGCAAAGGTAGTTCAAATGCCTTTCCCTCTGTGGTGGTTGCTGAATCTGAAATCACTTGCTATAAGTATGGTCCAAGGACCAGAAGCATTGACATTATCTGGGAGGTTGTCAGAAAAGCAGGTCTCAAACCCGTACCCCGCCCTCCACCCAACTGAATCAGACATTTTAAGAAGAGTTCTGGGTGCTTCATATATAAAGTTTGAGAAATACTGCTTTAAAGCATTCTTTGAGTTCTTACAGCATGTTCCTTATTCATTGCTAATTACTCATCTATCTCCTCACCAAAACTGTGATATCCTTGAAAGCAGGAAATATGTATTATTATGTTTTGTATTCTAACCACTTGTGTAAAAGACTACTGTTGCTCATAAAAAATCATTTTTTGAGTCTTACTGGGTACGTTGCTGACCTACCTTTCCCAGCCTCCCTTGCAGTTAGGTGTGACCTAACATAGGATTAAGTTCTCTCCACTGCAACAGAAGCAGAAATATTGGGTGATATTTCTGGGCCCAGGTCTTAAAACTGGGCATGTTCTCTTTTTCCCATTTCCTTTGGCTAGAAGCCACTGTGACCTGTGACTGTCTTGACAATGCAACAAGACACTAAGAATGACAGAGGAAACATAAAAGAGTCTGTATCTCGGATTGAGCGGAGCACAGCGACTCCACCAAACTGAATATTCACCTTATAATAGTTACACAAGAGAGAAAAAAGCATCTATGTTCTTCAGGCCATGGATGTAGTGGAGGGGTTTTCAATGTGGCAGCCCAGTCTACATAATTCACCACTCCATCTTATCGTAGACCTCAGCTTATGGTGATTCCCCGGTGGAGGAAGAGTAGGCTCAGAAACAGACAAACCCTCAGCAGCCGTTTCTGCGCTGTGCGATGCTAGCCATAGCTGATTGATCCAGAGGCGAGTCTCTTACCCGAACTGCATCATTTGCGTGTTCCCTTCAAGAGATTTGCAATTTGAACTGAGACAGAAGCTGAGAATAACTGCAGCTGAGCCAAGTTAATGGCAAAGCTTTAAAGCTGCACTGTGCAATACGGTGCCATACTGGGCAGAGCAGACATAGAACATTTTCATCAGTACAGACTTTTCTACTAGACAGCCCTCCTCTAGAGAGGACGTTGGCAGCCTCTCCTGGTCCCTGTCTTTCCCAAAGACTGGTTGTTGGACCCCCTCCTTAGATTCTGTGGGCTACAACAGAATCTCTGCAATACATTCCCTCTCTTGCTCAAGGTAGTCAGAAGTGATTTTATTAGCTGCTACCAAAAGGACCTCAGTTATTATATATCTGGCATTATAGCCACAAAACACCAAATCTGACTGGGAATCCTCAGGCTTATTTTTATTTGGGCTCACTCAAATTTTCACATGGTTCTCTTCCATCCCTCTCACATTCACATCAGAATTGGTATTTTTCTACCAATATACTCTAATCAGTATATACATGCATGTTAAAGAGAGGCAAACTTTAGAAAGTGCAGGGAGGGCTGAAGGGGTGACTGATGCTTAGGTTCCATATTCTATACCTACCATTCTCCCTTTGGGCTTCTGAACCACGTATCTAATTTTCACTACATAATTCCACCTGGAAGTCCAATGGGGCGCACAGATGCATGTGCTTCAAACTGAATTGTTTCCATTTAAAACCTAGCTTAGACGTCTCTAACCTGCCCATCTCTCAGATGGAGAAAATGCACTCTGCATAGTGTTACCGGGGAATTTATCACTGCACAGTAATTTACGTGCCCATAAATGTTTTAAATAGGAACAATATTGCCTACCCTTCTTTATATGAGGTGGGAGCCCCAAACCCGTGGAATTACCTTCTGGAGGCCGGCGCCTTGGAGTACAGGCCTCCCCCACTGAGTGTTCTAAGAACCCGTCTGTATCAGTGCACCAGCTGGCGTTGTTGTGAGAGGCTGCATTCAGCTTCAGTGCATTTTTTTTAAAGAGTTTTTCAGTGCGTTTGCCCATTTCTCGATGGGTGATTTACAAGTGCACCTGCCCACACCGCGCTGAGTGTTCGGCAGTTTTTGATCAAGAACGGTGTGACCCCTTTGCCCACCTCCCTAGTCACCTGATCTCTGGGAGTGACTCCTCCACTCCCAATGAAAAAAGTCCCCAAAGGGAAACCTTTTGCCGATATGGAAGAGGTAAAACAAAAAATGGCAGGAGCGCTAAAAGGCATCAAAATCGACGAGGAGAAAAACTGTTTTGAGCAGTGGAAAAAACGTCTCCATGGGTGTGCTATGTCACATGGAGAGTCCTTTGAAGGTGACTGAAGTCTAAACATAGAAGAATAAGTACACAATTTTTAATAAATTCCATTCTGGGGTCCCCTCTTGTATTTAGGGTAGTGTCTCACATATTATAGACATTCGATTATTTTAGCAAATTGTAGTTATTTCTGTAAAATTTAAAGAATAGGTAAATGTATGGAACAGTCAATTCTAGAATTATACCAATACCTCTAGGCCTTATGGCCATACAGCAAAATCAGCCACAGTTATCCCATTATTTTCACATTCGAAGACCTAGAAATGGGAACACAGAAAACGGTGGGAATATGTTAGGATGTCTTAGTTCCAGGGGTTTTCTGCTTGAGACGTTTTGTGCTCTCTCTAGAATGCTGCTCCTGACTTTGGGCGAACTTGAAGCATCTGAGTTCTCGGGCCTTTGAGATCAATGGTGCGGAGTCGCCAGTATCCCAGCCGCCCGTTATCCCCACCCAAGCGGAGGGACAGGCGTCGTTCAGGGGGCTTCGGGAAGTTCTCCGGCCCCGTAGCCCTGGCTTACGAGGATACACCCACCTGATAGCTCTTCACCCGAGAGGGCTGGGCGACTTACTCAGCAAAGCCTGTGTATCCCAGCCGAGGGTGACCAGCCAGACGCCTTCAGACGCCAGGCCAGTGACGTCAGCACGTGAAGAGGGGGGAAACCAAACCAACACAAGTACTGCCTCACGCCTACACTTTCAAGCTGCAGAAAATGCTTTCCCAGGTCAGACTCAGCAGTACAGCTGCTGTTCGTGACCGTTCCGGGTCGGCGGACTGGGCCAGGAGAGCGGCGAAGGCAGCGAACACCGTGCGGTGAATTAGCGAGCCGCTAGGATTGCGAGGACGCACGAAGCGCTTCCAGTTGCCCCCTGATCCGCGGAGGGCAGTGAGCAGCTCCGCGACCTTCGGGTCTGTGCCGGTCTCCACTGGCGGGGTGACAGCCGGTGCGTTACTCAGTGGACGGTTGTGAGACGGCTTCCTGGGCGGCGCGGCACAACACCCGGGCACTCAGAAGCCGTGGGCCCGAAGCGCGCCGGGCCCGAGAAAACCAGGACCTGCTCCAGCTGCGGAGCCGCGGGGGAGTGGGCGGGGCGCGGGGGTGGGCGGGGCGACGCGCGGAAATAAAAGCCGGCGAGAGCAGGCTGCAGCCCGCGAGCTGCCGCGGAGGACGAGGGCTGGAACTTGAGGAATCGGGCGGGGGTAGGAGGAGGAAGAGAAGGAGGAGGAGGAGGAGGAGCAGGAGCAGTGCAGATCCCAGCCCGCGCTCCCGGCCGGCGGCGAGCCGGCGTCCGGGCTGTGCTGGCGTCCCCTCCCCGCCCCTCCCCGCCTCCCTCCGTCGCCTGGGCACTGGTTCGCGTCTGGGTGGCCGGCTGGGCCCGTGGCGGTGGTCCTCCCGCCTCCTGGCCACGCTGCCTGCTTGGTCCTCGGCGTCGCCGCGCGGTTCCCGCCCCGGAGGAACCCGGCCTTGGCGGAGGTAACTGCCCGCAGATTCCTGCCCCGCACGGTCCCACCGCCTCCTCACACCAAGGGGCCGCCTGCGCCCTGCGGCTTCTCTGTACCCCCCCACCTCCCTTCCGTCTTGCACGTCCGCGACCTCCCCAGCCCTGCTGCTCGCGGCCCCCTCCTCCTTTTCCCCCGCCCCGCCCTTGGCCTTCCTTCCTCCTAGGCCTCCGGCCTGGTCCTCCGGCCGCAGCATCCTTGGGCCGACGGAGGCGCGGGGCTCCCAGGGCCAGTCCCCCACCTCCTGTCCTGTCCCCCGTGGGCACCTCCTGCTGCTGAGGCCCTTCCACAGAGTCCAGGAGAAAACCTGGGAGGAGCCTCTGGGGATGACTTGTGCGAGGTGGTCGTGGGGAGACTCCCGTGTTTGGCGTTAGGTGGTGATTAGTTAGTTGAACATGGAGAAACGGACGTGATTTCTTTTAAGACGCGTGTGTGGCAGAAACCACAGAAGCACTTTGATTAGTGCTTGTAAACTGCATTGGCCCAATGTGTTAAATAAAGGTACTTTCTTGGGTGGACTTCATATTTTCTCTTCCTAATATTTTGTGAGTGTGATGAGATTTTTTTTTTTCTCCCATTAAAGAATCTTGTTTGGTGATGTTTATTATTGTGAGGAGCATTACTGTTTTGAGTGCCAGTAGCTGGAATGTTCTTTGCATAATAACAGGCGGTGAAAACATCAAATCCCGTAGGGCACCATCCTCACATCTTGAGCTATCTTTATCCTTTACCTTTTAGATGGAAAGCTTATCTCTGAGTATACCTCTGGAGTATTTTAAAGGAAATCCCTGGCATCAATATTTAAGTATATACTGTATTCCATCTCTAGGAGAGGTAAAGACCCTTCAAAAACACTAAAAACTGTAATAGAATTACCACGTGCCTCCAAAAGTAACATTAATTTCTTGATGTCATCAAGTGCTCAGTCCTGTTCAATTTTCCTGTTGTCTTTTTTGGACTTGAAATAATTTCAAGTTTACAGAAAGGTTTTAAGAAAAATGTAAACTCCTACACTGTTATCGAGATTGACCACTTTGTATTTTAATTAACATAATTCCAAAAGTCAAAATTGTACAAAAAGCTGTTTTAAGAAATATCGCTCCTTTCCTAGCCTTTGGACTTCCTTTGCTCCACTCTTAGTAGTTAACCTATTTTATTATTTTTTGTTTTATTTATTTTTTTGTAAAATGATGCATTATTTTCCTCTTCTTACACTCTTTTGCACTTTACTTATTTCAATAATGTATTTTAGAAATCAAGTTCACAGAGATTTTCCTTATTCTTTTTAGCAGTTGCCGAATATTTTTTCCAACTGGTTTATTTCAATTGAGGTCCATAATAGGTTTTCATGTATTGCATTTGGTGTATGTATCTCTTTTTTTTTCTTTTTTGTTTTCTTTCTACCTGTCTATGCATTATTACATGAAAAATAAGTATATAACAACTTCCATCCGTCTTCCCTTTTACAATGCTATTTATTTGCCGAAGAAACTAAAATCATGTATGCATTTTCTATTCTCAGTCTTTTTTTTTCTTTTTATCCTTACCCAAGGACATTTTCTCATTGCTGTTAGAGAGAGAAACATCAATATGAGAGAGAACCACTGATCAGTTGCCTGTGGTGTGTGTCTTGACCGGGTATCATATGTGCCCAGATCAGAAATTGAACCCACAGCCCAGGTATGTGCCTGACCAGGAATTGAACCTGCAACTCTTTGGCTACTGGACGTGCTCCAGCCAGCTGAGCCTTGCCAACCAGTGCTGTTCTCAGACTTTTCCTGACTTTCATAATGTTAAAATTTTCAAAGGTTACATATCAGGTTTTTTTGCAGAATGTCCCTCCATTTGGGTTTGTATGACATTTCCTTGTGATTCAGGTTGTGTCTTTCACACATGTGTCAGATATTTTTCTCATTTGTCTGTTCGTAGCACATGATTGTCATTCATCCCATTACTGAGTATTTTCATTTTGATCAGTGGATTAAATGGAGTCTGCCTGGCTTCCTCACTGTAAAGTTAATTTTTCTCCTTTGTAATTAATGAGGATTTCATAGGGGATACTTTGAAACAAGGTAAATATACCATTTGTCATCAGATGTTCAATTTATGGACTTTTAAAAATTACACGGTCAGTTTCCTGTTTTGCTAAATGGATTTAAAAATCTATCACTATAGTTAGTTTTGCTGTTCTGATTGTCCTCCGTTTGCTCAATAGAATCCCTTTCTGTACGGCTTCTGGGTCCTCACTCAGCTTAAGCTCCAACACTCTGTGGCAGAGTGTCCCACAGTGTGACCGTCCTCCTAAGATTCTCCTTAGAATGGACCATTTGCTGAAGATTATGCTCTCCTGCCCTTGCTTGGGCTCTAACACACTGTTCTTGGCCTCACTGTAACTGTCCCCATGTTCAGCATGGGGACTGGCCAGGCTTCCTCACCCCCTGTTCTCTCAGGGCTTCATTTTCCTGGGCCAGTTTTAGGCTTCCTTACAATTACAGCTCGGTGGCCCAGGGACATTAACTGCTGACATGGTGACTGTGGTCTTCAGGCGTGGTTATCCCTGGGAATAAGGTGGGGACTGTATTGCCTTTGATCCAGCCTTGGGAAACGCATAGCGTCACTTCCATTTTATTCTCGGTTAAAATAGTTAAGATCCTCAGTAAATATTATGGGCTATTATTATCGTTATTTTTGCTTTTCGCAGCGTCTTGTCACTGTTTTTCCTTAACTGGTCATTGAGATCTTAACAAGCATGGAGGTAAGATTGGAAGTTTTGACATCAACAAGTATCAAGCAGAAGAGACCTTGGCCACGAGTCTGCTGGTTGGGACAGGTGGGCTTTTCTGTATTTGTACAGGACTAGTTGTAATATGTGTTAAGTATGTGCTTTGCCTCTAAGACTGAAAAATGTTCTATGGCATTTAAAAAATCAAATCCATCTTTAGAAGGATCACTTGCCCACTGAACAGGGTTTTGTGTTTGTGTTTTGTTTTTACTACAGTAAGTTAGCTTTTCCAGAAAGTTACAAAGTCTATTTAGAAGAAATGCTTTACTTAAAAATTTTTTTTCATAGTATGTTTAAGATGGTGGAGATGGCATATATCAAAAGGGAATATTCAGTCTGCTGAAGCTTTACCTCCTGGAACAATCAGTGGAGTGTTTCTTCCCATTGTCGTTTTCATGGAGTACCATAGAGTGCCCGTTAGACCTGGGGAAAAAATGGGTCACAATGCACAAGCAACCCAGGAATACCATTCACAATATAGGGAATAGATTCCTCACCTCAGGGAAAGTGGGCAAACCTATAAAAGCCTCTCAGACTTTATTATAATTATTAAAGTTAAGAAATTTAATGTGTCATTTTTGGTAAGAAATTATACCATTAATTTACCTTCTCTAGAACAGTGTCTCATGAACTTTGCAATGGTCAGAATCATCTGGAGATCTTGTTAAAACAAGTGCTCCAGAGTTTCTGACCCAATGAATCTGGGTAGAAGAATATGCGTTTCTAACAGGGTCTCAGGTGTTGCTTATATGGCTGGTCAGGTGGAACTTTGAAAACCACTGCCCTAGAATACATGAAGACAAAGTTTATTCAAAACAGCATACTTTTTTCTAGGCAATAAAGAATGATTAGAGTTGGGGAGAGCAGAAGCCATATCTATTTTAACCTAAGTAAATAATTAAAAAACTGGCACATACTACTGATCGAATTGATGACCCAATTTTGGCTAGCAGAATTGCAAGACACTACTGTAATTTTAAACTTCAGAGAAATCTAAATTGCAATCATTACTTAATTTTACAAAGTAATTTTAATGGAGTATTTTAAGAGAGGATGAAAAATATCTTCAGGTTACCTAATCAATTTTATTGTTCATTTCATGATTTGTGGTAAAAATGTATAATCTTTCTTAAATGTCACTTTGTTTTCCTTTTTGGGGACAATATGGTTAAGAGTTGAATTAACTTCTGGCAACTCTTTGTTCTCTCACATATTAATTCTCTTAGGAAAGTGAGGCTGTTTTCCTTTTGGATGATAAACTCATAAATGAAATTAATTTGCTTTCGGGAAGGACAAAGAAGAAAATTCCCCGTCTGCAGCCTTTCTTGAAGGATGTTATTGTCCTAACAACATCCAGTAATGGTTAAGTAGTACTGATATTTTCAAAAAGATAGATTAACTGAATTTTTTAACAATTTGGGACAATATTAGGGGAAATATTAGATTGTAAGTATTGCATTTTCTTTTCGGAAACAGATGCCTGGTTGGCTGGGTTACTTGTTACAGGAGAGCTTTTTCTTTGGAACAAAGATCAAGATTGTTTGAAAACTATACAGGTGACTGAAAAGCCTAAGGAAATGATTAAAGCTGCAATAGGTGAGAATTTGTTTAAATTGGTTTAACTCGATGAATAGGAAATGAGGGTGAAACATTCTTCTAATACTGTTTTTAAAATCTGTGTGTGTGTGTGTGTATATATATATATTCGTATATATGTTACATGTATCTATTTTTTGGTGGTGTTTATTTGTGATAGTACTTACTGGGTTGGCCAAAAAGTTTGTTTAGTTTTTTCCCTACAATGGCTCTAGTAGTGCTTAATTGTCTCACTGACATTTGAAATAATTTTGTTAGATTGTATTGTGACAGTTGTCATAGCAGCATGCATTTAAAAAAACTTACCAAAATTGGTGAATTTTTGTGTAGCCAGTTTAATATTGAAGGTGGATGAAGATTTACAACATTTTGAGCATATTATGCTTCATTATTTCAAGAAGGGCAAAAACGCAACTGAAACGCAAAAAAAGATTTGTGCAGTGTATGGAGAAGGTGCTATGACTGATCGAACCTGTCAAAGTGGCTTGCAAAGTTTCTTGGTATTGACATTTTGGCCAAATAATTGTTTGCTGTGGGGCTGTTTTTGCTGATGTTTAGCAGCACCACTAACCTCTACCCACTAGATTCCGATACTGGGAAATAGCCGACATACTCCAAATATCCAAATCAATAAAGTTATTGGTGAAAATGAAAAATGTCTTTTATTTTACAGAAAAAACTAAACAGACTTTTTGGCCAGCCCAGTAGATTCATCTTGAAGTCTGATATACATAACATATGTAATAACAGTGGGTTACTAATACAACATAAATATGTGATAAATATTACTGTTTTGTACTTTTAATTTTTAATTTGTTACTACTGCCTTAGTTTTACATCCTTAATGGTGATATCATTCAGGTTTCTTTGTCAGAATAGATAAATTATGTACACTGGAGGGAATTCAGACCTCAAGGTTGGTTTAATTACTTTTTTTTTTTTTTTAAAGTAGGCTCTTTGAGACTGTATTTGTATGTATCCGGAGATGGGAAAAGAGTTCTGATTATAACTCCTTCTGGATGCATATTTCTTTGGGAATATTTGGAATTCAAGAATATCTTATCTTCCAAGAGTCCTTCACTGACAGGCCAGTGGTCCCAGATCATACCGCAAGAAGCAGTCCATTTGCCTTCCACTGAAGATAAAGAAGCTGTAGTGCATGCTGTTTTTGTGAAAAATGAGGTAAAATCCAAACCAGCTGCAGGAACTGGACGCTGGGCTCCGAGAACAGTCTCCTGCAGCTGTCAGGTGGGAGTGGGCAATGGCAGAGCTATAGAGCCTGGTCGTCAGTGTCACGGTAACTGGGAAATTGGTATGGAAAATATTGCTTTATATTTCTTGGTCACATTTGAAGAAATGTTTGTTAGAAATGGTCTGAAATTAGAGCTTCCTCTTTCCCTAGTTCTAATTTTTCCTAGTTTTAAAATATACCTAGGTAAGTAAGCTGTTTAATTCCCAGGAAATAAGATATTCATGAACTAAGAAATGTTTTATATAGCAGCAGGGTGCTCTGTATGTGTATGAATGAACATTGTATTACTCAATCCACTATTGTTAGAAGCTGCAGTTTTATTGTTTTCCTCTGCCTCCCCCCACCTCCAGGGGTAGTGCCCTAATTTAAATAATATATAACTATAAATGAAGAGAAAAATTACTATAAGAATCTTTTTAGTTATAGTCCCAGTAAATGGCAGTGTTTTCTTAAGAGAATAAACTGCACCTTGATTTCCCATTCTAGATAAGCCCCTGGCTCAGAAATAAATTACTTAAGTCCTTAACTTCATGTTAAGAATAAAAATATAAGCAGGATCTAGATATGTGTCATTTTTTTATGATGAGAAATATATATGTTTTATATATCTTATTTTCAGATTAATTATATATTAAAATATACTAAATTTATCTACAGTTATTTGGAGACTGCTGCTTGTGTTCATTTACTTTTTATTCTGGGGAATGCCTGAAGGTGACATTTCTAGCAATTCGGTGGCATGAGAATGTATATACACCTGTAAGGTGAGGTAAATGTTTCCTTATTTTCTATCTCTTCTAAAACATTGTTATCTTTTGGCTTATAAATATATAATAAGATTAGTAAATGAACTGTGGCTTCTAACTTCTGAGACTTTACGAATCCTTTCTTCCTACAAGTATTGCTTTATTTCTTTAGTTTTCATTTTTAAATATATAACCTAGAAGGTTTTTATTTTTTATTTTTATTTCTTTGCTTTTGTTTCCCTCCTTGGAAATGAGACCATGTAAAAGTTAAGGCAGACTATGGTTTTACTTATTTTAAGACTAAAAAGAACTATTTTGGAAAGTAATTCAATAGAATTTTAAAAGGCACATAACTTACTTGATTTTACTATTGTACCAAATTTAAATGCTTTAGAATTTTTATTTAAAAATAGTTTTATTCTAAAACCCAATAAAATAGAAACTGTATTAAAAACATATGCATAAATAAGATTTACTAAAATAGTGTGTTTTTGTTTGTTCTTCTATGTTCTTTTTTTTATACTAACGATTCCATATTAAAGTGTAATTTATATAAAGTAAAATGAACAAATAAGTGTACAGCTGGACTTTAATGAATATAGTTGTGTATACCTGTTTTCATATCAAGTACAGAACATTATCCTGAAACACCCACTCTTCTCTAGTTATTTAATGCCTTTAAAACATTAGCAATAATGTAGAAATATGCGTATCTAAACTGTAGTGGAAGCGGATGTATTTGGGGTTGGCTACGAACATGCTATTAACAAAACTCTAATATTGACTTAGTTGAACTCTGGCAACTCCTCTTTTGTTACCTGAGTGAAACTTCTGAATGGTTGCTAAGAGGCCGCCTAATATATGTGCACATGTAGGAATTCATTTGGACTCTAGTTTTTGCAATGAACTATGTTTTAATTTAAAAATTACTATACTTCCTGTTCTCATTATTTCATTACCTTCTTAGATCATTGCCGTACCGTGTTCACTGGGCACAGCAAGATTGCCTTCTGGGTAGTCTGATTCCTCCATGTGAATCAGTGAAGTCAAGAGGAGCTCTAATTTCTGCCTTTTCAAGAGATGGCCTTACCCTGGCAGTAACTCTTAATCAGAAAGACCCAAAGGTCAGTACATGTAGTCTGCCTTGGAAGTAACCTATAAAAGAGTTTAGTCTAGTGCAGAGATGTTTTTTTCTCACCGAAGATAGTTCTTTATGTTATTTAAATTGATGTTTTTGATCCAACTTATCTTTGTGGCTTGGTAAAGTTGTTTAAATTAGCTTCCATAGTTTTAAAAACTTGGCCCTCAGAAGCAAAAAGAGGTTAAGGAAAAAGGAAGAATGAAGGGCAGTGTGTTAACTGATGTTCTTAAAATGTGGAATAAAAGAGAAGAGTTGTATGAGTGGTCAGCATTTTTTTGCCAGTTGGGAAAGACTCTTAGATATTTTACTGATATAATAATAGATCTCTAGGTCTCCAGAATTATAACTAATGATTAAAGTAAAATAATTTTAGTGGTTTTATTGTCATTTTTTTTCTAGGCAACTCAGGTATTATTTATTAACACACTGAATTTTGTTACTCTGTGTGGTAGCCTTAAAGGATGTAGCAATAAGAATCCTGTGGTCCCAGCTACACTGGTCAGGTAGGAACTCTTTTGTATTTCTAAATAGTGTTTTTCTTTTCTTTTCCAAGAGTTTGATAAGTTTAGGTCTCTAATAATTCAGTTGGTGTCTAAATAGGTATTTAGGTGGATTATGCAACTTACTTTCAGCATTTGTGCTTGATAGATTCTAAAAATTGCTTTATAGAGGGAAAGCCTTGAGTGCTTTAAGGAAGGGTCTGGTTGGGTAGAAGATAACATGAACATATCTTTTTTTTCCCTTTTTAATTTCTTTCTACATTGTCCAAGGAGGAGTGGAATCTTGCAGAAAAATATTGGGCTTAATTGGAGAGGCTAAAATGAGGAGACGTGGTTGGGAGGCCATTATGTACTTAGAGGCTGAGGTGCTTACAGCCTTTTCAGCAGAGTGGGCGTTCTCCACATACAGGTCAATAGCAGCACAAGTGATTTTGGATGGCACAAGAGCTACCACTGGGACCTACGGGGGATTATAGATTAGGAAGATTTCCTTGGATCTCCTGAATTCCCTTTCTGAACACTTTTCTATGCTATTCTCTGAATTTTCAAAGTTTTTATGTCAATCCATCCTTGTCTCTTCATTTCCTTTCTTTCCCCAAAAGTTCCTTTCTGAGAGTATTACTGGTCTCTGTTCAGCAGCCTGTTTGACTTAGGGCGTCCCTCCTTTAATGAGGGGGAAGGCACTACGTCTTGTCTCCATGAAACATTAGCATCAGCAGACAGGGCGCGGCGATGGCGGCTGCTAAGGGGAGCCCGCCGCCGAGCAGGCCTGCAGCACCTGCGGAGCGCTCTGGCCTGGGGTCAGCCTCTGTGTCTCTCTGGAGACCTCAGTGGTGGGTCCCAACAGGGTTAAAAAGCATTCTGCTTAAAATGTGAGTGACTAAAAAGCTTAGCGCTTTCAGGGAATATTTTTCTTTTATGATTTGCTTGTGAATCTAAATTTCTCATTGCTCTGTTGTATGGAGTAAGCATTTATTAGTTAATTCCTGTTTTTGGGGGGGAAAAGAAATACACAGAATGTATGTGGCAGTTGCCTGCTATCCATTCTTTTGCCCGTATTTTTTGAAGTGATTCACTCCTGTTTGGCCATTATAAATTGTCAAAGACTCTGCATAAAATACTTTCTAAACAAACTGTCTTGCTTTTTCTAGGTCCTACTGGGTAGGTGATATCAGCTGGACTCATGATAGTCTTTTTCTGGCTTGTATGCTCAAGCGTGGCTCCCTGCTTTTACTGACTTGCCAAGGTGAATTGCTAACATTAACTACATTTGGTTGCTCTATAGAATTTGGGCCAGCAGAATTTATTCCTCTTCACCCACTAATAACATATAGGTGAGACATTTGAATTGTTTTAATTTGTTTACAGAAGTTTTTCTCTTTTGGTATCACTTGATTGTGTGTGTGTGTTTTTATAGTTTCATCTTTCAAATTGTCATATTTTTCTGAATCTGCATCTCAATATCTGTTTATTTATAGTTTTTTTTATTTCTTTTTGTGGCTTAATCCTGGTGAAAATTTGACATTGTGACTATGTAAGTATGTTATTTAAATACTCAACAGCACTAAAAATTTTATTTTCTTTGATATAAAAGTTAATAGAAGTATATCCTTTATTTTGAAACTAGAGTACTTAAATTAGTAACTCAATATAACTTGGCACATGGGTTTATCTCCTTTTTTCCTAAATGGAAAAAATTTTTAGAAATGAATAGACTTTAGAAGTTAGCCAAATTTAAATTTTTAATTGTGAGATGGAGTAGCAGTTTGGCTTTGGAGTCAGATCAAAATCTGAATCGTGATTCTTCTACTTATTTATCATGTGACTTTCGATAAGTTATTCTTTGAGCTTCTATTTCTTTTGCTGTGAAACGAAGATGATAATAATTGGTTTAGGAAATAAAGGAAGATAAAAAAGTGCAAAGGCCTTTGAAATTAATTCATTCCCCTTGCTTTACAGAAGAGATGTGTATCCTTGAGATTATATGTAGCAAAAAGTGATGCTTAATTTTTAGCAATAGAAAATTCTAATGGAAAAAATTGTCATCTCCTTTAGTGAGAGTATTTTTTCCTTATTTCTTACGGTCTGATTCATAACTGACTTGAATTGCTTTACATTCTTCTTTAAAATTAATATTTGGGGACCTCAAAATTTTTTAAAAACTTAAAAAATTAAATGTTACAAAACCAAAATAATTATTAGCATTTTAGGGTGTTATCCCCCAAATTAAAAGTGATATAACTTTATATTAATTTCCTTTTAAAACAAAATAAATTATATATGCTATTTTCTAGTTTGCTTTTTTGGTTTAACAGTATATATTATATATCTTCCCATGAAGTCATTTTTAATGGTTCTGTAGATTTGTGGTGTGGCATACATTTTATAATTAACCAATCTTTTGTTGTTGACCATTTGGCTAATAAAATCTACATTTGAATACTTCCCTAACCCTCCAAAATCATAATATATTTTGATTGTCCTCTTTATATTTTAAAGCCCCAAAGTTCATTAGCAGCAATATTAAGTAATCAAAATCAAGTATACCACCATAATAACAAAGTTACATTTATGTGGAAATTCAGTCAAATCAGTCTTAAACTGATAAAATTTTACTTACCACTGTCTTCTCCAAATATTATTCTTAGTTTTTTTCTTTCTCCTCAATAACACCTATACTCATAGCTTATAATAACATTCCTGTAAGTATATTTCAATGTGTGGTAAAAAGGAAAGTTAAATATTTAATTTTCTTAAAGGTGAAAATGAACTGTATTAACTCTTTTATGAAATAGTTTATATAAAACTAGATTAGAAACAAAATAGAGAAAATACTACAGTTTAGGGAAAATAAATATATAAACCTATGTGTTATATTATCACTTTTTTTTCTTATAGATAGTACATATTTAATATTTTTGAATTTAATATGCTTGCCTTTTCATCATTCTGTAACTTTTAATTGTTTTGTTTTTTCTTTGGAATAATAGGATTGTTTTCTTTGAGGTTTTCCTTTTACTAATTCTTGAATTTTGATGTTTGTTTGCTAGACCACAGCAGTTTACATTTCAAGATTCAAGTAATGCTGTAGATTCATCAGCTTCAGACGGTGACCCCATGCGACAGAGATTCTCTGTGAGAGCTCACTCACGCCTCCCCTACCTCGTCATTTCTGACGGATACATGGTCACAGCCCTTCGATTTCTTGATAACCTGTCTCCATCAGTGCTCATGAGATCCCTTCTGCTCGACTCAACCCAGAGGCTTGAGAAAACCTACCGAAGTGTGAAGTTGTCTAAGGTAGTGTGCCTTTTGATATCATTAGTAAAGGTTGACTTATTTTTTCAGATTTAAAACTATCCTGCTCTGGTAGGTGTGGCTCAGTGCATTGAGCGCTGGCCAAGCAATTGAAAGGTTGCCGGGTCAGTTCTCAGTCGGGGCACAGGCCTGGGTTGTGGGCCAGGTCCCTGGTTGAGGGCATGTGAAAGGCATCTGATCGATGTATCTCTCACACACTGATGTTTCTCTCCTTCTCTTTCTCGCTTCCACTCTCTCTAAAAGTAAATAAATCTTTAAAACTATACTGATGTTAATGTCCTTAGATTCTATATAGTTGTCTATAGATTTTTAATTGCTTGGAATAGAACTGGTGATAAAATTTTGTTCTTGGAAATCTTCTATAGCCAAAAGGCAAAGGGCTGAACTTGCGATCACTGGATTCCCTAAGGTCAAGCCTGTTGGAACATCAAGGAGCTGAACATTCAGCTGATTCTACTGTCCCCAGGTTCTTGCAGGAAGAAGAAACAACAAAGTTACATGGAGAACCAGCAGATTTCCAGGTACTTAGTGACAGTGTTTTATTCACTTTGAACAGTTCTGTATTGATGTTATGCCAAGAAGAGTTTTGTTTTTCCCTTGTTAAAGGGAAATTTGAGAACACCAAGTGATTGTTTGTAAAGTACTAAGTATAATTTTTCCACTCATGTTTTAGGATTTTGAAGCAGAAGAAACTAATGAAAGCACATACTTTTCAAACAACTTATCCTCTCTTTGGAACCAGAAAAACGGTCCATTGTTTAGTAGTGCCAAGGAGGGAAGATTGGAATTTGCGTCTATGTTTGATACATTACATGCAAAGGATAATACTGAGGAGTCAGACAGAACCGTTACAGAACTGCATTCTGTCCAGAAAAATCTCCTTGCAGCATGGACTATAGGAATTTCAAAAAATGTGTCAGAAAAACATTTAATGTTAAATTACACCGTAGTTTGTATTACTCATTTTTTGTACATTCTTCAATTTATAGAATGCCCTTTCCCAAAACTCAATCTTTTTTCAAGCAAAAACCCAAGACAAAACGCATGGGTACTTTGTATCTTTCAACTTTTCCATCAGTGCTTATCGGTCCAGCCTTGGGATTTGAGGTCCAGACAAGCGGTGGCACCCTTGGTAAAGCTGACCTCAAGTACCGTAAAGCTGTTGCTGACACTGCCACGGCAGGGTCTGTTGTCCTCAGAGCGGCTTTTAGCCTGTTTTCATTTACTCAGAATGGTAGCTGATAATTTAAATGGCACATACAACCTTCAGCCCGAAGCTACTTCAGCATCACCTGATGGAAGTAGAAGAGCAAATCAAGACTCATTGGTGGTACCTATTTTTCAAATATTTCAAGATAGTAGTTCTCAGAAAAACCGGTCTTGGAACTCATCTTTAAAGTTTCCTCCTCAAGCAGTAAATCTTATTCAACAGCCAGGACACAGGTATACTTACTTTAATATTCAGGTACCATCAGCATTACGGATTATTTTTTCCTTTAAAAAAAAATTGAGCTATAATTCCCATACTATAAATTTCACTATTGTAAATTTCACAATTTAGTGATTTTTGGTATAGTCGCCAGGTCATAGAACTATTAGCACTAATTCCAGTATATTTTTATCACCCCCAAAGAAACCTTGTATCCATTAGCATTCAACATTATATATTTTATTTAATCTGTATTTTAGGACTTAGGCCAAATGTTATTCAACACACATTTTATTAGTCTTGGGCAACCAGATTACTGCTGAGAGATTTTGGCTTAGGTAAGCACTATAGGAAAATGACCAAAGATACATAAAGCATTTGTGAAAATTAAAAAAAATATATATATGAAAATATATTTTTGATCAGTGGACTTTGTGCTATATTTAAGTCTGATCAGTTTGTATACGAGCATACTTGTATGTTACTGCATCAATGAAGAATGAAGGTCAAAAACAAAGGCTAAGCAGGAGACTATACTGATTCTTATTATCTCTAGTCTGAAATTTGGTTTTGATAATTATCTAATTTTGTGTGCAGGTTGATTGTTCTCTGGAGAGTACTGTATAATAAAACTTTATGGTATCAAACACAGTTAAGTCGAAAAGTTCCTACGGGTGACAGACAGTTAACTGAAAAGGTGGCACACGAAGCATCGACTGTCCGGTCCCTGTTATGTCACATACAAGCTGAGTTACAGACTGCAGGAGTCTGCTTGAACCCAGCCTTGGAGCTCAAATCCATTGAGGGTCAGTATCTTATAAACAATTTCTAACTGCATGAATAAGCAATACACTGTATAGCTAGCTAGGCTTTGATCTTACCAGTTGGTTACAATTTTTTGTTTTTCCAAAATTTCTGGCGGAGCTGTATCCTCTGAGTTTTAAAACAAAGCAAATTTTTATGAAGTAATGTAATTATCCATAAATAATTGTTGGTTGAAAACGTTGTAGGTGAAGAGTGTTTCCTGTTAGGATCATATGAAAAGTCTGTCCAGCTGTGGAAGAAAGCTCTGCAAGAAGCCCAAGAGAACGGTAGGGGATGATTTAAAAATAATATTTGCCATGATATCAGTAGGAATGCATTTTAGGCATGCTCTGGACCTTAAAAATAATTGAAAATTTCTGAGTGCTCATAATTTCTTAATGCTCCAGTAGAATAATATATTGTAGGATCTTTGCCTGTCAGATATACTTATTTAAAGTTAGTCTTAGTCTTGGAATTTGTAGAACCAAGAATTTATTATCTATAGGTAAGTCTTCTGTCCTTTTTTTTGTTTGTTTTGTTTTTTTGGGGGGGCTCGTGATGGAACCTGTGATTGATTGTTGATGGGGGAAAAATGAGATTTAGAACCTAAATAAAAATATGTGTTTTTTTGTGTGGTTTTTTTTGTGTGGTTTTTTTTTTTTTTTGTCATTTAGAGGGACTGAAAGTATCTAAATGAGGCACTGGGTCAAACATTTTATCACCTTTTACAGACTTAGAGAAACATGGGGTTCAGGTGCCATACCCATTAGTCACTTGACCTTAACAAGTTCCTGTGAGTTAGACTCACTGTTGGGTTAAGTGTGGGCTACACGGAGTTTCTGATGAGCATGCAGGGCTGAGGCCCCTAGAACCTGGTGATAGCTGCTGCGCTGGGGGGCTGAGGGTGTGACTGCAGTTCGGAGCTGGCAACCTTGGAGCTAGCTCTGACTGCAGCTGCTACATGGTCGGGCTTGGCCAATCATCAGATACGTTTTCTGACTGCTGGGGCTCTGTATGTTTCATTCATTCATCTACTTAGCCAGTCTTTATTGAGGGCCTGCTATGTGCCTAGTACTGTGTAAGGCCCTGGGAATAAGTGAAATAAACAACTTCACCTGCAAGTTCCCCCAAGAGATTATGTACACAAGGAGCACCTTCCTCATGTCCTGTGGCAGGTGCTGGGGAAGCACAGAGGAGCATTTCCGTCTGCGGCTGGGTGCACATCAGCTCCAGGAACACTGGGAGGAGTTGGCATTGAAATGGAGTGGAAACTGGCCAGCTGAAGAACAACAGGGAATGGTTTAACAGAGGAGGTAGTGATCCAAAAGCAAAAAGGCATGAGAAACTATGGCAGTTTGGTAAACTGCAGGGCGTTTAACAGGACTAGATTATAGGACCTGTGTGTAACGTTGGGGATAGGGGTGAGGGCTAAGGTGAGAGGTAGACAGAGAACAGATGGTAAAGACCATAGTGTATGTGGTACCTAGGGTTCAGGTTTTATCCCGAAGGTAGAGGGATCAGTTAAGAAAATTTATGTATGAAAGAGAGCTTTTCCAATAAATATAGGCCATTTGGAAAGATCACTTAGCTATACTATGGAGGAGTGTGGTATGGAGAAGTGGGTTTTGCCTAGAAACAAGAAAATTGGTGTTTTGAGGAGGTCCTGAAATAAAGCAACGTCAGTAGTGCTGGAGATCAGGAGTCAAATTTGACAGATGTTTAATAGGTTTGAGCAGTCGGACTTTTAAGAGGTCTAATGTAGTTCCCAGATCTGGGACTGTCCAGACGGATGAAGAAGAGCGGCCCTCAAGGAGCAAGGAGTGTGAGGAAGGGTTTTCCTAATGGATTCTGTTGTGGGCCTCTTCATTCCCACTGTGTCTGTGAGCAATGGCTTCAGGTGATGAGGCCGAAAGTAGCAGTGGCTTCGCAAGGAGGAAGTCTACGTCTTTCTGATTGAAAGGACAGTTTTTCTTCCCCAGCATCCTTAGCGCACTGCTTGCAGTCTTAAGGCAATAATGTAAGCTGAGATAGGTAACAGCTCCAGCCATTGCCTGCACATTCCAGGCAGCAGAAAGGAAGAAGGCAGGAAGGGAAGAAAGGGTGCTCCTGCTAGCTGAGTTTACCCTCTTTATGCAGCTTTTCTTGAGGTTCACAATATTATCTCTTGGTTCAGAACATAGTCATGTTTCCATATGGTCACATGAGTAAGAAATTGTGGTCTGGGTGCTTTGAGACCCCAAATAAAGTTGGAATTGTTTTACTCGGCAAGAACGGATAAGGGACAGGCAAGCAGCAGTCTCAGTCCTAACCAGCCTCCGGATGTGGTCAGGAACTCCTGTCTTACTGGTTAGTGTTTCTTCTCCTTGGGGAGTCTCTGACATCTGGTTTATGTTCGTATGTTCGTATGGTTTCTTGGCCGTCGGGGGGTCACCATGTTCCATTCTGTTTCTGACCATGTGTATTTGAGGTGGATGTTAGTGGACTTTAGTGTAGAGATGATGAGGATTTGCAGTGGTCTTTGGATAGAATCTTGGTCATTCTAGGGCCTGATGAAAGAAAATAAGGCAGTTCAGAACTTAAAATGAAAATAGACTAAGCATCGCTCACCTAATTTTTAAAGAACCTTTTATTGAAGTATGAAACAGATACAGAAAGGTTCATATAACGAGAATGTACAGCTTGACGAGTTTTCACAAACTGAACACTCCCAAAGTGTCTACCTAGCACCCAGATCAAGAACATGACCCTACTAACGTGTTTTTAATGTAAGCTTTATTCTCTCTGGTTTAAGGAGGAAGAAGAACCTGTTTTCTTCAGATACGCTATTACCTTTCTCTCTTGTACTGCCACCTGTATAGCTACAATTTAAATGATGCTCAAGGACTGTGTGATCAGCTGGTAAGAGAAATACTGACATGGTCCCACCTACCTGTAAAAGAAAATGAAGATAGTTCAGGTATGTGTTTCAAAAATCAGTATGTGTAATCTTATTACTTTGTATTTATAGGTTTAGGTAGAAAATTGTTTTTACATAAAAGTTGGTGGTTCTGTCCTATTAGGGTTAATTTTGGACTGGCAGCTTCTCATCAGCAAGAGCCTTTTCTTTTCTTTTCTTCCCCCCCCTCCCCCGCATTTCAAACCTTTGGATTTCCAGAACTTTGCAGTGATGGCCTGCTGAACTGATCTAATTGTTTCCTCGCAGCCACGTTTGTTAGATATAATATTAGGTACTTAGGTATTTTTTCTTAATAAATTTATATTTCACTGTTTAAGATGGTTTGGTAAAGTGAAGAAAATCCCTTAGTGAAGTATCCTGAGTCTTTTAAAAATCTGTTTAAGAGGCTACAGAATATTTGGATTGCCATTGTAAAAATAGGTGCATTTGATTAAGTGTAGCCAGAGTAAAGGATACATATGAATGAACACAATGTGCACATCAGTGTGTCTGAAGGGCCCACGCAGTTCATGCCAACTTAGTTTCATACAGTTTTAGCCACTGTTGATAGATTTTTTACTCTTTGTGATTTTAATGTTTTTAAATTTTTATGTGCATTATGGAAGTAATGCATATTTATTTTAGACAATTTGGAGAAGTACAAAGATGAAAATCAAATCACAAAAGACTATTCTGTCAGTCTTTATATACATTCATACATGCAATTAGAGCTGTATATTCTGTTTTGTAATTTTTTAAAAAATTTATTTATTTTTATTATTTATAAGAGAGAAAGTTCGATTTTGTTTTTCCACTTATTTATGCATTCATTGGTTGATTCTTGTATGTGCCCTGACTGGGGACCAAACCCACAACCTTGGCATATTGGGACAACACTTTTACCAAATGAGCTATCTGGCCCGGGCTCTGTTTTGTAATCTTTTAAAATTTCACATTATGATAAATATTTTCCAATGTAAATAATACTCGTTTTATCAAACCCATTCATCCTTTTTTCTGGATATGGTACATTTTAGGTAGTTGCCACCCATTTGCTGTTTCATAGCTTCCTGTAAGCGTTACTCATAATTTCTTTAGGATAAATTTCTAGAAACGAGGTTACTGGATTAAAGAAGATCTGTGGTTTTGAGACTTAATGCCTGGTGTCATACACAGTTTCGCTTGCTGTGTATGAGCAAAAGGCTTCTTTAAACTTGGAGGGACCAAGTGAAAAATACTGCTTAAAGGCTAATAAAATTTTCTCGAGATTCCTTTTATTCACATAAAACAATTGCTAGCAGTACTTCTAAGTGCCTACTGTATGAGAAGAGGGCTGGCAAGTGCTGGGGTATAAGATGAGCTAGAAACGGCCGTACTCATGGAATTCATATTCTTGTGACTACATACCAAGTGACTTCTGGGAAGCAAAGGCATTTGCTGTCGTTGGGGCCATAAAATTCATAAAAATTAATGTTAACTTAGTATTTATATATTTAATAGTTTTTTAACTATTTCAAATTTCTGAATGCAGGTTTATATTTTGAGTTTTGATTCTAAAATAGGGATGGTACATGTTTGCTCCTGTCAGTTTATACAAGAATCACCCCAGGAATCCTGACATAAATCCCTCTCCCCTACCCCGCCTTCTCCTTCCACCTCCCGCATTCCTTCGTCCCCGCCTCCCAAAAGAAGCTTATAGTGGTGAGCCACCCCTACCATTGGGGGTGTATCCTAATTCCCAGGTCTAATGGTTCTAGTGCTTTCAGATTATCTTTGTAGTAAACCTTGTATCCTCCATCAAAGAAAAAAAAGTTGGAAAGAGAGGGGAAAAAAGGAAAAAGAACAAAATGCCAAGCTTGCAAGTCGGTTGTGGCTGGATTGTTTTGTATAGATCCTTCATGTTTTTAAGTAAAACTAGTAACTCTTCTTGACCAGTGTGGCTCAGTTGGCTGGGTGTCATTCGGCAAAATGAAAGGTTGCAGGTTTGATTCCTAGTCTGGGCACAGGCCTAGACTGCAGGTTTGGTCCCAGTTGGAGCGCATGTGAGAGGCTGCCGATAGATGTTTCTCTCCCCCCCTTCCCTTCCCCTCTCTCTAAAAATAAATAAATAAATATTTTAAAAGCTAGTAACTTAAAGTCATAAAAAGTTAAGTGTATGTGCTCATACTTATGAGCTAATTATTTTTGTTCTGTTGTCTTTAAGAAGCATAGGTACCTATCATAAATTAACTTGTACAGGCCATGGGTACTCATCTAAAAAATGAATTATAATTTTCTTCTTGTATAAAGTTGGGAACTTAAATATTACCATTTTTGATAGTTTGATTGTAATTTCCCTTGGTCATGTGCTGCGTCCCTCAGTTCCCGAGAAGCCCCGCTGCGAGCTGGGAGTGACCAGGGAGGCGCACCCGGAGGCGGCAGTGTGGGTTGTCCAGTCCATGGCCCGGTTCATGGCCGCCTACTTCACCAACCGGCGGCTCTGCATTTTGCCACCTCACAATGTGAACGTTCTTCCTCCCCTTCATATTGCAAGAGGTAATATGGCAAACAAGCAACTTTCTCACCTTGTGTTCGCTCACATTATCTAAAGTCATAGTGCACAGTGACCATTATTCTATGGAAATAACACTGTTACAGCTTAGTGCCTGACTCGGAGGAGATATGCAGTGACGGAATTTTTATTTATTTGTGAAGGAATAAAATGTGAGAATTTATTTGTGAAGGAATAAAATGTGAGAAAGGTAATGGCTTGGATTTGTTTTTATTAAATGTAGATATTTTTAACCACAGATTTTAGACAAGTTGATATTTGTAAAGTTTTCACTTTTACAGTAAAAGGGCTGCCACTTTCATCTATATAACAATTTGACAAATTTTGAGTATACTAATTTAGAATTATTTTTGTTTGGATTGTTTGCTTTTATAATTTTATTTGGATCATTCACTTTGCTCTAATCATTTTGTTAATGGGGTCGAAAATGGACCTAATCTGTCTGTGCTGGATAACTGCCCTGCGCCCACGGAGATAAACATGCACAGAATCCCGCGTATTCATTCGTTCTGCTAACTTGTACTAAGTGCCCACTCTGTGGCAAGCAGTGTTGTGGTGCTGGGACTATATTAGCTTGTACCACATGAAATGAATAGTATGATTATACTTGTAATTTTTGTTTGAACATACAAAGCGGACTTATTGTAACAGCCATGAACAAAACAAATAAAATACATGTTCTTCTATGGAGTTCATACCTAATAGGTTGAGAGAGGAAGTTCAGTAAATGACTATATAAATAAGATAGATCAAAGAGTAACAGCTGTTATGCAGAGAACTGAAATAGAGTAATGCATTGTGACTGGGTGGCTGTTTCAGACAGTAGATTTAGGGATGAGCTCTCTGAAGGGGGACCTTTAAGCTGAACTCTTGTTGATGAGAAACAGCCAGCCACGGACACGTCAGGGCTTACAGCATTTCAACCGGAGCTTGTGCAAAAGCCCCAGAGCAAGGAGAGGCTTGACGTGTTTGAGAGACTGCGAGACTAGGGGGGGCCGCAGCATAGAGGCTGAGGTGGAGTGTGATGTGAGATGGAGTCAGAGAGACACGGGGCCGGGGATGTAAGCCAGCAGCAGGAGTCTGAATCCTATTTTAAGTACAACAGGAAGTTACGGGAGGGCTTTAAGCAGGAAACAGCAGGAACTGGTAAATATGTACAAGCATACAGGGATGGGTTAGAGTAGGACAAGATGTAATTAGAAGCTTAGTAGAGGTTGGAACAAGTGGTCAGCAAATGCAATCGATCATAGACCCATAGGTTTTGCACTTTGTGTTCAGTTCTTCTGTTCTGTAATTGTCTCAGGACGTGGGCAGCAGCGGAGGGCAGCCCTCACCCACTGGGACACTCCAACGGGAGTGTTAGTCTTGAGCCTCCCCTGGGTTCCCTGGCAGGCCCTGGTCCCTAGGGAGTCAGTGTGAGGTAGGGTCGGCAGGTAAGTTGTCTAGTGGTTCCTTGTCTAGTAGGTCCCTGTGTCCCTGGGACCTACTCGAGTTGGTCCTGATCTCATTGTGGCTGTTCTTAGGGGGCTGGTGTGAGCAGGGAAACAGGCACCGAGTTTGCCCCAGGATCAGCCAGCTCCCTGGCCCCTCTCCCGGGCCTAACTCCAACTGAAGCCCAAGAGCAGCCCGGGCTCCATTTGCTCACCTTTATGCTGTCCTCTGAGACCCTCACATGAGGGTTACTTATTTCCTTGTGCCCTTGACGTTCGTTATTGTCAGAGTGGTTTTCTATTTAAGTCCTATTTTTTGTCACAATTTAGGTATTTATCACTCGTGTTTCTCACTTTTGGTATTAATGTTTCTGACAACAAACTGTAAACATTAGTCTACATTATTTAACTGAGTAAGAGAGGTAGTACTCCATTTTAGAAAAATCTAGGGAGAAAAACCCCTGTAAAATCCTGGTACTTAAAAAATTTACCTAAATTTTTTGTCTTTCCTACCCTGAAATATCTATAGGACTAGCTGTTTGCTCATTATCTATATCTTTACAGATCGCTTTGGAAGACTGATCTTTTATCACATTCTAGGATATGAGAGGATAGGATTATTGAATTGTTTTTGGACAGATTCATACACATAAAGCTGAGAGACATACCTTTTTATACACTGTATAGATATCTTCTCAATGAGGAGGAGGGTAGGAGAGAAGACATAGCCTTCTATGCTGGAGACTGTGATTAATGAACATTTAAATACCTGAAACTTTGTATATATCCTTTAATTTATTTAATATCCTGGTATCTTAAAAAATGATATCAGCAGGCTTGACTTAGGATACATTTCATGTTAATCTTTCTAATCAGAACTACTTAAGTGATTGTATTGGTGATTTATTTGAGTTGCTTATTTGATATGAAGTTTGCTGTGTGGAAGCAGTAACATTTTCAGAAAATTAAATTATTCAAATTCTTTTTAATAGTGTAGTGCCTTGCTCACAGTGAATAAAAATATAGGAAAAATCTAGTCAACCTCCTGGCTCTTTGCCTATGCAGAATCAAACATTAAAGTGATGGAGTAAATTTTTCGTTTCTACCCAAATGTATCAAAGAGCTGATAGAATGTTAGTGCCTGGTGTGGGCCAAACCGATGGAGGTCACGTGAGGAACCAGCTGCTTCGCTTCAAGGACCAGAAACCCACATTTACCAATTTTATTTTGAGGGAGTGAATGAAAAATGTTAGCAATATGTATTTTACAAAAATAAGAGTCCTGTTGTCATATTTTCAACTTGCTTTTTTAAGTTACTTTTATTAGGGAAACATGCAGAAAGCTGGGGAGAAGGATGTTGCCCTTTGTGTTTAATCCCAGGCCAGAGTTATGATTAAGTCAGGAGCATTAGAAGCCACACTTGTCAGCTTTCTCAAAAGCACAAATATCTCGAACACTTCATATGCTTTGAGTATTACCTCAAAGAAGTTTTTTATTACATGACATTGAGGAAAATTCAGTCTCTGCCCTCCAAAATTCATAGTCTCGTAGGAGAAATAGACATCTATTTCAGAGCAGCCCAAAATAATTAATGTGCTCTGTGACCAGTACATTTAACTGTGTGTCCCTTCATTTATATGATCTGACACAAAAGTGTTATTAAACTGTATTTACCTTATTTTGCATAATGCACTCTGATACTGTCTCCTCTGTCTCTCATTTTTTAAGGAAGCTGGCACTTGCTTCATGACTCACTAACAAGGCACATCCCTCGGTGTTAAAAAAAAATATTCTAGAATATGTTAAGTATTATTTTAGCCCATTTTGTGTATATCTACCTTGTTGTGGTTTTGTGTTGAAAATACTGATTATAGAGTTAATGTGTATCCATAGGAAGAGATGTGAGTCCCGATATTCGTAATTGTAATGCTCATTTTCTTTAACTTACAGAGTGGCCCCTTCGGTTTATTCCTCTGCAGCACTCTAAGGTGGCCAGTGTCGTTAGAGATCAGAATCTTTCCAATGTGTGGACAGTTGAATATGCCCTGGAATTATTGTTTATTGGGGGCCTGGTTCCAGAGGCTGTGTGGCTGGCACATGAGCTGGGAGACTGGAAGACATCTGTTTCAATTGGTGTGGCCTTCCAACTGTTCTGCAAGCTAGATAGCAGTTTCACAAGGTGTGTATTTTTAGGCAAACCTAAGGAATAGTGTAATAGTATCATCTAAGGTATTTTTTATTTCTCTTACACCTTTTGTGGAATTCTTAGTTCAGCATTGTCCACTAGGACTTGTTCAGGGATGGAAATGTTCTGCGTGTGCTATCCAGTGAGGTACTGGCCAAGCGTAGCTATTGAGCACTTGAGCTGTGGATAGTAAGACCGGGCTACTGAATTTTCAGTTTAGTTTTAACTCATTTACATTTAAATAGCTACATGCAACTAGTGGACACTGTGTTGGACAGCTCAGCAGCTTGTTTGTGTTAAAATGTTTATTTAGAACTTGTATTTGTTATGCTCTCAAAGAACTTATAGTCAATGGGAGGAGAGTTTGTCCCAAATAGGATTTGAGGGTTTTGTTTTTTTTTTTAAAGATTTTATTTATTTACTTTTAGAGAGAGGGGAAGACAGGTAGAAAGAGTGGGAGAGAAACATCAGTTTAGGAGAGGTACATCAGTTGGTTGCCTCTCACATGCTCCTAACTGGGGACCTGGCCCACAAGCCAGGCATGTGCCCCAACTGTGAATCAAACTGGCACTTTCGGTTCCCAGGGCGGCACTCAGTCCACTGAACCTCACCAGCCAGGGCAGGATTTAAGTTTTAAGCTAATCAAACTAATCTCTGTATTTTAACTTTTCTGGATATTACAGTATTGCTGTGTCTTTTATATTTTTCAATTCAATAATTAAACATACATTTACTTACTAAGTAACCTTTCTATACCAAACTATATACCAGATATCACAGTGGATATAAACTTAAATGGTATATAGTTTCTATGCTGAAAGCATTTATAGTTTAATAGAGAAAACAGATCACAGCATTATTATAATTTATGGGCCCCGGTAAGGAAAGCCCAGTGGTGCTGTGGGGAGAGCAGAAATCCCGGGGCTGCGGCAGAGAGGATGGAAATGCTTCATGTGGGAGATGTTTTCTGAGGTGGGCATTCAAAGGAAGATGGGATCCTGACAAATTGAGTAGTTGCAGGGAGAGAGAAAATACCAAACACAAGCAAAGGCATGTGGCAAAAAACAAACTGGGTTCCGTTTGGCTGCAGACCCCGGAGCACGCTGTGACAATGGAGAGCCTTGGTCCTCGCCTCGGGGCAACGCTTCCTGATTATTTTGTTTTTAAGTCCAGGATGAATAAAGAAATGAATTTCATTGTTACTTAAACTTCATGTTTAGTTCTTGAGGTATGAATATTGCTTTTTTCAAAATTTGGAATTATTTCTCCTAATTTGATGTGATTTTCAGGTTCAAGAAAAAGGGTCAGAGTCTACCATTAAATATGACTCCAGCACAGATTTTCCAGGAAAAACTCCAGTGTTTTTTAGGTCAGCCAGCCTCTTTGGAAGCAAAAAATGAAACGGGCTCAAAATACAAACAATTTACAGGTGTGTTACGTACATATGGTCTCATACATGTATCAGGTTAATTAATATAAACCATATGGTATTTTAAAAAGCATGTAAATACCCACATATATATTTATACTTTGAAGTAAGCTTATCAAAAATAAGTGTGCTGTTTATTCTTTTTTTTCCTTAAGATTTTATTTACTTTTAGTGAGAGGGGGAAGGAGGGAGAGAAACATCAATCCCTTGCCTCTTGCATGCCCCCAATGGGGGACCTGGCCCGCAGCCCAGACACGAGCCCTGACCAGGAAGTGAGCTGGTGACCTTTTGCTTTGTGGGACAGCACCTTACCCACTGAGCCACACCAGTCAGGCAGGATGTTTATTCTTAATCATGGGAGCATCCAGCACTGATGCCAGCTCGAACACAATGGTCAGTAACTGAATGATATTCCAGTGTTACAGACACAACTTTATACTGGTTTTGTTTGGCTGCATTTGCGTTATTTCCTTTTGCAGAATCTCGGACACGGAAGGGTACTTAAAAGTATTTAGTTCAGCTCTTGCCTAGTACATAAATCATATGTCATAGAACTGGTTTTGTTTTTAATTTGAAAAGTTCAAAGTGATATTACAAAATTAAAAACACTGTAATATTACATAGATTTACACAGCAGCCCTATAAAATCTGTCTGTTGTATAGATGGAGACATTTAGACAAAAAGTAATGTGGTCAGTTTTTTAAAGTTGTACTTTTAATGATAAAACCGGGACTGCTGTGGGAGCCTTTGGTTTTATTAGTGCTTGTCTCCATTAAGGGTGACACTTGTAACTCTAGATTCCTAGAACTTATTAATTGTAATCTCTTTCCGGAAATAGGTCATAACATTTGGAAATCTGAATGAAAACTTTTCTTTGATACCTTTAAGTCGCTTTATCTTTCCATTTACTAAAAAAAAAAAAAAAAAAAAAAAAGAAAGAAAGAAAGAAATGTAATTGCATGACAGTTGGTTTTGAAAACAAGTAAAAACTCCAATGTGTGAACTTCTAGGTTTGGCAATATGTTGTTTAGATAATTTGAAAACTCTCCCACAATAAATAATATCGATTAAATATATGTTTTTATAGCTTGTCTGGAAACACATTTTAACGCTGAGTTTTAAAGAAATTAAGTGCAATTTCCAGGGGTTAGAAACAGAAAGGATAAAAACTCAATGTGTTCCATCCCTTGGTCTTTATCCAAGAAAAATAAAAACATAGTTTCACCCAAAGACCTGTATCTGAATTTTCTTAGCAGCTTTTTATGCTTGCCAAAAACTTAAAACAACTCAAATGCCCATCAGCTTGTGAATGGATAAACATATATCTATACAATGGAATAGTAAATAATAAAGAGGAGCAGACTGCTCATAGCATGCAGCAGCAGCGTGGGTGAATCAGAGGCCCGTTGTGCTGAATGAAAGAAGTCAGCAATGAAGAGTACTTACTGCATGATTCCATCTGTGTGACATCTTATAAAAAGCAACGCTGTGGGGTCGGGAACGCAGATCAGTGGTTGCCTGGGAGTAAGCGGGGACTTGACAACATTGGGGGGTAAGGTAACTTTTTGAGTGATGGAAATGTTCCCACAGGGCTGGGTAGATTTGTGGAAACTCATTGAACTATGTACTTAAAAAGGATGAACTTTATATAAACTATGCCTCAGCAAGCCAATTTAAAAACAGAAACCTCAGCAGAGGGTTAATGAACTGGAAAATGACTTTGGACTCTCTATACAAATACACACTAAGTATATAGAGAGAGATAAAATAACTACATACAAAACAGATGTAAAAAAAGAGTTGGAAAATACGACAGAGGAGTTAAGCGTCAGAGTGTAAACAGGAGGACACGTGCAGTAGGATTTTCATGGCACCCTCACAACATTTCGGACAGCGCTGCCGTCTGAGAAAGGGAGTGGAATAGGATTCGTACATCAAAAATTTCAGCTTTATCTGCAAAATTTTATTTTAAAAAATATAATTTGAATATAGCAAAAATATTAATATCAGACAAGGACGAAAAAATCAGTACTTGAGTGTTTTCCTATAATATTCTATACCTTAAAGTATGCTTAAAATATCCTAAGTCATTCTTATTAACTTTTATTATAAAAGTACCATGATGGACTATTAAGAAAAAATTTAAAAGTCACTATTACTATTCCACTTCCACATAATGTATATTTTGGTGTCTTTCCTGAAGTTCTTTTTTGGTACGAATATTTTTTATTATTTTTGACTCAGGACTCTTTCAAAAATATTTTTGTTACATAATTGTTATTATAATGCCTTATATAATTTTGGAAAAAGTATTTGTGCTATGATTGCCTATAATCTTAAAATAACAATAATTATTACATTTCTGTCTAGAAGTCTGGGTGTGTGCATGTCAGCCAATAGGTTCACTTGAGACGATCAGCTTTTTCAGAATAAGTATAACATTGATTGTTATTTTGCCCAATTCTGTGTTGGGTAGATCCCATTGAAGAGGAAGATGTAAATGTGCTGTTGGGTTCACTGCAAGAAGTGCTGAAGGCAGCAGCGATGGCCGACGCCGACGTTCTCTCGGAGACGCTGCAGCTGCTGGTCCGCTCGGCCAAGGATGTCAGCAGGAGACTCTGGGGCTTAGTGCCAGGCGGCTTGTACCTTCCCGCCCCGCCATTGTATTGTCCTCAGCCAGCTGTTCTTAGTGAGGTAAGCCCACCCTTTTAATTTAAAGTTGATTTTGTCCAATTTTTAAAACAATCAGCTTGATAATAAAAAAGCCAGCTCTGAAGACCAACTTCTGCATCCCAGCTTTGCTGTTTACTAATTCTATAATTTTACATGATGTACTTAAACTGTTTAAGTAAAATGCAGATGATGATAAGACTTCCAATAGCATTACTGTGAGAATTCTGTGTAAAGGCTTCATACCTCAGGCACTAGGATGCAATAAGTATTCAATAAATGTTAAACTTATTGCAATAATAAAACAGAATTAAGAGACGTTTTCTATATCCAGATTTTAAAACTGTAGCTGTTTGTTTAGGGTAATACAATAACAAATGTCAGGATTTAGAAACCATACATTGTTTCAGCCTTGTATTTACCTCATTGTCTTCGCCTCTTTTGAAGATTTAATTTTGATTTTCCTTTGATTTGAAAGATCTTTTTTTTCTCTTGCACTAGTCAATTGATAGTTCTGTCTTATAAATAGCAATACTGTATTTTTCTCAGAAACTTTTCCTCTGCTCCTACTGAAAATCATAACATCAGCTGGTTTTAAGATTTAAAGTGTTAATGTAAATTATTTACACTTAAATTATTTTAATATTTGGTTAATATTTTGAAGTGATTCTGGCATTGTTTCTTTACTATTCATTGTTTCAGTATTAGCAACTTACAACTGTATCTAGTTGTTTTCTCTTTTTGGAGTTAGTCTCATTTGCTATGTTTAGTTATGTTTCAGTAGGTTAAAATATTTCAAATGTATTACAGAGAGAAGGAATAAATAATCCATGGTATTTCTCAGTAATTTTTTCCTCTCATATCTGAGCCTTCAACATATTGGTTTAGAAATTAAAATCACACTGAAGAGATTTTTGGATATGTTATGCTGATATTAGTTTGAGTGGTTACTATCCTTAGTAGTGCTTCATTTTATCATTTTCATTAAAACAAACCTCAGTGGTAGGATTTCTACTAATTGTCACCCTGTATCCATCAGAACACTTTGGGTTAGAGGTATGCAGTAGAAAACTTAGTCAAAGTTGGCCTAATTGAGCAGCCCACTCTGTGGGGGCAGCCTTCTGACTCAATTGTACTACCAGAGACAGGGGTTCTTCCTACTTTGCTGCTAAGGTGTCAGCTCTGGCCTAAGGTTGCCTCCCTTTGTAGAAGCAAGATGGCTGCCAGCACCTTATACGGATACCTTGTCCATGGTGGGGGGGGTGGGGAGAGTGAAGGGATAAAAGAAAAGCAGTGAAAGTAATTCTCTCCCAGAATTCCAAGCAGGAGTCCCAAGATTCACTCTTCTGAGACTGACTTGGGTCACTTGCATGTCCTTGAGTGAGTGACCTTGGGTAGGGACAATGCAGGCTCTGCTTCGCCTTCCCGGGGAGCTGGGAATACGGGGTCAGCTCTTCCTGAATCATATAGGCTGTGTAGGGGAGGGGCAGATACCAGGTTGAAAACTGAGCACTCGTAAACAGTGGCAGGTGGGAAGATGTTTACAACACATTGTCTCATTTTCAGGGAAATTAATCTTCAGCTACTGACTTTAATAGTGTTTTTCAACCAACATTTTCCGGATCCTTCTGCTACATGTTGGACTTTGTGCTGTGTACTCTGATAACACAAAGATGCGTGAGAAGGCCTTTGCTCTGGGGTATTCTCAGTGTCGTGGGAAACATGCATAAATCAGTACAGGATAAATGAGTAAAAGCTGTGAGGGAGGTCTGAGCAAAGTGCCATAGTTACACAGTGGGAGGGCTTCACAGAGGAGGTGACATTGGAATATGAGAAAGATTTTCCCAGGCAAAGGTAGGAAAAAGGCATTCTCCTTGAAAGGAGCTCTTTCTGTAACTTTCTACCAATGCGGTCGGGAGTGGTGGCCTTTAACTGCTGCAGAGGAGGGTTTGGGACTGGGGCCAAGTTAGCCCTTTACATTGTTTGGTGGGGGAGAAATGTTTCCTTGGCACTAGAAATGGCTGTAGTCGAAATCTCTGAGGCCACACCTCAACATTTTTTTATAAATCTCCAGAAATGTTCTGGTTTGAGAAACACTATCTTCATTTTCACTTTAACACTTTAATTCTCATATTACTGGCTATAAAGTTTGGTGGTTTTATTTTCTTCAGGAAGATGGTGATGATCTTCTTTTAAAAGCTGAGAAAGATAATCGCCAAAAGGTGTCTGGCATCCTTCAGCGCCTTCTCTTGCTCTTCCGGGCGGCGCGCTGCTCCTTCCCGGCGGCCCAGTGGTACCTCCTGCAGCTGCGGTGGGCCCGGAAAGTCATGCAGAAGGTACGCAGACGCCCGGCCACTACGTGTGGTGCTGGCCCGCTTAAATGTGCTAATATGTATTGATGTTGGCAAAAGTGACATTTTCCCAAGGAGGCCTGCCCTAGGAGTCCCTGTTCAGGTTTATTAACAGTGAGCAATCTAGACAGACAGGTCCTTTCTGCTGAAAGACGAGTTCTCTGAACTGAGTCTCTGTTGGTCCCACCCTGTCTGTCAGTGAAAAGTCTAATCCAGTGAGTTAATTTCAGATAGTTTCAGTTACACTTCTCCCCCTACTCCAAGCACTGAGGATTTAAACTCAGTTCACGGTTTTCTCCGACTTCTCGCTGAGGCATTGTGTATGTCCTGTGGTGCTTCTGTGAGGTCAGGTCACGGACACGTGGAGTTCGTCGCAGGCTCTGTGTTTCCCTTCAGCGGTCTCTGCCCGTCAGTCTCCCCGGCTGTCTGCTGGGATGTGCAGGCCGTTGTGACGCTGGGGCTGTCCTCTCCTACACTGACTGCCTTACTGCTGCCGAGCTGGATCTGTGTTCTTATCTGGTCTGCAGCCAGATGGGACATCTGGTTGGTGTCCCTTATCTGGCTGCCAGTCCCTTATCCCCTGCCAGAGAGAGAGGCCTGGAGTCTGTCTCTCTAAAAATTAGTCCCAAATACCCTTAATTTGGCTCTTAATTATTACATTTAATATAAGAATCTACAACTTTTTTTAGTAGGACAGATTCTTTAGAGAGGCTCTGAGAAGTTATATCAAGATATTTTTGAAATTAGCCTTTTTTTAGAGAGAAACATTTGTACTCATCCTGTATCTTATGATGCCCCAAATTTTTAAAATATGTTTACTAAGAAGGCAAAGAGTTTTCCTATATTATTAAAAGATTTGTTTTAATAGTTTCAAGATATATTGAGCCTGGAAGTTGTTATAAGAAACTTTATTTTAAAAATTTTTATTGTAGAAAACTGTTTACTTAAAAGTTATAAATTATATTCACATTGTAGGTTGATATTACAACTCCTGACAATAATCTCATTTAATTTAGTTTCAGTACATTCAACTGGCATGTAAAGACTATGGATTCTATTAAAATTGGCACCACAGCTAATGACATTCCTCCTTGTAAAAAATTTTTACAAGTACTAAATTACCTGGTAAAGCATGGTGCATGTGGTAGTCAGAATTCTAATTCTGCCTAAATATTGCCTGATGGGCCTTTGCAGATGGAATTCACATTACTAATCAGCTGACCTTAATATAGGGAAAGTATCCTGGTTTATCTTGGTGGGTCCAGTGTAACCACAGAAGCCCTTAAAGCAAAGAAGGGAGGCAGGAAGAGTCAGTCAGTGAGATGCTGTGGAAAAGGAAGACCAGAGAAATGAGGCCGACGGGGAGATTAGAAGGGTCAGGAGGACTCTGCTCACCGGCTGGCTTAAGACAGTTGAAGGCCAGGGAATGAAGGCAGCTTGTAGAAACTGAGAATGCTCTCTAGCCCATAGCCAGCAAGGAAACAGGGGAACTCAGTCCTAGAACCACATGGGTTGGAATTCTGCCAACAACCTGAATAAGCCTGGTGCGTGTCCTGTTGTTTTAACAATTTGTGTAATTCAAAAGAGCTAGTGAAGGTGTCAGTGAAAGTGGCAGAGTAAGGACATCTAAGACATCGCACTTCTCCCAAAACAATGGAAATACTGGCAAAAATTTTCAGGATTCACTTTTTCGGGATTCTAGAAATTAACCAAACGGTTGCAACAACCCAGAGAGCATGTATTCAAGAAACTTGAGAGTATGGCTCATACACAGGAGAAAGGCAATCAGTTCCCTGAGGAAGCTCAGATGTTGGACTTACTAGACGAAGATTTTAATCAGCTATTCTAAATATGTTTAATAAAGAAACCATTTCTAAGGAACTAAAGGGACGTATGAGAATGATGTCTCACTAAAAAGAAGATAGCAATAAAGAGATAGAAATTATTTTTTTAAAAAAGACCAAAAAGAAATTCTGGAGTTGAAAAGTACAGTATTTGAATTGGAAAGTTCACCAGAGGGGATCCACGGCAGACCGGAGCAAGCAGGAGAATGTGCAAACTGGAAGACAGGTCAGTTGAGATTGTGCTGTCTGAGGAATAGAAAGGGAGAAAGAACGAAGAAAAATGAACAGAGCCTCGCGACCTGTGGGACACTGTCAAACATACCACAGTACAGAGGAGAGAAAGGGGAGAAAGAAACCTTAGAGAAATCATGGCCAAAAATGCCCAAAATTTGAAGGAAAAACATCGATCTACACTTCTAAGAGGCTCCAACAACTCTTAAGTAGGATAAAGTTGGAGATCCCTTCAAAGACACATCATAGACAAACTGTCAAAAGCCAAAAACCAAAATAAAATTGGAAGCAACAAGAGAAGCCATTCATCATTTACAACAGATAAGATTAATGGCTTATTTCTTATCAAATCATGGAGGCCACTAGTAACAGGAGTTAACGAAAAGTGAGTTTTCCTCTCCCCCTGGACTTCCAGTCCACAGAGACAACCACTACACTTAGGTATCCTTCCAGAAATATTTTATGCATATAAATATAAGCAACTTCACCAGCTTACCCCAGGTTATAGATTCTTGTTTGTTATAATATATTAGCATGAAGAAATTAATGATGCATTTATATATATTTTAAAAGCTTTTATTTACCAGAAGTACCTGGCTAAGTTTACTTAGATGTAGACTTAGAAGTAAAAAGTATAAAAACAAAAACAAACAAACAAAAAAAACTCAACAAGAAAAATCTGAGGAACTGTCATAGCCAAGAAGTTCCCAAGGAGGCATAATGTCTAAATGTAATGTGGTATCCCGGATGGGATTATAGAACACCAAAGACATCAGGTGAAAACTATGGAAATCTGAATATAGTATGGTTGAGAGTTAATAATGTATCAATATATTGGCCTGTTAATTATAGCAAATGTAAGCTGTTGATAAGAGAGGAAACTGGGTGGAACCACCCTGTACTAGCATCTTTGTACTTTTTCTATAGATCTAAAGCTGTTTAAAAGATGTTTATTTAAAAACTATATAGAACAACTACTTCCCTGGTAGCGTAAGAAATAAGTCATAATAATGTAGAACAAGTGTTTTATAAAACTTTCTGTTCTGGAAATTTAAACATGTAAAAGTAAAAAGAATCTATCACCAGATGTTGAGTTATCAGCATTTTTTGGATATTGTTTGATCTTTTTCCAGTTTATTTTCTTTCCGTGTGCCTCTGTGAATGAATGCATATGTATGTGTTTTCAGTATTTCATTTTATTTTTAAAAATAATTTTAATTTTTTTCAATTACAATTTACATGTAATATTTTATATTAGTTTCAGGTGTATAGCACTATGGTTATACAATCATATACTTTACAGAGTGTTCCCCCCTGATATTTTCAGTGCCCACCTAACACCATACATATCACGTTTTGTCATGTATAATGTGCTCCCGTGTATAATGCGCACCCATATTTTTGGCCCAAACTTTTCAGGAAAAAAAACTTTTAATTTTTTAATTCAATTATTTATTTATTTATTTATTTATTTATATTTAGATACTTGGTTTTTTGTGGTATAAAGGAATTCTAGCATTTATTTTTGAACATATTATGGTACAAGATGTTTTATGTAACAAATAAAAAAAACCAGAACAGATACAAGGTATTTCAGGTACTACCCATGTATGATGCATATCCTTATTTTTCTCTCAAAAATTTGGGCAAACAAATGCACATTATACATGGCAAAATTCAGTAGTTACTACAGTATTATTGACTGTATTTTCTGTGCTGGACTTTTTATCGCCATGACTATTTTGTAACAACCAATTAGTGCCTCTTAAGCCCTTCACCTTATATCACTTTTAGTGATTGGGAGATGGGTCAATGACTTTGGGTCATGTCCTACCCATTGTCACGTTCTCCATCAGCCACCAAGTTTTTCTTATTTTAGCACTTATTGACGATGCTCACTAGAGTCCTTAGTTTATTAGGGGTTGCGAAATGGTGACTTTCTAATTCTGTCACTTATAGGTTAGTTTTACAAAAGTTATGTACCTTTTTTTTTTTTTGTATTTGTTTTTAGGTACTACACATAGTTTTAGTTTAGACAAAAGTTAGATAAATTTCTTTATTTTCCTTATCATGCCTTTGGAGAAAGCACAAAAAAACATTAAATTCATTTTATACAATCATAACTGAGTGACAAGAAGGTAATTTGATTAAACCTTTTTTTCTCTTGAGATTGAACCTAATGAATTTCAGAATTAAAAATGTGAGCTACGTTTTTGAAGGTACAGCTGATTTCAGGGCTATTTTATTACGTAGTATAGAAACTGTGCTCTGTTTTCCATTCTGTGTGGTTTATCTTTGCTGTTTATTGCTCTATAGTTTCCTTAAAAATCGGTTCAGGCAACTAACACCGTACTCTATCATTCTTTGCTTTCAGATTCGAATGAAAGGGTCCCTTCCCTCACTGAGTCCTTTTCCTCAGTCGTTACTTAATTACTGTATAGGAGGCATAGCATTCTTTCGACCTGGAGCAGCTGGAGACAGCAAGCTTGATGAAGTTTCCATTAAAGCAATAGGTTTGTCCGAAACAAACTGCTCGCTTAGAAATCAGGCCCAAATATTAATAATGATATACTTGTGATTTGGGGAAGTTCCCGTATTCTGGCAATGAAAAGACTGTGTATGTTACTTCCATGGAAAGATATCCAAGACACCTTGGGGAAGAAAAAAGAAAATAGTGTAATATGATATTATATATCTTTATGTACGTGTATTGCTTTCATAAAGAAAATTGTTCAATATTGGAAATTATGATTTAGTATTGAAAAATTTTACACTTAAATGCTTATCTATAAGTGATTTTCCAAATAAATTAACTATTCAGTATTAAGTACAGCTATGTGTATTGGCTTGAAAAGTGTCAACAATATACTATAAAGTTTAAAGCAACTACTAGTAAATAGATTTATTTACTCTTTAACAGTGTTTTCAATGTTTTCATGCAACTGACATGTATGAAATATTCTAGAATAATATACATAAAAATTCTGGAAGATTCTCCAGAAGTTTTGTATAAGATGTTGATAATGAGCATATACTCCTTTTATAATTAAAAAAAATGCATTTATTTTGAAAAAGTAACAAGCAGAGAGAGGCGAGGTTGTTAATGCATGTGCTCATGCCGTCTTCTCTTATATTTGTGTTCCTGATTCAGGTTGCTTCAGGGAGCTTTGTGCTTTGTGTTGGATGCTACACGTCCGTGATAAGTTATCCTATTGTTGCAGGCAGTATCAGAAAGCAAGAGAAAATGTGGAAGGAAAGAAGGTATTTGCCTTGTAAAAGAATAAGAAAAATGAACAAGTATTAACTTGTGAAATTATTGCTTGGTAGATTTTACTATTTGTAGCAAATTAAAAAAAAAAAAAATTCTGGTCTGCCTCTCAAAAGCGGAAAGGCAATGAGTTTTTTCAATGCCCGTTTAGGACCTCCGAGTGGAGTTCGACTCTTGCATGGTGGAGCACTGTCTCAGTGCTGTGGAATGGGCTTGTCGAATGCTCCCCTTCTCTCGGTTTTCTAATATTGAAGAGCTTATTCAGGACCTCATTTTGAGCCTTATTGGAGAGCTGCCACCAATCAGACAGGTAATGTGAACGTAGGTGGACATTAACTAACTCAGAATCAGAGACTTTAAAGGATTTTTATTTTAATTAAGAATGTTGCTGCTCACAAAACTCACTTTTGAATTTTTCTAAAGGTAGCAGAGATTTTTGTGAAAGCGTTTCCCAGTCCTGAGGACATAAGAGTTCCTTTAAGAGAAAAATACCACTCTCTTCTACAGAGACTCAGACACTGTGTTGTGAAAGGTATTGTTCGTTGCTTCTTCAACAGATAGAAATCTGATAGAAAAATTGCTGAAGATTCTCATTTTTTAAATTGATTTTTATAGAAAGAGAAAAACATGGTTGTTCCACTTAGTTATGAATTCACTGGTTGCTTCTTGTATGTGCACTGACTGGGGATCAAACCTGCAACCTTGGCACATGGGGATCATGCTCTAGCCAACTGAGCTACGTAGCCAGGGCCCATTGTGTTTTGAAAGCATGAATTTTCTAGGGCTTGTACATTTCTCCCCTCCTCCGGGAGGGAGTATGAGAAGTCAGAGGCACTTTCCCATCACAGGGTGCCAGACAAAAGACCTGGCTTCCCTGTCAGGGCTCTGTCATTTAGCAACCAAGTTGCTCAGTCTCGCTGAGTCTAATTTCCTTATTTGTAAAGTGACGGTATTAACAGCAGCTCTACAAATGTGTATTGGAAGAGGATTAAATAAGATAAAATATATAAAGTGAGCATATAGTACTTTGCATAATGTAGGTATTTACTGAAAGCTAGTATTCTTCCTTTCTCTTTATGGTTATTTATGCTTCTAATTTTATCCTATATATTTCAGATGGCCATGTGGAAATTATTTTTTATTGCAGTAAAATATACATAATATAAAAAATTTACCATTTTAAGTGTAATTAGTGGCCTTAAGTACATTGACCATGTTGTAGAAATTATGTCCTGTGGTTGCACGTTATTTCATTCATATACTTGTATTTGTGATGTATATTTTCCTTAAGACTTTTTTGACATTGTCTAAAATGTCTTGTTTACATATTAATGTTTAAAATTTTTTAATAGGCAGCCTCAAACAACTTTCTTCCCTATTGTTTCCCATTAGTTGAAGTCAGAAATATATTCTTGTTTCTTTGGCTAAAATTATACTTATTTTCTTACCACTCTGTGGAACTAGAAAACATATTAGTGATTCATTTTACAATCATCCTTCTGATTTTTGAGATGGTTAAATTACTTCTTAATTTTTTGTTTTCCAGGGTACACTTCTTATTGTCTGGGTTCTGTCCCTTTTATTCTTTTTTTAAAAAAATTAAAAATTGATTTTAGATAAAGAGGAAGCGGGGGCGGGGGGTAGAGACATCAACCTGTTGTTCCACCCATTCCTGTATTCATGGGTCGACTCTTGGGTGTGCTCTGACCAGACTGAACCATCCAGATGTTACTTCAGTCAGTGAAGCCGCCTGGCCAGAGCTGCCCCTTTTATTCTTTAAGGGACCTTCTCTAGCTTCTGCGGTCTGACCTTAAAGTATGAACTGTAACTTTCTAACAAATACTGATGAAAGCAAGGTCTGTAAGAATGGGGAAATAAAGCCTTAGTTGTCAGATTTTATGTCCCCAGGAGGGACCAGAATTGGGTCCCCTTGTGTCTTGTGCTGGGACATTTCAATAAACTGTAAAGCCTTTTGTTCTTTTCTTTCTAGGCCCCCAGACTGAGGAAATGATGTCTGTTCTCATGCATTCCACCCACAAAGTAAGGGTGAAAGCCCTAAAACGTGTGCAGAGAAACATAGGCGCTTTCGAGACAAACATATGGGAACCAGTTGAAGAAGAAAGGGCTGCCGAGGTTCCAGGCTTCGGCAGGCTCTCCTCCCTGGGGGCCAGTCTGAGCAGGAGCACGCTCACAGACCTGGGCAGCTCTCCGGCCCACAGCGACACAGAGGCTGTCTCTGAGGCTTTGTCGGTCGGAGGAAAAAGTAGGACACATTTCCATCAAAGGTACAGTTGGGATCTCTTAAGAGCAAGCATTCACTCCCTTTGGGAAAAAAAAGTTTTCAGTACTTTCAGGCAACCGATAAGCTGGTTTCTAGTCCCAACGACCTCCTTGATTGTCCTAACAATGGGAAGAAGCACTCCCCTGCCTGCTCACAAGGAGGTTAGGAATGTGAAATGAGACTGCCCACTTGAAAAATCTATTAAAACGATTATTGAGAGATGAAATAATTTTGTCATCTGCAAGTATAAAATCAGATGAGTAGATTAAATCCTGGAGTTCACTAGAAGACTTTTAATTCTTTAGTAATCTTGAGATTTAAATAGTTCAGGATTATTGGGTGAGCTATATTATTTAAGTTTCCAGGGAAGGAAATTGCACGTTCATTTTTAAAACTTGCCTATAAATTATTGAGAGATTGTTGTTATCATTTAAACCTCTCTTACTGTGATTTAAGCAGATTTTTTTTCTTTTAATTCTATCTAGTATCTGAAATATAATTTATCCTTCTCATGACTGAAAAACTATATAATTGACCATAATCTTGCTTAAGTGAAGTAATTCCATCCACTTCAAACATCTGCCTAAACCATATAAATGGTGTGCTTGTTTTACCAAACAACTTCTGTTTGGAATACCCACCCTGGAGGCTGCTTGTCGCGCCTTTTAAATTAGGAGAGACATACAGGTAGCGACTTAGACCAGGTGCCTACGGAACTTTTTATTTCTCTTTGAGGAAACTAGGGATCTGTGTTCCGCCCTAAGGACCATGTTGAGAGAAAACAGATTTTAAAATAATTACAGTTGGCATTTAAGGTACCTGCAGAACAGGTTTAATAGCAGTAGAGAGTGTTTATGAAATCCCCGCCTTTTGTGTGGTGAGGACTCCTGAGAACAGTCCACCTTGTTCAAGCACGTTGTGTTGGGCGCTGAGGGGGTGAACACAGAAGGGAAGCAAGAGCCACAGGCTAACGTGTGGGAGCCTCGTGATTTTTATTGTCTTTGTACTCTAACCTATTAGAGGACTTTTCTCCCCTAGTGTAACATAGCATTCATTTTTTTTTTAAATCTTCACCCAAGGACATTTTTTCATTCCTTTTAGAGTGAGAGGAAGGTGGAGAGAGAGAGAAACAACAATGTGAGAGAGAAACATTGATCTGTGGCCTTCTGTGTGAGTCCTGACTGGGACTGAACCCACAACCTTTCCATTCTTGGGGGATGACACTCCCCCCAACTGAGCCACATTGGCCAAGGCAACAGTCATGTTTTTTAATAGGGGAATTTCTGCAAACACATTTTAATCTCCTCTAACACAAATTTTCCCTTTTATCATTAACATGTGGTGTTTTTAGATTCAGGATATTCAGCTCTAGTGAAGAGTTAGAGATCTTTCATCCAATCCCTTCATTGGAAAGATAGGTAATCGAGGTATGAAAAAAATGATATGACTTAATCAGTGGAGAGAATTTTTATTGTCAAGATAAGTTTTGGTGATTAAATGATCTCTAATTTTGTCCTTTCCACCTTTGTTTTGTTGTAGGAATGCTCCAGATCACATGGAATTCACATTGATTGCTAAATCCAATGATAAAAAGAAAATAGGTAATCAGAAAGAAAACCCTAAAAGGAAGGAAGATCATGAAAAGTTATTACAAAATGTACTTCCTGTAATAGGTGTTTGGGAATTTGAACGTGATGATGATGAATATATGAAGTTCCTTGAACTCTTCTTGAGTTATGTTCTTGAAAGAGACATGTGTGGTTCCAAGGATCCTGGCATTCCATTTCTAACCAGTTTTTCTGGACATCTTAGAGAACATGAACTTAACCCTTTGCTTTTTGATATACATGCGACATTAACAGGACATCAGGGCAAACCCAGAAGCCAGAACGTGTTCAGAGCTGGCTCTTGCTTTGTTGTTGCTCCAGAGTCACATGAGTCTGAAAAGTCAGAAAGCCAGGCACTTTCAGCTTCAGTAGTGCTTAGTCCAGGGGTCAGACCTTCCTTAGAGAACCCCTCAAGTGAAGTTAATAAAAATGAAGGAAAGAGTGGATTGTTTGGTTTAAAACAAAAGTCAGTGTATAGAATACAAGATGACAGTACAGAGAAGCGTGTAATCCAGAGACTGATGAACTCTGTTCTTTGGGCTCCCAAGTCCACTAAGAGTAGAAGATGTATCTTCAAACCCATTCAGTGCAGTGACGACCCTGCCGAGGTGCTTCCTGCAGCATTGAGTGACACGCCCGGCAGCCTACGGAGGCTGCTGGAGTGGATGGTTAGGTGGGCCGACCGAAGGCTGCCCTGCGCTACCCGCCTTGCAGAGTCACCCTGTGGGCACAGCCCCGTCATTCGCGTGCGGACCTCCTCAGCTGCCATCCTTACATCCTTGTGGCTCTTGCGACAACCCTATCTTGCTACCTACAAGGCAAATAATGCCATTATTAGGGTAAGTCCTTAAGTTGTTCATTACATACAAATGACAATTCTCTTTTTAGTTTAAAACTAGATTTATATTTCCCCATCTGTTGAAGAATCATTAAAAAATGAAGTTAATGGCAAGATTGATTATAATGTTACACCATTTTTTTGTGCCTTTTTTTTTTTTTTTTTTTTTTTACTTCAAGTGGTTCCTTTAATTCTTAGAAGTAATCAGTTAGGGTAAAAGTACTTCCATGGAGTCTTTGAGGTTTTGTGTCTGTTTATAAAACGAAGGAGAAAGAAGAAACTTCGAAGTGCTATTACAAGATCTGTTTCTGGAGATATATCTCATTCATTGGCGTGGAACACAGTCTTTAGTTTCCTCCTTTCCTTGACTCCGTATTTCCATGTTAGATGAAACGGCACATCTCCCAGTCTGGACAGAGCGGTCTCCTGTAGGAGAGGAACCTTGTCAGTCAGCCTGGCTTGGGCTTTTGGTTGTCCCTGAAACCATTGTGATTGTCCAAGCCTCCTCCTTTGTTCTTAGTGGCTCCAAGGGGCTCTCAGTGTCCCATGGGGTGGATCACATTTATCACCTAGATGCAGGTGGATGGGAAGCCGGACCCTCGGTCAGCATGTGTCAAAGTCTGCAGTGAAGGCCTTGCTGTGGAGGAGCAGGGATGGGTGTTGGCTGGCTCCTGGGGACTGGACCCAGGTCGCAGCCATGCTGGATGCTCTTGCACCCAGTAAGAACTGCTTCTTTGCTTGCTATAGCCCTGTGGGACCTGTGAAGGCGAGCCCCATTGGCTCCCAGAGACAGGTGACCTGGGAACACGTCCCTCAGCCAGCCTCTGCAAAAGTGGGTGTCAGATGCATGTAGAAGCTCTTCTAGGGGGATCCTGGCCGCTTAGGGTGAGGCAGCGAAGGTCGGGGAGGGGGCCTTCAGCTTCCCTGGTCCTGGGGAGGACCCTAGGCAGCTAAGTTAGAAGCTTGACCCTCAGGCAGCAGCTTGCAAAGCGTGCCGGGGGACCCCTTCCAGAAGAAGCCTGGGGGGTGGCTGTCCCTGCCTCTCTGGGCTGAGCCCACTGGGGAGAGCCGCGCAATGCTCACACACCTGCTAAAACAGCTCCTTGGTTTGCCTGGTCTTGTGGGGCTCATGGATGCAAGCCTCCCTCACTTGCACACCTAGGGGCTTGGGGGTTCTGTCCCTTACATGGGAGTCTTAAAAGTTTAGGTGCTAAGTGTGGGGCTCAAACCCTTGTTCCTGGAGAGAAGTGGGAGCAGGGCCCGTGTCTGGATGGGGTGCGTGTTGAGTGCCTCTCAACCTTTCCTGCCCTTTTCAGTGTGGGCATTTCCTCATTCCCGAGGTGCAGGAGTCCATTGGTTCCTGGGTTTCTTTCAGCGGCAGTTGCTGGGTGGGCAGTTGTGCATTTGGTGGTCCGTGGAGGAGGGGGGCCCAGCAGCCTCTCTGTCACTGCCTTGGTTGACCGCCGCCCCCCCCATATTCTCATTCTACTTTTCTATTTTCTATTTTAAATAGAACATTTCTATTTTCTATTTTAAAATACTTTTGTTCAAAAATAGTTTATTCTAGGAAGGGTATGTGTTTTGTTTCTTTTTTGAGGTTTTTTTTGCAGTTTTTTTAAAGATCAGTTTCTGTTATCCTAAGGTAGTTTTTAAGATACTTAGATACTTTCAGTGATATTTGTTGTTGCTAAAGTTTGTGTTTCTAGGTGGCACACACCTAAATATGTGAGAAAGAGATAAAAGATCTGCATGCATTGTATTTTTAGCTGTATATATACTTGCCAACTATGTCATTTCAAAATAATTACTTAATGTCTTTATTATATAGTAAAGAGAATTAAATGAAAGCCACTTTGCATTTTCATTGCTGCTGTTTCTGTGGCCTGAAAACATTGGTGATTACCGTACAAATTTGTAAGGCTGATTTCTTTTGAATACTCTCTAGGTAGTCAGGCTTGTTTTTTCTTGGTGGAATAAAGACTTGATCATTGCTTTCACATGAAATACTGAGTTGTAGATGTGGGCTCTATGCTAGACAAAGGAATAAGAAACTTAGCCAGGAGAAATTCTGTAGAAAGTATTAATAATGTAAAAATACAATGAAGAGGATGGGATTCAATAATGAAATCTACTACAAATGGCTTGTTTTAGGTCCAAGGGAGTCCTTCCACCAGGTCTCAGAGGGGACCCAAAGCTGAGAGTGACCGCAAGGCAGATGCTGGCTGCTCGGCGGCAGGATCCGCTCAAGGTGGGCCGGAGGAGAGAAGCGATCACGATGAATCTTGTCAGAGCATCTTGAAGTAAGTTGCTGATTACAATGTTCTTTTCAGTGGATGATACCTTTCTTGATGGTGTTTGGGCTTAGAGGGAAAAATTAGACCTTGGCAGTTAAAGGAGTTAGTATTTCTTTGAACTGGAGAACCAAGAGGTGAGCCCTTTCTGAAGTGCTTTAACAGTTTGTTGCAAAGTATATGTCTTCCCTGTTAGTCTGTCTTCTGTCTTCTGAGAGTGGAACTAATTCAGCCTGAGAGATCCCTTTATTGTATTAATTGATTGCCGATGTCAGAGGAAGTTGAACTAATCATTTCATCCACTCTTACACTTGAAGCAATGCTGTGAGTTATGCCTTTGGATCCTAAGGCTGGGAGATTCCTGTGTGAAAACAGCAGATTTAGATAAGTTGACATTATTCTAATATTTTGAGTGAATAACAATGGGGGCATTCGGTCATTCATTGTGCAGCCTTTTATTGAGCTTCTGCTGTGGACCAGACATGGTTAAAAATATGAAAGACTATATAAATATAAAAACTAAGTTTGTTCTTTTTAAAGGAACTGATTCAATTGAAAGCAAGCTCTTTGTTTCCAAGAATGAGTTACAATTTTTGGCTGCTTCATTTTTGTCAATAGGATGCCAACTGAAGCCAAAACACCTGTAATAAAAGAATGCAATGATATTTCTGTCACTGATGATACTGAAAACGAACTTGTAGATACCGATGTGGATCTTTTAGGAATAGAAACATTTACACTGGAGGAAATGAATACATACCCATCAGACCACGAAGGTTAGTTCATGTGGCTAATCTTTTTGTTTGGCCTTACTAATTTGAAATTGGTGAATGATTATCTGCAATAGCTTATGTAGTCTTATATCTAAATGAGTAAATTTATAATAGCCTAAAACCAAAAATTAAAGCAATTCAGTATTTATGAAATATTAACTGACAACCTGAATTTAAATGATTAGGCCTCGTGCCGTGCCTCTGTGCTTGCTGTGGGCCTCTTTTCCTGAGAACTGGCTCTGCGCACCTCCTAGGCAGCCTTCCTCAGGCAGGAGTTCCCGGTGCTGTGTGTGAGTCGCGCACACCCACCTGAGGCCCCTCGAGGCTTACCTCAGATTCCCCGGAGGAAGAGGGGTTGTCACCAGGTGTTTTTAAAACATGTTTCTGTAAGGAGACTATGAAATATTTCTGCCATTATATATTTTCCCGTAATGTTCCTGAACCATCTAAAAAGTAAAATGATTATTTCTCAAATGGTCAGTTTTCTCTTCCTCCTTGTTTTCCTGTAGAAGATGCCAAAGAACCTGTTGGAAGTCTCCAAAGTCCCACTGTTGCCATTGGCATGCCGACGTTCCCACAGCACTTAGAAGAAGTAAGTCGGTAAATAGTGGGTAAAGTTACTTAAGTTATACTGACATGTTCTCACTCAGTACACCCAGCCGAGGTCCTGCTCCCCCGAGCACCCTGACTGGCAGAGGCAGCTGCGTCTACAGCCTGTGTCTCCCACTGAAAGCCTGTGACTGGGGACTGAAATTTTCACTTCGTAAAGTGCTGTAGCGAATTAGTATAATCAGGCATTTGAAGGTATTCTTTGTTCAAAATATATAATTCAACTGTAGTGTGCAGTTTTTGCACATATGTGCACTTGTATGTACTATTTGGTTTTTCAAAACTGGATACACAGGATTTCCAGGTAGAATACAGACATTTCTATTTATTGAAACAGTTCCTTTATAGTGGTTCTCACAGTGTACCCACTTACGTGGTGACAGCTATATGTAAATGTGTTCATAAATACGTTGTACTTTAATATGCTCAGTAGCTCAGGCTGAGGGGCCAAAAGCAATTCACACAGTATAAAGACCCAGTCAGAGCAAGACCGGGCCTACACTTTAATGCTTTGGTTTCTCACTTGCTTTGAAACTGCTGTCACTCTGAGTGAGTGGCTAATGTGAAACTCAGGATATTTAAAACAGTAATACCTATTTGTTTCCCCTCCTTTCTTTTGGGGGCCATCAATTTTAACAGCTCTCTGCAGGAGAAGTGCACTGTCCAAGGGAGGAGCCATTGGAGACCCATGTGGAGAAAGTATCAACAGGACAGAAAGGGTAAGGGGGGAAAGCGTGGAAGGATTCGCTTGAAAAGATTTTTTTTTCTTGTAATTTACAATACATATTTTATGGTGGTCCTGTGTTCCTAGTGGAATTGTGACTTCAGTTTATAGCAGTGGAAAATGCTGATTTTTAGTAAATGTTATGCTCCTGACCTCAGTAGAGTGAAATAAAGCTATCTAACATGCCTTTTGTTCTCTCGTCACTGTCAGCCTTAGTAAGGTACAGCTGTAAGTAGACCAGGGTTTGTTCAGCCGCTAATCAGGGAACCGCCCACACATACTGATTCCATGTTTATGGGATCAAATAAAGATCTATTTTGAATCCCTTTATATATATAATCTTTCACTCTTGTGGCATAATTATTGTACACCATCCATAAGGCTGTGATGTACATATCCTCTGCTGGCGAGCTGAATTTTGAAAACCTTAGAGTTTTAGAACTACCTCATGTAAGAGAGGCAACATAATTAGATTTTTCTCTTAATGTACAAATTTTGTTCAATTATTCTGTGGATAATTAACAAAAAGAACCTATTGAATGCCGTGCGCCTTTACAAGCAATGCAGGTATTTCTGTTATTAAAAGACTCACCCGCAGAGAGTTGGGCATGATGACAGGCTCTGCCGTGCTCTGAGCAGAGGGCCTGTCTCTTCCCCGGGGGTGTTCAAAGCCCCAGCCAGCTTCGCTGCGCCAGCCTCCCCTGAGGTTTTCTATCATTTCTGTAGCTGAGCGCTCAGCAATGCTCAGGTCGTTATGTTAAGCTGTCTGGACGTATTCTTTGCTTTTGTTTGAATCTGTGACTAATTACTATGGAGACAAATGTAAACAGATTGTAATTATGAGCTAAACATCACAGAATTAGAGAATGTTTAGACTCTCAGATGGCTGAGCATTAAATCACTTGTACCTTAGAGAATGTGAAGACTATCTTGGTTTCTAATCGATTATTAATCTTTAGTTACAGTATGATTGAAGCCTTTTCAAATCCTGAACACACAAGTCCTGATTCACTTTGTGTAGACACAAGTTCAGAAATTTCTAGGTAAGGATTTTTATGTACTGTACCATTTTATCCTGTTTTATAAATAGGTAAAAGAATGAAATGATGCTTATTGTACCATTTTTAAATATTTACTAAATGTTTTCACTACAAACTATGAGAATAAAATGCAAACAATGTGAAGCATTGAAAAAGCAACATAGGTACACATTTATGGCAGCTCTAAGTTTATTATCGAAAGATTTTCCTCTAATAGGTGTGTTTTAAAGACACACAGGAACTGTTAGAACAGTCTTTTCTGAAAAAAAGTAGTGTCTGTATTATTGAAAGATGTGATTGTTGCTCATTTCCAGCCTCTAAAAGATTTTCATATAAAATGCTTTTTTATTTTTATTTTTTATAATCCTCACCTGAGGATATTTTTATTGATTTTAGAGAGAGAGAGAAACATCGATCAGTTGCTTCCCATACGCACCCCGACCTGGGATTGAACCCACAATCTAGGTATGTGCCTTGATCAGGGATTGAACCTGCAACCTTTTGGTGTATGGGACAATGCTCCAACCAACAGAGGCACCCATCCAGGGCTAAAACGCTTTTAATTCTCATAGAACAAATTCATCCAGGTCTGTCTTTTGAATTTCTTTTACAGAGGTTGAATAATGTGCTTAGTGAGTAGAAATATTTCTGAAAAAGGAGGATAATATAACACAGCTTTCCTTTGAAATTAACCGTAACTAGAATTTATCTTCATACTACTTGTTGAAAGCAAGGGCTAACATAAAGTTGTCTTAAAACAGGCAAGTCAATTGTAATGCCTCTTTTTCGTGGATTTGCCAAATAAAGTTTTGTTATTGAGGACATTAGATGCTTGATAAAAGGCAAACATTGCTGAAAGGAAGTGAGAGTAAGCCCAAATAAATCTAAATGCAATTTAATAAGTTCTTTTCTTTTTAGAGATAATGATCATTTTATTTCAGTAAGGTATGTCCACTCCCTGAATCAGTTTATGAAATTGACTTGCTTCGAAAACATTGAGTACCTGCTATATTTAAGAAATCATCCCCAAATAATCATTTTATTAAAAAAAGTGAAAAACCCTGACTGATGTGGCTCATATGGTTGGGTGCTGTCCTACAAAAAAGTAAAAATCATACTTGATCTTTTGTTGGTTAGGGTTTAGATATAAACTCTGTAATTTTCTTGGAAATGAAATGTTCACAGTACTGTTATTTCACCTTTAATGATGATCAGTGGGAGTTTGCTGTACCTGCCTTAGAATCAAACATTTTTTAACCCATACATTTCCTATTTTCTTAACTCCATTCTGAGTCACTAAATTTGGACAAAAAATATTCTTAAACAAAATTACATAGACTATCAGCTAATTAGAATGATTGCACAGGTCAAACTCAGATTCCCACAGGGACCACGCAAGTAAAATACATGTGTGAACAGCCCAGGCTGCGACCCCAGGGGAGGGGGCTGGGCGGACTACACAGCACACGCCTCTGAATAAAGGCACTGGGCGAATCGCTGTGCTGCTGGCAAAGGTTCGGTGGGTGACAAATGTGAAGGGGTACAGAGACGAGCTTTAGGGCTTACATTTTCTGAAAACTTTCAGAAAGCCTTTAAAGGAGAGGAAAAAAGTAGGATCACAATATTCAGGTCACAGACTTTTAATTTGTTTTCTTATTGATTAATGTGTGATTTTCACTTATGTGCTCCCATGTGTAGTGCACAGATCTCTGCACCTAAAGAGAAATCTTCCGCAGATCCACCCTTGGTGTCAACTGGAGTCAGTGCTGCTTCACAAACACCTGGGCCAACACCCCAGCAGCCCCAGGGAGATGAACCCAGGGCTCAGTTTCCAGGTTCTTCTGATGCTGTTCGGCAGATGCTCCAAGATGAAATGTTTACATTAGTTCAGGTAAGCACATCTCCATATAAATGTGTATAACAAGCCCCCACACGATATCTATGTAAGATTTTTAAACAGGAATAAACTTCTGGAGATGGACAAGGTGACGTTACGTTGCCCGGTGCCTGCGCTTGGGGCAGTCTCTGTCAGTCAGGAGTTCAGAACTGCAGGGCCTCGAGCCCGACTGGGCTCCCCGCTTCTCGCAGTGACCTCAGGCACTCGGATCTGGAACTTTGCCACGGAGGAGGCGGGAACTCCAGATGTGTGTGCACACCCAGAGCGTGTTTTCTAAGGCAGCCTGCCACGTCACATTTCGTACCCTCAGACCTGATTTTGGCTTGTTGTGAAATTGCCTGCTGCACTGGAAAGCCCCTTTTCACTTTGACTTCCATCACGTTCTCACCTGATTATCTTCTTCTCTGTCTACCAAAACTTTAAAGTTATTTTCCTTTCCTGTTTTGCTCTGTTAAACATTCATTTCCCTCACATTTAACCCTCTACTCATGGGATGTAATATACCATTTTTATTGGTGATTCTTGATTTCTTTGAACTTAGGGGCCCTGATGAGAATACTGTTTCCGCATGTTCCACTGTCATATGAAACTTATTGAAACTGACTTTATTCTTATTCTCCCCAGTCCTTTCCCTTTTCCATTTAGTAACACTACCTGTTTTAACAGCCTAAAGTTTTAGACACATTTCTCAACCTTGTGTTTTAGATTACTTGGGGACTTTGCTGGTCACTGGCCAGTGTATTTAACAAAATCTGTAAATAATTTGGAAAACACAAAAGAGGAAGGTCTTCGGGAGTCATCCCTGCCTGCCTTCTCCACCCGTGTCCAGTGTGTTGGGTGGTGCCCTCTTGATTCTTCCGCCCACATGTCCGTACAGCACTTGCTATTTCCGTCGCGTACCCAACCATAGATAGAGTCTTAGGACTCCATACTTCCATTATCTTCTGTGTACATTTTCTAGGACATTCTTCTTCAGATATTGTTTTAATACTGTATTTTTCTGTTTAAATTTCAGGTACAAACTTATATACTATTTGATATATATTCTTTAAAATGCAAATAATGAAATACACAAAACATATCAGTTATCTTTTGGGATAGGATTATGAATGATTTTTATTTTGGGGTTTTTTTTCCCCTGTAATAAACATTCATTTCTTTTACAATTGAAAGAAACCTCCATGTTTTTAACCTGCAGTCTGTCTATATTAGTTTGTTTTACAAGGTGCACATTCTTCTGTTGGGCTTGACCCCTCAGCCAGCTTTTACCCTTCCACATTTCTCACCATACTCTCACAAGTCCATGGTCCATGGAGCAGTAATGTCAGCATCACTCAGGTGTTAGAAATACAGATTCTCAGGCACCCATTCCAGACTGACTGACTTTAGCAGCCCTGGGGATAAGGTTCAGCAAAGGGTGCCGTGCCAAGCCCTCCAGGGGGTTCTGATGCGCGCTGGCGTTTGAGGACCACAGCACTAACCTGCCCCTCATTACAGCTGCTGCGGATTTCCTGATCTACGTAAGCCATTGGGTGGTGATAGTGGTTCCCAAGCTTTGCTGCACCTTAAATCACCTGTTTATCTTTGTGTTTCAATTTTATGACTATTGACAATCAGCAGTGAGTTCTCATCCACATTAACTGTTTGTAGATTTTTGAAAGTGGTAACAGGTACATAGGTGACCAACTGTGTAGAGCTTTTTTGGCGAATCCTCGTCCTCATTATGTTTTCTGGACAACCACACCTGGGCACATATGGGACATTTATTCCTTTGTCCCAGCCAGCTGTGCCGAGCCTGGTGTCAGTGCGCACATCTGGAGTTCCCATCTCCTTTGTGGCAAATCTCTGGATCTGAGTACCTGATAGGCACGCTTCTTGGAGCCCACTCCATGGATGCGCTTGTGGACGTTGATGGTGTATTCTCTGGCCACTATCTCGCTGATGGCTGAACAGCCTTTCTTCTCTCCTCTCTTCTTGGCGGGAGGCATTATGTGGGGCCTCACCTGGAAAAAGCTACCTGGTCACCTTAAAACATAAGAACCCCGGCTCCCAATCCCAGACGCCCTGTGTTTACTGGTGCAGGGTGTCACCTGGCCACTGAGATTTAGTGCTGCTCGGGGGTCCCGATGTGTAACAAAGCTTGTCAACCAGCGATGTGCGCTTTCGCCAGTCACCCTGTCAGCCCTTCCATGGGATCTCCTCGTCCTTTACCTGGTTGCTAATCTCTGCTGATTTGTTTCCTGAAAACCTGTTCTCACACATCCCCAGTTTAGGAATTCTTTAATTACCCTCACCCCGCTCCACAGGTCACTCCTTTATGGTCCCTGGGGTATTTATGTAAACTGCTTTATAAATAGTCCCAAGTCTTATTCATGAGTTCATGTTCCCAGTTGACAGCTCCTTGAAGATAGGAAGCTATTCTTTTTTCCTTTAAAAAAAAAGAAAAATCTCTCCTAGCTTTGCTTCCTGCTCAGCATTCATGGATCTTACAGATACTCAAAGGTCTTACTGTTGTTAAATACTCAGCTGGTTGTTGTTGATTCTTTAGCAGGTTTTTTTTTTAATAGTTTCAGATGCTCCTTTAATTTTCTTTTATTTTTTTTATTGTAGCTGCAACAGATCAACTTCCTGAGTCTAATGCAAATAGTAGGGTCATCCTTTGCTGACCTCCCAGACAGACACCGACTTGTTCAGCAGTCCCAGTCTGTGCCTTTGGCGGGAAGCCAGGCGTCACACCTAGCAGGAGGCAGCGGTGATGCTGAAGACACCGGTGGGAGCCTGAGGGAGAGGCTGTTCCTTAAACCACCGCCCGTGGACGAGCACACCAGGGAGCCCGGCAGGAAGAGCCTCCCCTGTCCAGAAGGAGCAGTGCGGTCTGACCAAAGTAGCAATGCAAATTCACAGGTAACATGTTCGGAAGTGCCATTGACGTTATTCTAGTAGTTTGGTGGTGGTTTTTTGTTATTTGAGTAAACAGCATTTTGGCTGTTATTACATCCCAACCCCTCCAAGACATATTGAACATCATTTACAAAATAAGGGATTCATAATACATAATAGCTTTTATTCTCTTCCAGAATGTTCCGCACGGGAGTATTCCTTGTCCATTGGAAGGCCAACCCCAGAATAGTGGACTGCCTACAGCTTCTGAAAGTGTACCAACGACTTCCTTTTCCCCAGCCCCTGCTGGGAGTACTTACATCCGGCTTCTGCCCACATCTTCTGCCATTCCGAAGATGCCTCAGTTTCTCCCGGCTGCAGACACTCTCACACCGGGTGGTGGTTTCCCTCTGCTTCAGTTTCAGCCTAAGCACGAATTTAAGCCCCTTCTCTTCCCTGCAGTAAGAGTCCCACAAGGCCCCTGCAGGCGTCCGCCACAGCCAAGAGAGGCCTGGGGGCCACCTGCGTCCTCCCAGCCTCCCCTGCCACCGAGGGCGGTGCACGCTCCCTCGGCGCCCTGCTGGAGTTTGAGCCAGCATGACACTGAAGCCCCGCATAGGGCAGCCAGGCAGAAGAGAGGGGCAGAGACTGTCACTGCAGAAGCCCCTAGGCATGTGAACTCGGATCAGTACGTTGGACAAGAAAACTTGACACCTCAACAGGGCTCTTCGATATTTGCAAAACCTGAAAAAGTATTCGATGTGAAGCCAGGGCCCCTTGAGACATCTCAGAATTCCTTTGGATTTCCATTACTGCACCTGCAGCTTACACCTCCTTACGTATTTCCCTCCGTCTCCAGAAAGCCAGTTACGGTTCCCTCGGTGCCTCCCATAACGGCAGCCGCGGGAGGCGAACACCCAGGGCTGCCACTGCTTCCCTCACGCCTCCCCCAGGAGAACACGGTAACACGCTCTGCGGGGAGGGGCCGGGCCACAGTCCTGCGCTGCGTGCTGTGCTCACCGCACGCCCAGGGAGGCGCTGCTGCTGCATGTTCCTTCTGTAAAAAATAGTGCTGCTGCGATTGATGACACATAAAAATCCAGTTTAAGATGATAACTGGGTATTTTAAAGGTTTTAGGTCTGTCTGGTACATCAGTACCAGAATTTGCTGAACTCTTTCACACGTATTTCTCCTACTTATAGAAGAAATAAGTAGTGAAATGAAATGACCAGTATATGTGTGTGTGTGCACGTGCACATACAGAAGAGAACAGAGTTGGGGATTGCTAGCAATTGTGCTATGATTTCCTTCAAATCTGGTAGAGCTTAAAATTGTTAAATAGACCCAGGTCTATTAGTTCCACATATCACAAATGGTGTCTTTTTAAAGTACTTCAGAACACAAAGATTGAATCTTAATAAGCCCACTAACACCTTCAGTTTATGAAATTCAAATTGTCTAGGTTGCAATTTTGTAAGTTATTAGTACCATTGTAGAAAGGTCATTGAGTGAAATTGAGTAATTTATTCCTTGGTGCACTTTTAAGATTTGAAGATGATACTGGGAAAAGAAATGGTCATTTCTTAGAAAAAGTACTTACCATGCCTTGTTTTCTGTTCATATTATGAACAGAAAAGAAAGGATTAAGGGAATAGAAAAATAGACATTTTGATGAAAATTTAAAGAAATTTTGTTAGAATAGTATTACAAATCCCCAGGCTCCTACCCACAGCACCTGTGGTTATCAACATACTGCTAAGGAGCTCCATCCAAAATCTCTGCCTGCCTGCACCCTCCTGCTCCAAAGAATTTTGAATCACATATTGGACATACAATTTCATTTATAAGAAGGAAGATTTTTAATGTGAAAAAGAAATTAAGAAAATGAGGACTTGCAGCTTAATTTTTGAAATAGGACAACCCAATTAAATTCCCAGCACTCCAAAATCATTTATTCCTTAAGATCATGTTATTCCTCTTACCTTTCTAAGTCAGTCAGTTATCTTGGACATATGTCATCTCTCGCACATCTTAGTTTAAACAAATACTTTTCTCAGTTTTTTAACTTATTGCATAACTGAGGTGTTTTAAATCAACATGCCTGCTTTCTTTCTTGTAGTACAAAACCCCACAACTTATTCCAGTTGACAACCTCACTGCATTTAAACAAAGCCAGAAGAAGCCAGCACATGGTGTATCTGAACAAGGTGACCCCAGACACCTTCCGCTTGTCACGGGCACAGTAGAGCCTTCTGTGGCGAGGCAAGGAAAGGACGGCAAAAAAAGGCATGTTTGAAGTGACATTTGATTTGAGAATATCACATACCTGCAAGTTTTTAGTTACAATAATATGGATGTAAAGATGGAAGTTACCTGGTTCAACCTCCTATCCAAACACTATCGCAGACTTGTCAGATGTCTTGCATTTGAACACATCTTGTGACGAGGAAAATTCCTGTGCTGTGAGAGACAAACACTGTTATTTTTCCCATTAGATGAGCTCCTTTCCTGGCACTCTTGGGCTGGAGGATTCTTTTACACTTTCCTGTAAGAGACTGAACAGTGATCTTTGCAGCACAGACACTGGCTCTCCCACGCGACAGTCCGTGTCCTCTGCAACATACTGAGCGGAGACTCCTTGTCACTCCTCTCACCCTGTCCTCCTACCCGTCTCCAGGAGGCAGGAGGGGAAGTGACGGGGGACTATCCCAGGCACTGAGAGATGTGCACGTAGAAAGGAGCTGGGACTTCAGTGAGGGGCCTTCCTAGCATTTTACTCATAATGGATGTTGACCATGTGTATCGACTATCAGGTTGTTACTGACTCTAGAAAATACTTTAATATTTTTACATTTATCAGACCCTAAATTCTGTTGTCAGTGTGCTCTTTCCGGAAATGGTTCCTTCCTTCCATCTTTTCCCGGTGTTCCCTCTTGAAAGGAAGTCGTCTAACTTTCCCTCTTCCCTGGCACCCTCCCCTACCCCTTGCTGGGGTTTCACTGAGGGGACTAAGTGTGCTGAACTTCTTCAAATAGGTGAATGGAGGTGTCCAGTAGGGTTTCTGGGGACAGCTTAGAATCTGCAGGAAAAGGAGTTTGAAAATTACCTGCAGGGTGTAATTTTGACCTGAGATTCCCACGACTTATACAGAAAATCAGTTTAGTAATAGAGGAGCTAGAAATAACTCTCATGTGTCTCTAGCTTCTGCCCTATTTGCTTATATTATGGCAGATGATCTTGAAAATTTAATTAAATCCATTGGAAGTAATTTATTGACAAAAGTTTCATAACTGTTTACCTATATAGCATGATACAAGTGAAAAATGGATGTTACTAAAATAGTTAAAATATACTTGACACTGTTGTTTTTCACAGGCAAAGACGACGAGCTGAGAGAGAGCTGCAAGAGACACGATCAGAGAAACTAGGGACAAGACCAGGTGTGACTTTCCAGCCAGAGGAGGATTCAGAAGTAGGCCTGCGACCCCAGGTACGTATGGCTGCTGCGCGCCCCAGGGCGCACGTGTGCAGAGTTCAGGGTGTTGCTGCGGCGCCCCTAGTCTTCTCCTCGCTGGATACCCCTGGTTGTGACTGGCAGAGTCGGTGCCTCCTGAATGACAGGACTCCCTGCCCTGTCCCTCCAAAAAACAGGAGGGACACCGTTGTGCAGTGGAAGGCACTGGATGGTAAATCGGACTTTGCGGTTTAGAGCAACCGCCCAGGTTATTTGGGTTTCTCTTATGTCAGTGAACTTACTTCTTTTAGGTGCCTCTAAGATGTCCCCAGTACAGGTTTATTATGTAACCTGTATTTTATTTTATTTTTTCATATTTTAGGAGTATGTTTACATTTTAAAAACCAGTCTATATATCTAATATCCCACTTTGTATTCACAAATCATTGAGATGATACAGAGGATTATTTTGGTAAAGTTAGATTAAGTGACTCCCCAGGAGAAACACAGTAGCAGAGCAAGGAGCAGATCCAGGCGTCCAGTTCTCCATCCATGGTTGGTTCAAACTGGTCAGCATCTTTTTTAATTTGTAATTCCAAGTTTGAAGGCGTTCAAGATTCAGGGTCTGTAATTTCTGAAAAGCCTTCCTCTATGTTCTGCTGTTTAACTCAGTCTAGTTTATTTTATTTTACTTATTTATTTTACTTTATTATTGTTCTCTCACACTTGTTCCAGTTTGCCCCCGCCTCCCCCTGCCCCCGCCACCCCCGCAGTCAGCTCCCCCCCTGTTGTCCGTGCCCACACATTCCTTCACTAGAACGTCCCCCTCTCCTCACTTATTGCTGCCTATATTTTAAATCAGGTCTTTCCAAGTATTCCTTCTAAATCTGACAGCCCTATTCACCTATTTTTTGCAACAACAGATTAAACTGAAACAGTTTTGTTTACATGAATTTTTAAAAGGCACACTTGTTCCTGAGGTCCCCCAAAGCATGTCTGCAGGCTCGGCTGAGTCCGTGAATAACTCTGGTACGACGGGGGTGCCCCTGGGTGGTAGGACCGCTCTGCGGGAGAGAGTGGCACTTCGGAATTTAGTTACTGTATTAAATTGGGAAGGCTTTTTCTTTATTGTTTGACGTCTGTGTTTTGTGAATTCCTTTGTAGAGTTTCTTTGATACAGTAAATACTTTGAAAGAGTAAATAAATATCTCTGGAATTAGGGGATTTGAACCTGTTCCTAAGAATTAACAGTTCTCATAGCTATTATGTATTTTTTTCAAAGTAATAAATGCCATTGAGTTAATCTTTGATCACTTGCGGATTCATTTAGGAGCAACAAGAACATCGTGGTTCACAGCCTTTGGACAGCTTTGAAATTCCTCTTGGTATGTATATGCATGGTCCGTGTAATGCCTAAGTTCAGAGTTAACCTCAGCTTTCTAGAGATCTAGAAATATGTATATAATGATGGGACTAAATTATTTTCACATTATCGTTGACAAGATGGGGGGGTGTTGATGGGTTATGCGGTAGAGTGCTCCTTGACAAGTGATGGCCCACAGGCCAGATCCAGACCGTGCCTGTTTTTGTAAATCAAATTTTATTGAAATGCAGCGATGCCCTTTTGTTTACACCTTGTCTGTGACACCTTTCACACTGCAGCAGGGTTCAGCTGTTGCAAAAAGGCACCACAGGGTTCACGAAGCCAAAAATACTCACTGTCTGGCCCTTCACAGAGCAAGATTGCCAGCCACTACAGTAGAGCAGTGCAATTAATTAGAATCTCAGATAGCACACTGATATATATAAGGCCTGAAAGGAAGTTATGGAAGAACATGCCTAAGGTCAAATTCATCATAGAAAATACACGCACGTTAAAGTAAAAAACAATCAGTTCTGAAAAGATAACCTGCTTATGGATAGTAAATAGAAATAATTTTCTTTCTTCAATTGGTCAGTTTATTTCTTGCCACTGAATGAATGTATGTATACCCCAAGGCTTTCTCCTCGGTGATTTTCACACATGCACCCACAAACACTCCTGGGCACATGAGGCCATTTGCTCTCTTGACTTCAGCTCCTAAATTATTTAGATGATGCTCAGATATACATCTGCCCTCTCTCCTCTTTCTTTTCTACTCTCACCTTAAATTCCACATGTCCAGATTTTAAACTGACATTTTCTGTTGTGATATGGCCATTCTCTTGACTGGTGGAGTCACCCTTGATTCACCTGTCACCTCTCGCCCCATTTCCTCACTTAGCCCCTGACCAGGCCCCTCTCTTTCTCAGTGACATTGTCCTGTATCTGGCCTCTGCATCAGAACCACACAGCTGTCTCCTCACTGACCCTCGCTGACCTGCTGAGCTTCTGTCCCTCAGCTTCTTAATCCACCTGTATTCTCCTTTCCCACTCACTTGTCTTAAAACTCCTTTTTCTTTCTTAATAACTTTTTTTTTTTTGGCCTCTGAAAGGTAATCCATGCTTACTGGAGAAAATTTTAAAAATACACATAGGGAATAAAAAGAATACTTAAATCTCCCGTGATCTTTCTGTCTAAGATAACCAGTGTTATATTCTTTTAGGGTTTATTTTTTTAATTCCCCTGCTCACATGTATCTGCAGATACATTGATGGGTGTTAATACACTGCGTACTAACTGATTGTGCCACTGGATTCCTGTATATAAAGAATACCTCTTCTATTTGTTTATAAATTACTTGTGTTTACAAACTAGTAGTCAGACGATATTCTACAATGTCATTTTTTTTTACAATGTCATTTTTAATGACTGCATAGTACTCCAGTGAGTGAATATTGTGTCATTCCAAACAACAATACTGTATTTTGCTGTGTATAATGTGCCCCCATGTATACTGTACACCCACATTTTTGGCCAAACTTTCAGGAAAAAAATCATTTTAATTTTTAAATTCAATTTATTTATTTATATTTAGAAACAAATCGTATACCACGGTATTTACTTTGCATACAGATATCATTATTGCTTCCTAGAGTTACACTTTTAATTTAATGCATAAACTTAAATAAAAGAATTAAAAACATCTATATAGATCCAGAATTCATACTACCCATGAATAATGTGTATCCTTATTTTCCCCTCAAAAATTTAGACAAAAAGTGCACATTATACATGGCAAAATAGGGTAATTATCCAATTCTTTGACACAAACTGGGTGTCATATAATTAACTCAATTTAATTCTAACACTAATAGAGTTAACACAGATCCCACAGGTTAAGGGCTCAGTCCTAAAAGACTCCCCATTTCAGATACAAGCTGTACATGAGGCCCCAGATATCAGTATTTCTGCCTGGTCAGCTGCAACTTTGGGGGTTCCCATGACCACCCCTTCCAGGTTTGCTGATTTGCTAGAACAGTTCCAAAACTCAGGAAAGGGCTTTATTTATTATTACAGTTTTATTCAAAAGGATGCAGCTCCAGAATAGCCAAATGGAAGAGCTGCAGAGAGCAAGGAGCGGGGGGTTGGGGGCAGAGAGCTCCTGCACCCTCTCTGGTGCCCCACGCTCCCAGCACCGCCACTTGCTCATCATCCCAGAAGCCCCCTTAGCCTTGCTGTTCCAGGATTTTTTAAAGTTTCATTACATCAGTGTGATTGATTACAGCACGGGCCATTGGTGATTGAACTCCAGTGGCGGGATGGGGTGGGGCTGATAGTGGCAGCCCCCGATCACGTGGCTGGTTCCTCTGGGCCAGTCCCACCTGGCAGCTGTCTTGGGGCCTGCCCAGGGGCACTGCATCAGCATAGACTCAGCCGTATCCGAAGTGGCTCACTGTGGATCCTGAGACTCTCCTGTTGCTCAGGGCTGTCTAAGGGCTTAGGGATTCTGAGCCTGCAACCAAGGGCAAAGACCACATGCATATTTTTTTATCGTATTACAACATAACCATAATTGATAATGTCTTATTCTACTTCGTCTCCCTGGGTGATCTTCCGGGGACATCCACATCTAACCCCAAACTCCCATAATAGACTTTGGATTTTGATTCTACTTCCTGCTGAACTTTTCTGCAAGCCCTCGCCTATTTTCCCTCCTTCATAATCCCTGGGTGTGCTCCCCCCCACCCGCCCCGTTACGGGGTGCGCACCACTGCAGCAGCGCCGCACGCTCGCCTCAGTCCAGGTCGCCCTTCGGAGCCACTGTGCACACGCTGGCCGAGGTGGCATGTTCTAGGACAGCACTCCGCCCACCTCGCTTCCCACGTGGCAGGCCCGGGCGTCCTCAGCCAGAAGAGCATCCACGTCTAGGCTGGGCACGGGGTCCCCCATGGTTCTGGTGTTGATTCCACTGAGCTGCCTTTGGGAGCCCACTTAGGTGCGACCTCTTTCAGAAAGTCCCCTTTGGTGATGCCTGTACCTCACCTCCCTTGAGTCAGGCCCTCTGGCTCTGGGCTCCTGGTAATGCGCTGGCTCCTCATTGCTGGCCTCTGATGTCTCGTGTTCTATTTGAGAAATGCTGCAAGGCGATGTCACTACTTCAGCTGGACTGCATTTCATGGCCTCTGTGAGAAAGAAAGCTCTAGAACGTCAGGATGCGAGTACAAATACAGACCCAGGTAACAGGTTTTTTACTGTAATTTAAAAAGTTCATATATTTGCAATGTTTAATATATTTAGACTTTTTCTTGAAAATGATTTAAAGAGAACTTTAAGTTATGTGGTATCAGTGACTCATCCCAGGGTCTTTTCCCCAGCCCTGGTAGATAGTTTACAGGTTTTAAACTTAAAATCAAATTTCAAATTGAATTTATGATAACTTAATACATAATAGAGACATTTGCTCAAAAATGCCATGGACTACGTCTGAAATCAGTAGAAGTAATGTTCTGAATTTGGACTCTTGGTATCGTTAATTGCCTTCCCTGGAAATTCATGTGTAAGATTGAGAGCTCTGGATCTGTGGCTGGTAAACTGAGGCAGGAAGAGAACTAGATTGTGTCCCCTGTGGGAAGGGTGTATGTAACTGTGCCCAGACCGGAGGGACTAAGTGTGGGAGAAGCTATTTGGCATGCCGTCTGGCAGGCTTCTTTGTAAAGATAGTTCTCTGCCCTTTGTGTTGCAGTAATTCTTTTATATATGTGCATGGGACCACTTAAGTGCCTTTTTAAACCTCTAATTTAATATTATTGCAAAATATTTATTGGTATGGTTTCAAAATAATATACCATCATTGTAGAATGGATAATGTCTCAAGCAATGAATCTGAAATTAACTGTAATCACACCACTCAGGAGTATTGTATTGATGTTTTTGCCATTTGTACATTTTACATAGATGTGCACGCACATAGCACCAGTGCACTCCCTCACCATCTGAACTCTCATCGGCCAGAGATCGCTGCCGTTTTCCCTGAGAATTTAACCCTTGATGGGTTCCAGGGTTTGTTTTTTTTTCCTGGTACCTTGGGACACTTGCCATTAGGAAGGTATTCTTCACATATTATTTCATTATTTATTTACATTATAATATTATATTGGCCACAGAGTTCGTTCAGGTTTATGTAAAACTAAAAGACACATTTTTCATTTTCACCCATAATTTCATTGAACAATGTATTCACCATTTTGTTCCACTACCTTCTGCCATCTTTCCCGCAACTTCGTAATTCCATCTTCCCAAAGCTTTCTATCTTTTTGAGCAAAGAACTGTTCAGTGCTTTTGGCAGTCTTCCAGGGAATTGAAATTTTTTTTCCATTGAGTAAGTTTTGTAAAGACCGAAATAAATGGAAATCTGAAGGTGCAATGTCTGGTGAATGCAGTGCGTGAATCAGAACTTCCCAGCCAAGCTGTATGCCTGGTCATCAAAGAAACACACGGTCTTGTGTTGTCCTGATGGAAGATTGTTTTCTGTTGACTGAGTCCCGATGCTCTTCGTTGAGTGCTGCTTTCAGCTGGTCTAATTGGGAGCACTGCTTGTTGGAATTGATCATTAGGTTTTCCGGAAGGCACTCATAAAAGAGGACTTCCTTCCAATTCCACCATTTACACAACATCACCTTCTTTGGATGAAGACCAGCGTTTGGTGTGGTTGGTGGGGGTTCCTTTTGTTTGCCCCATTGTCTCTTCCGTTCCACTTTGTTGTAAAGTATCCACTTTTCATTGCCCGTCACAATTAGCTTTAAGAACAGAATGCTTTTGTTTCAGCGGAGAATCGCATGCAGAAACAATGGTCAAGAAAGTTTTTATCTCAACTTATGTGGAATCCCGACATCAAAGCAATAAAGATGACCTAGCTGGTGTGAATGGTTTTTCAGTGCTTGATTTGGATATTTTGAGTTTGTGGGCTATCTCCCACGTGGTATAACATTGATTGTTCTCAATTAATATCTCGATTTGATCACTGTCAACTTCATCTGGTCTACCCAACCATAGAGCATCGTCCAGTGAGAAATCTCCAGCATGAAACTTTGCAAATCACTTCTGACACGTTTGCTCATTCACAGCGCCATCTCCATACACTGCTGAAGTCTTTTCTTTTTGTGTTTCAACCTTTCTTGAAATAATGCTGCATAACATGTTGAAAATGTCATGTATTTTCTTCCATTTTCATTATTAAAATGGCTACACAAAAATTCACCATTTGATAAGTTTTCTATAAATGCATGCTGATATGACAGCCATCACAATACAATCTTAACAAAATTGTTTTGAATGGAGTTAAGGACAACTAACCGCTCACTACTAGAGCCGTCTTGTGGGAGAAACCGAACGAACTTTTTTGGCCAACCCGATACAGCTTCCTGTAGCATTGAAGATGATCTGTGTCTGGTATGCTCAGCATTATTGCACATCGCACACCAATTAATGGATTATATGAATGTTAGTTAAGAAGTGATGTTTAAAATGCTTTTGATTTGGCGATCCTTGGTGGGCAGGTGTTCGGGGTTGAGAGCTGTTTATGAGGTGTGGGAGTGGCGGCTGGGCTGGGCCAGCTCCCTGCCGTTTGGAACAGCGCAGTCAAACCTCCTGGTATCTGACTGCACGGCGCGTCCTCAGGAGGGGGTTCGGTGTGGATGGCAAGGGCTACCTGTATTTTGTGTCCTTTGCTTTTCACTTTGATGTCTACTGAGGCCCGACATTTTCATGTCATCAAAAAGTACGTTGTAAGCATATTGCTTCTTCCATATGTGCCATAAAAATTTAACTAATTCCTTATTGTTAAATGCATTAATGGTTTCTAGTATTTTTCTCCGATAGATAATGCTTCAATGAGTTATGTTGTATAAGGGCCTTTTTTTTGTCATTGCTGCGATTTAGCTAACTCTTTGAAAGGTTAAAGAAAGGCATCTCACTTTTTTAATTTTTGTTTCTTCCTGAATAAGATTGAGCATGTACAAGCTGTTTGGTGATGAAGTAATGATAATGTGCATTTGAGACATTCTTTTTATTTTAATTTTACTTTTTTTAATTATACATTCAGTCCTTTGTATTAGTTTCAGGTGTACAGCATAGCAGTTAGACAATCACATACTGTACAAAGTGTTCCCCCTGATGCCAGCACCCACACGGCACTGTATGTAGCTATTACACAATTATTGACTCTATTCCCTATGCTGCACTTTACACCCCCGTGACTAGTACGTAACTACCGATTTGTGCTTCTCGGTCCCTGCGCCTTTTTCACCCAGCCCGTAGCCCCCCTTCCCTCTGCCGTTATCAGTTCATTCTCTGCGTCTATGAGTCTGTGTTGTTTTTTTTTTTGTTTATATTGTTGTTTAGATTCCACATATAAGTGAAACCATATGGTATTTTTCTTTCTCTGACTTATTTCACTTAGCCATAATACCCCCTAGGTAGGCCCATCCATTCTGTTGCAAATGGTAAGATTTCATTCTTCTTTATGGCCCAGTAATATTCTATTTTATATATGTACCACTACTTTTTTATCCACTCATCTATTGATGGGCACTTGGGTTGCTTCCATGTCTTGGCTCTTGTAAATGATGCTGCAATGAACATAGGGGTGAATATATTTTTTCGAAGTAGTGTTTTGGGCTTCTTTGGATATATATATACTCAGAAGTGGAATTGCTGGGTCATAAGGCAGTTCCATTTTTAATTTTTTTAGGAACTCCACGCTGCTTTCCCCAGTGGCTGCCCCAGTCTGCATCCCCCCAGCAGTGCACTGGGGCTCCCTTTTCTCCACAGCCTCGCCAGCACCTGTTTGTAGATGGCTCTTCTGGCAGGTGTCAGGTGGTATCTCACTGTGGTTTCAGTTTGCATCTCTCTGATGAGTAGTGACATTGAGCATCTTTTCATACGTCTGCTGCTCATCTTCAAGACGTTAGTCAATGGACCTTTGAGAAGTTCTCTGCTGCTGGCTCTTCTAAAGTCGCAGCCTGTTTGCTAGGGTCTGTTATTCATCCCAGTAGTTAGGCCCAGGAGATAAGGATAATTTCAGATTTTATTATTATTTAATTTTTATCATTAATTTTTAAAAATTAAAATTTTAAGATGTTAGTCTACTTTTTTACCTTTTATACCCAATATCTAAAAAATCTGCATTTATATATTTGACTTTTTTCCGTTTGTGAAATCCTTTTTCTATTTTTTCTTTTGCCTCAAATTTTCTGATTACAAGATAAAGAAGCTGCTTCTCAAGAGACTGTTTCTGAATGTCGTAAAAATGAACAAATCATTTCTTCCATATCAGGTGTGATTTCTTTTTTATTTTTCCTCAGAAAGCATGACTGGTTAAAGATTATGTGTGTATGATGTTAAAATGGGGGTAACTGCCCTCCATAAAAATGCACTTAAACCAATCAATTTATTAGAGATAAAATGATACTTTAAGTATTTCACTTTTCTTTTTTCTAGTGTTTCATGTGGTTTAAATTCAATCCTTGATACCAAGTTTCTGGTACTCAATATGACAATGAGTTATATTTTGCGTATGAAATGTGAAAGGAATGTTCTATTCAAAATAAAATGCTGGGAAATAGAGTCCTAGGACAAAAGGCACAGAGTCAGACTGTCTGCCAACCTCCTGTGACAGGTTTCTTTATTTTACTTTTTAATAAGCTAATGAGTTTTATACAATTTAGATGTTAAACATTTTAAGTGGTAAAATTTAGCCATGGGCTCTGTGAATTTACTAAAAACCACTGAATTGTACTTTTTTTAATGGATGTGATTTGTCTCTCAATTAAGCTATTAAAATTAACAGGTGAACAATGTTGAAAGCTAAGGAGAAATTAGTTACGGGTTAATTTACTAAAAGGTGATTTAATTGAAATTCTCCTAACTAAACAAGCATGACTTAATATTATCTGAAATTAAAATAGGAAATGCAGCATTTCTTGACATGACTTAGATAATTTATTATTCTTGTGACTCAATCACACGAGAAAAGCAGTAGTCGATCTGCATTCGATTAAGGATTACTCTACCCCTGGCTGGTGTGGCTCAGTGGATCGAGTCACTGATTGAGTCACTAATCAGTGAACTGGACTGAAAGGTCACCAATTCAATCCCCCCATTTCCTGTGAGGGCACGTGCCTGGGTTGTGAGCCAGGGCCCCAGCGGGGGATGGGCGAGAGGCAGCCCTCACGCATCACGGTTTCTCTCCCTCTCTTGCTCCCACCCTTCTCCTCCCTCTAAAAATAAAATCATCTTTTCTTTTTTAAAGAATTACTCTAGGGTAAATTATACCTGTGAAAATCTACTTAGATTTTTCAATAAATAACATTATGTTGTTTGTTGCTAACTTGTTATTACTAAGTTAATGACTTAGAGCTATTTACAGATTTTTTTTATATTCCTGATTTTTCTTTTTTAACTTTCAGAATGTGAGCCTTTGAATGTTCCTCAGCCAGCAGCTCCAGATGGATCTGTAAATCTCAGGCTTCCCACTGAAGTGGCAGAAAGACCTTTGTCACCTTTGGCCTCTGATGCGGTACCGAATTTGGTTTGGGTTTTATTCAGAAATTTTAATGATACCTTTATGCTGAAATGTATTACGGCCATCCTCATTCTTCAATGGTATTGACGAAAGGAGGCTACAGATAGTACCTGTGTAGCTTTGCTGGAAGGGTCAAAAAATTAAGATTTAAATATTATGCCTGAAGTATTGTAAACTAAGGTCGTAGCACGTAAACTAAGGTCGTAGCACACGCTTCCTGCAGTTTTCCCTGAAGGAGGCTCCTCTGAGCTCTCCTTGCCTTCGGAATTAAACCTTTTCTAAGGGGAGGGGGCAGGCAGAGCGGCCATGCAGAGGGAAAGAATGCAACCCTCTTTGTCCTGTGGCTCAGGCTGGACACACTTACATAAATGTGATCGACATCGAAGCTGATGAACTCCAGGGGTTACCTGTCAAAGAGCCTTCAGGTGACCATAACATCGAACAGCGCCTGGGAGTCCCGTCTTCAGCAGAGTTGCATTGCCTGGCAGCCTCAGTTACTAATGCTGTTCCCCTGAGCAATTTTAAGAGCCAAGGTAATAATTTTTTCCTACTTTTAAAATAAATTTTAAAAACATTTTGAAAAATTCTTTAATGTAGCATTGTTAACCCTACTTACATCTCCTGGCTCTCCTGAAAATGCACTGTACTTTTGGATGTTTATGTTCATATTTAGAAATATTCTGTAATCTTCCAAATACCTTGTTTAGAAGTTTAGAATCAAATTTTGTATGTCTTTTGTATTCTTGGTAGAATCTGCCAGCTCTGCTGTGGACTCACTTTTTCAACCTGCAGAAGTGTCTCCGTCCCGTCTGGACGGAAGAAGTTGGAGAGTGGGCGTTACAGAAGTGGCGGAGTCTCGCATCTCCCCACCTGCACCATCGGACAGAGAGCAGGGCAGAGGCGAGTGCCTTAGGTGTACAGCTCGACTCTCCCCTGCCCCAGTTACTGCTGTGTTAGAAATAAGCAAAACACGCGGTGATTGCAAAATAATACAGAAAAAGGCTTTTCCCTTGCTAAGGGGATAGGGGACAGGAAGTAAATAAAATAGAGTCATGGGTTCAGTTCTGGGACCCACGGGTATTTTGCAAGGAGAACACAGATACATTTGTGCCTGTGTCTTTTCTCAATTAATGATGTTAGCAATAAATATCCTGTGGGATTTCATGAGCTTTTGGATGTTAAGAAGGAATTCTTATATTTAAAAAGGTAGGAAATTCTGAAATAGCACATAGAAAAAATAGACAGGCATGGTTGCCAACAGTACTTTTTTAAAAAAATGATTTTGTTTATTTTTAAGAGAGGGGAAGGGAGGGAAAGAGGGGGAAAGAAACATCAATGTGTGGTTGCCTCTCGTATGCCCCCTACCGGGGACCTGGTCTGCTACCCAGGCCTGTGCACTTTGGTTTGCAGGCCGGCACTCAGTCCACTGAGCCACACTAGCCAGGGCACTAGCAGTACTTTATTAGTAAAGGACTGAATTTTATAGTCATAAATCAGGTTGCATTATTGTAAAATATTTGAGAGGTTTAATGTTTGCTTGAGTCCCGTGTAGAGTGGTCTAGCTTTTATTGTGTGATGTTGGTTTTCAAGTAGTTTTAAAAAGTCAAAAAGATATTAACGTTGCCTTTTGACAAAGTATATTTTTGTAGCAGAGGGTAAAAGTAACATTCAAACTGCCATGTAATATGGTGGTCTGTGGTCATAGTAACACTGTTACCAAATTCCATCTCTCACAACAAACACAAGTCTCAGAAGTCAAGAAGCTGAAATGGTATTTCTAAGCATATTAACTTAAAACTTATTTGGAAGGGAATGTTATGCTGACTTAAATTGAGATCTTCCAAAAAGTGAGCTCATCAGGATTTACTTCTCCCTCATTATAATCAGTTCTGATATTACCCTTATTAATACTTAGATATAGCAAAGCCAGGTCTTCAACGTGAAGATCAGCGCTCAAAGGCAGACACTGCAGAGACGGATGAGCTGCGGGGTTTCCTCCTGCGGGAGCTGCTGCAGGGCGTCTCGGCTGCGCGTCCCGTGCCCGGCTCTGCAGCGGCCGGCCGGCTGGGGCGCCTTGCCTCTCAGCTCCGGAAGATGGACGAGCAGCTGCTGGCCATACAGAGCATCGCTGCGAACATCGAGCAGGACTTCCCCCAGCGCACGCTGCTGGACCGGCCCTGCGATGAGGTGGACTGTCTTTCTGTCAGTTTTTGTTTACTACTGCATTACTAGCCATGTAGTATGATATGATTTTATACTGATTTTTCAAAAGATTGGGAAATTCAGTTTCTTTAGTCCGGGGTCTCTCACCGTCAGCACTCGACGTTTGGGCCGGATGATTCGTGCTGCGGTGGGCTGGCTGTGCGCCAAGGGCTGCTTGGTCGCGGTCCTCGTCTGTGCCCGCGGACTGTCGGCTCTCCCTAGCCCCTGCTGTGATAACAAAAAATGTCTGCAGACATGGCCAGATACCCCTGCGTGGGAGAGCGGCTGAAGCGCCTCAGCTGAGAACCGCTGCCTGAGCTTTTAAGTGGACCTATGCTTCCTACCAGGAAGAGAAATAGATGAATTATAAAACCAGAATGTGGGTTGAACCAAACCTATTTCCTAATTATCATTTTCTGCAGCAAGATTTTTATAACTTTTTAAATATTGTTCTTATATTTGGAATTCTCAGTTTCTTTTTAATATTTTATACAATGGATTTGTAGTCCCTAGAAGTTCTTTGTATCTTTAAAAAGTATTCATAAGAAGAAGATTAATGTTTATGTGCATTGGTTTATCATGATAGACAACTAAAAAGGAAGTTCCAAATATTAATTTATTACTTTGTACAAATATCCTGCCCTTTTTAAGGAAGTACAATGTATATAAAATAAAGACTAAAGAACAAATAATGAAAATAGTTTGAAAGTGTTAAAACCTCATAGTGAGAAATGCACATTGGTCTCCAGGATAAGAATTCCGTTGTTGACTTACCTAACAACTATTCCAGGTTGCTAGCATGTTGACATTTTAAAGATGTACCTACTAGGTTTATAGTATCTCTTTAATCCAAATACTTAACACACATTAAAAAGTTAAGGGTGAACATGTGAGAAACTACACTGAAAAAATACATGGGGTAAGACAGTAGGCTGTTAGGGGTTAGTCTTCCAAGGTGACTTCTTTGAAGGAAATAGCATCGATTTAAGTGAAAGGTTTGGTTTAAGATGTTATCACCCTTCTACAGAGCGCACACAGGAGCACAGGTTTTGACTTGACCCTTTTAGTTAAGAAGACAGCGTGCAGGCCCGGAGGAGGCGGGGGTACTGTGGACAGGCACTGACTAGGAGCCCTGGAGGCCTGGGTTCAGATCCATGCTCGGCCTCTGAGAAAGTCACTGACTCTCTGGGCCTCATTCTCTCATCTTTAAAGTAAAAGGTTTTGTCTAGATGGTAGTTAACACCACTCCCCATTCTAAAATCCTATAATACTATTTTCCGGGCCGCTGAAAAGGTTGAATCAGTTAAACTGTAAGTAAAAATACCCATTTCTTTCATTGGTTGCATTAATGCAAATGTTTATAACCTACATAAAATTGTTGGCAATATTTTGAAATTATCACAGTATAAAATTCATAACAGTTATTTGTCTGATATGCATTTGCCTATAGGTTGAATCTGTGGATCACATTGAATTGTCTTCTGGACCTGAATCTGGAAAAACATTGGCTTCCAAAATCGCTAGCATTTCCAAAGGAGGTTTGTGGGGAGCTGGGGGAGGGTCTGAGGCCCTACTTTGAAAGAATAAGCATTTGGGAGTGTCTGAAGTGTGGATAGTTCTGTATGTGAGCTGAAGCCATCAGCCGCACCCCCCATCCCCACCGCCACCCCCGGCTTTTAGATTGGGATTATTTTTGCGATAATGTGATTGGCTCCTGCGTCAGGCCTTTCTTCCCCAGACTCTGCTGCCAGAGTTGGGCATTTGGGCTGCTGTTAGCTTTCGGGACCCCACGCGGCCAGCCGCTCGCTGAGGAGCCCGCAGCGCTGCTGCCGCTGCGGTTGTTGGCTGTGTGCGTCAGTTGAGCTGCAAGTTGAGGTGTTGGCTACATGGCTGGGGAATGGTGACATGTTAAGTTTTCATATTTCTTATTGAAAGGATGAAAATAGGGTAGTTATTTTTTAAAAATTTCTACTGTATTTAGTTGTTTATATCTACATTTTCTCTTGGATTTAGTCTTGCCAACAATTCAATGTGTTTTTAAAAAGCAGGCTTTGGAGTTCCCTCTATTGTTTCTTAATTTTCTCTTTCATAAATTTCTGTTCTTAGCTTTATTATTTTTTCCTGCTTGGGGGACTGCTGGTTTTCCCCAACCCCCGTCTCCCTTTTCTCTGCTGCGTGCGTCTGGGGCGGGTGTGTTCCTGAGGGGCCCAGGCAGCTTGTGTTGGCTTGTGCCGTCTCTCAGATTTGAAGGTTTTTGATTTGTATTAAGTATTCTTCTGAGCTCATAAAAGGGTTTTTTAGCTTCCAAATATTACGGGGTTTGAACTATAGTTTTGTGATTTATTTCCACTTTCATCGTATTATGATTAGATGACTATGTGATACGAATTCTTAGATCTACTTACAGGTATAAACAGACAGCTGGCCCTTGGACAACACAGGTGGGAACTGTGCCGGTCCACGTACACGCGAGGTTTCTCGGTGAACACCGCGCTGCTTCTGGCCCGCGGGCAGGGGTCGGGGCCGCAGGTGCAGGGCTGACGGCGTGCATTGCCTCTGCCATCTCACCCAGGGGACTGGGGTGTCTGCAGGTTTTGGTATCGGGGGGGGGGGAGTGGTCCTGGAACAAACACCCCCCATGGATACCAAGGGACAAGTAAGTTTTTGGGGAGTCAGAATCACGCATGGATTTTATTGTGTGGGGGTTGACGCTCCTAACCCCTTTGTTATTCAAGGGCCAGCTGTGTGTGTGCTGTTTTTTGATACTTTTTGTTTTTTGAAAACTTCTTACAGATGTCAAACCTATTTCAGTAGAAGACAAAATAGTGTAATTAACCTTCATGTACCCAACTCTCTTCCCATGTGCCCACCCATTTTTCCCATGTTTCCTGGATTTGAAGCAAATCCCAGACAGAACACTGTTACATTTTTTTTTTCTTTTATTGATTCCAGAGAGAGGGGAAGGGAGGGAGAAAAGGGGGGAAAGAAACATTGATTGGTTGCCTCTTGAATGCACGCAGATCCAGAACTGAATCTACAACCCAGGCCTGGGCCCTGGACGGGACGCGAGCCTGCGCCTGTGGGTTTGCAGGAAGACGCCCAACCTACTGCGCCACACTGGTCAGGGCCCAGACAGTGCATTATTTTATCCATACATATTTGATATGTATCTTCAAAAGATAAGGCTCCTTTATAAACATAGACATATGTTTAAAACAACACTGTCGCTCCTTTAAGATTTAAAAATCTTAATATTGTCATATATCTAATCACTGTTCATATGTTGCCAGATGTCTCATTTTAAAAAATACTTTGTTTTGTTCGAGTTGGAATCCAAGTATAATCTATTCATGGCAATTGGTTCATGGCTTACAAGTCTCCTTTAACTTTGTGGGCTTCCTCGTCTTTTTTCCCCTTGTAATTTATTTGTTGAAGAAACACGGATGTTTGTTTTCAAGGGTATTTCAGAGTCTGATTTTGTTAATTGAGTTTGTTTGATATTATTTAACATGTTCCTCTGTCCCCTGTGTTTTCTGTAAATAAGACATTCTTTTACTTTCACACTGAGTGATTATGTTGTGACTGTGTTCAGCATATAACTAGATTTCATTTTTTAAAATAATTAGATAATTTGTGCTTTAATCATCAACTGTAATCAGTTTCCATTCATGGTAATCACTAATTTACAAGGTTAGGAAAAAGTGGGTTTACAGTGTGTATAGAAAATAATACAATAACAAGTAATAATACAAGATTAAGCTGTGTTTCTTGTACTCACAACTGTAAACCTACTTTTGCCCTACCCTGTATTTGTGTTTATTTCTATAATCTTATTTTGGGCTTCCTATTTACTGTGTATTTTTTCATTTGTCTTTTTTTTTTTTTTCCTTCTGTTGGATTGAATTTTCTTTCTCTCTTCTTTTCAATTATGCATTATAATTTTAATCTCTTAGTGATTATTCTCAAATTTTTAACTTTCATAGTTGAGTTAAAATTTAAGGTGAATGTTCACCCCCCAAACAGTGTTAGAGCTTTTAACACTGATCTGCTCCATCCCATCTTCTGAGTTTTCTGTGTTTCACTTCTACCTTGTTTTTAAACCTCCCATTTATTCTCCCATGTCTTATATTTTTTAAGTCTATATTTCTTTGAATTTACCAGCACATTTGCCATTTTATTTGCCATCAATTGCTTCTCTTTTTAAAAATTGTAACTTAAGTCCTATAAATATGTAAATAAGTATATAAAACCAAAACACAAATTTCATGAAACCGTCCCTACCCATGTTGTGGGACGTTCACTCTGGCATTTTCTGCCTCGGCTATCGTTGCCCACAGTTGCTTCTCACGCCCATTTCTTTGAGGGTCGTTTCCTTTTTCCTTCCATCATTAATTCTTTCATCTAGAGTCTGTGAGTGCCATATTCTTCCAGTCTTTGAAAATAGCTTTAATCTCACTTTCGTTCCTGAGTCCTGGCTTATAGTGGAGTGTAGTATTCTATGTTAATGCTTATTTTCCCTCAGCTTTTTAAAGATATTATTCCATTATCTACTGACACTTCTAATTGCTGAGTTTATACTACCTACTTGCTATCTAATTGCTGTTCTTTTATCTCTGATTTAAAAAAAGTTTATTGGGGGAGGCCTTATTTTGCATTTTTGGGACAGTGTTTCTAGGTGTATATTTCTTTTTATTTATTCTTTGTGGCCGTAGGGATGATTCTTCAGTCTGCAGGCTTCAGGCTGGGAACTTCCCCTCTGTTTTCGTTTGGAGTGTTGCTTCCTCCCCATTCTCTCTGTCCTGTTTCCTAAAACACCCGGGAGAGGGATGTCAGACCTTCCCTCTCTCCTGTCTCTCACTGCATCTTAATGCCCGCCACTTTCTCTCTCAGCGTCGGACTCGGGGCGATTTCCTCAGGTCTGTCCAGTAATTCTCCCTTCTGCCCTCTCATCTTTGCTGTGGGGTTTTAATTTTGGTGACTGTGTCATTCGTGTCTACAAGTTCTGTTTCTTTTTCCGTTCTCTCTGCTCTTTGGCTGGCCTGTCCTGTTCTTCTGCTGTGGTTTACATGTCTTCTTGCGTCTGTTGAGTGACCAGTAATAGTTCATGCCCATTTAGATCACTTTACTTCACGCATGTTCTCAGTTACCGACTCTGCATATTGACTCTTTCATGCCTGCGGCTTTCTTCGTGTCACGTACATTTTAATTATCTTTGGGGGGGTTCTGCCAAGTTGTGTGTGTTTGTCTTTGGAGTGGTTTTGTATTTGCTGTCACTGATGCAGAACATTTTAGGACGAATTTTTGTACCCATTCCTTGGCCAGGAGTGGTTGTGCTGCATCGATGGTAAATTCAGACCCCTCACCTGCCCGTGGCAGGACAGGGGTTTTGATTCCTCAGAGATGACTTTTACTGTCCCTCCATCACTGTGCAGGCAGGCAGAGGACGTCTTTGCTGCTTCCCCAGGGCAGGGGTTTCCTTGTCCCCACTGAAGGGCAGAGGGCCCAGCGGCACTCCAGGCCGCGCCAAGCACTCGGTCCCTGCCCTGCTCTGCAGCTACCGTGTCTCCAGCTCCCCTGCGGGTTCTGCCGGCGTCCGCGCCCACTGACGGCCCAATGTGGAATCTCCTATTCTTTTCTCGCACCAGGGGATTTTTTTTATTTAGAGGGGATTTGGATTGTTGTGTATTAATCACTTTTTAAAAAATTTAGCATTTCTTCTGTTTTTATAATGGGCAGGTGCCTGTCTAGCTAGTCTGCTATGTTTTCTGAAGTTGATAATAAGTGTAGTTTGGTTTATTTTTTGTTTTTTGTTTTTTTTACTATTGGGGACCGTAAATTTTAAATAGCACATTAAATTATTTCATTATACAGTAGAAAGCCATCATGATACATTGCAAACTTCTGATACACCTGTTGCCTCGTGGCTGTCAGCTATGTGGTGTCTCTTCCCATGTGATTTTTTTCCCCTCTACTCTTTTCTTTTAATTGTAATACAGACTCTGCATTAGTGCATTTCCTGACTCATATGAATAAGGAAGATCAAAGTGACAAAGAGCAGACTTTTGAAGCTGAGTTTTCAGTGACAGAAACTCGTTCTCATCCAGAAATCTACGTGTTTCCTTCTGCCGATTCCACTGTCAGCCTCTTCAGTGACCAGAATACAAGTTTTCCTGGTATTCCCCACTTTCTTCATTTCTTATTTTTCAGTATGCCGAAAGATGTATCATAGCAATATACTCTCATTCCTGACTAGTGCTTACTGGGAACATAGTTATGAAGGATTTGTGAAGCCTTTTGCAATATTTATAAATTTTGGATGAAGGAAGTAGAAAAAAAAAATGCACCATTCCCACGAGGAAGTATGTTGTCTTGCCACCTTCATAAGATATACTTACTGCAAGCAAGCACCCTATTGATACTAAATCTATAACTGGAATTACTGAAATATTTGATTTTTATAAAAATTGAGAAACTCAGACTCTGCCAAATAGGGGAACTTGCGTGGTAATTTGAAAACAAACCAACGGCCAGCATCTCCCGAGCCTCTGCCGGGCGCCCGAAGTTGCTGTCTCACGGCCTCATCCCAGCGCAGCCCCGACCGGAGGTCGGTGTCACCAGTGTCCCCGTTTTGCAGTTAAGGATATTGAGACTCAGAAACTTCAGTGCCACTTTCCACTCCATTTCTTTTGGAGCTGGCGGTTCTTTAGTCCAAACAAACACATTTTGGCATGTGGATAATAGGTCATAGTAAATGCAATGGTTGAACCATTGACAGTGGATTTGAGACGTTCTTTCTTATTTTTTTAATGTATTGACTTTTAGGGAAAGAGGGAGAGAAATATTGACTTGTTCTATTTATTGCATTCATTGGGTGATTCTTGTTATGTGCCCTGGCTAGGGATCGAATCCACAACCTTGGCGTATTGGGATGACGCACTAACCAACTGAGCCACCCCGCCAGGGCTGGAAGTGTTTTTTGGCCCTAGATATTGATGGCCAATAATGATGGTTTTACTGAGTGTTACAATATGTTTTGTTACCATTATTAAAGTAATATCAGTTTAAAAAATGATATTTTTAAATGGCATTGCTGTCAATTTTTTTAATTTTAATTTCTTTTTAGACGGGGGCGGGGGGAGGAGGGGAGAAAGAAGGAAACACTGGTTGCCCCTTGCGTGTCCCCAACCAGGGGCCCAACCCGCAACCCAGGCACATGCCCTGACTGGCAGTTGGACCAGTGACCCTTCAGTTCTCAAGCCAGTGCTCAGTCCCCGGAGCCACCAGCCTGGGTGCGTTGCTGTCACTTAAATGAAAGAAAGGCTAAGGAAGCTGTCATTAAGTCATGGAAATATTTTTCTCTTAGTAAAACCATCTTAGGTTTATTCCCCAAATGTTATACTTTTAGACCATCAAAGGGTTTTTTGTGTGTGATTGTTTTACTAAATTGGACTCCTGTATTCTAACCTGTTCTAAGCAAAGAAAGATTGTACCTCTTAGATGGTATTGTTCTGAGTACACTGGATACAAAAGTAATAATCTTAAAGTGTGGACAATACTACCAAGTAGCATATTCAAGAGGAGGATAAATATGCTATACATATGTATCTTTCAATGAATTTAAGGTTTAAAAGTATTTTAATTTCTGGTTATATAATTTCTAAGTCAGGTTAATAACTGAAAACAGAAAAATAACTGACCTGAATTTTTTATTAATAATGTTTCTTTTTTTTTTAAGGTGTGAATAACAGTGATGAGTTATTTGAGAGGTAAATACCTTAAAAATTAATTCACAATTTTACTTAAAGTGGGGTATAAATTATGCATTCTGGAAATTTGGTCATTCAGACGTATTTGAACTTCTACCCAATGTTGTTTTTGTGTGGATTAAAGGAATATAATTAATTCCCATTGGGAATGGGGTGTTTTAAGAAACTGAGGGGTGCTGCGTCTTTTCCTGTTGGGCACAGGCAGTGAGAACGCCACGGGCGGCCTTGGCGCCCCTTCTGCTGCTGCCTGTGCGCTAGGGTTCAGCAGGCAGGGCAGGCAGCGGTTGTCTCCTGGGCCTTGTGTTGCTTTGTTAAGAGCACGTACAAAATCATCCGTTACTGACAACTGGGCTTTTCCACCGAGGTTACTGGAAGTAAAGAGTCGAAGGAACAGCAGATACACCCTTATCATTTGGGCCTGCATTTGTGGTCTTGGAGGCCACAGCGTTATTTGTTTGTTTTTGCTTACTGACTTGGGTTTCTCATTTGCATTTGCAAATGAAGCATGTCGGCAGATCCCCTGGAGGTGACCGGGCTGACTGACGTGGCGGACATCATTGAGGACCTTCTCACAGAGGGCGGCGTTTCCAGGGAGGAGCTGGGCCTCACGGAACAGCAGGCCAGGAGCATCTCCAGGTGATCGTCAAATAGCTCGTTTTTAACCCATTTAAAATGTTTACAATTCAGGAGTACTCAAAGCTAGCCGTATTTTAATGGGATTTTTTTATGAAAGAAATTCAAAGTTTAAAATATTTTTTCCTTCATAAACACATTTTGTGAAGTTATGTATCATCGCTCCCCTCCCCCAACAGAACCCAGACGCATTTGTTTCACTTACATGGCACATCTGTATCGTGTGTGTTTCCCAAAGTGTCATCACTCTAAGTACAACATAAAGTTAATCCTATTTCTTCTTAGAATTGATGATTTAGTTCATAGTAGTTTCTTCTAAATATTAATCCTTGGAATACATTTCAAATGGTCTTACCTTGGAACGTTAGGTTAAAGTGTTTTTCCTTGCAACCTTTTCTGGGCCCAGAACGGGCTCCTGATGGAACACAGGCTGACACTCATACCGGAGCTCCCTGCAGCCCATACGCACCCCGGGCCTGCCCCTGTGAGACACTCGGCGCTGTGAGCCGCCACTGTCCTTCCGTGTCTCCTAGTCATTCCCCATACCTCCTGGGGGGACATGCAGTCTACTGTCATCCAACTTACAAGGCTATTACAAGAAATCGTCCACAAAAAACCCTGCCAGTTTCTACTGATTAGTGAAATCATCCACTATATTAGGACCTCACATCAAGACCATGTAAACCGTAACTTCCTTTTAGTTACCGTCATCACATATAGAGGAATTTTCATACTTTTTTAAAGTTAGTGACCATGTAATTAAAATGTCATCAATAATGCATTAAATGTAAAAAACTGGAGAGAAAATAAAATACGGTTTCTACTCTTGAATGGAGACAGAACTATAAGAAGAGTGATATGAACCCAAATTATACCACTGAGCTATGGGAACTTTGCGGAAGAGAGTCAATCAAGGACAGTTTGACCAGTAGGAGTATTGGAGCTTTATTTCAGAGGATCAGTAGCCATTCACGTGGCTTGTCACGAGAAGAAAGGGCGTCAAGGCAGCTAGCATGTAACAGGCAGGGGGCGATGTCAGTGGGGAGGGAGGAGTCGGGTGTGACTGGAGTGGACACCTTGGAAGGAGAGGGCCCAATGGGGTGCCCCGGCAGCCACAGGACCGGAGGCGCCCGGGGCGGCCCCCCCCGCAGAAGGCTGTAAGCTAGAAATGGGGGCCAGTTAGAATTTCGCTTCGGTGGTCTGGACTTGAGCTGGCTGAGAAGAGAAGGTGTGCGGTAGGTGACGGCATGAGTAAACCTGGAACTTTCTGGAGGAAGAGAGAATGATTCTGTGCTTGGGTGACCGAATTGATAGTGGTTTCTTTTAGCAAGACAGAGATGAATGTCGCTTTAGAACGAAGGTGCCGGGAGAACATTCATTCGGTTATGTTCATTGGTACTTAGTTTTACATCCTCCCAGAAGTAGATGGCAAAATGAGATTTAGATGGTGAGCAAAAGATTCGCATGGAGCAACACCTGTGAGGGGCAAGGGGGAGGTGCTCCGGCAGGTGGAGAGGGCCGTCGGCCGGGAGTGCCGGTGTGGACAGGGCACCCAGGCCCGCCCAGGCGCAGCGGCCCACTGGGACTCACAGAGCTCCACGGCCACACGCACAGCCACAACTTTTATGGCCACAGGAGACAAAGCAAGAGCAGGAAGGGAATGGGGCAAGGAGCGCATGCCAGGGGAAGCCAGGCACATGCGCCCAAGCGTCCTCACAGTGGAGTTGCACAGGACTCGCTCCGTTCCTCCAGCCGCAGGCTGTGACCACATGGGACGAGCTGTGTGCCAGGGGGGCTTGTGTAGACTCGGGGCCCCGACTGTTTACCTGGCTGGCCGGTAGGCGTGCTCCGCCTGGGCCACACCGAGTCCGGACTCCCAGGAGGCAGGAGGTGTTCCGCGTAAAGCAGGTCGCCTGTCTGCGTGGCCCCGTTTGCATTAGGATAGCGCCCTCCTCACATGCTGGGCGATGCGCCTGCCCCAGGTCCCCATCCCACGTCCCTGTTTTCTTGGACTACTCTCTGTACTACTTGAGGGGGCTCTTGTCCTCTGAGAGGCAGAAGCCGAGATGGGGGTTCACGTACTGGGTGTGCTGGGAAGCATGCAGGTGAAGGGAAAAGCCAGAAGCCAGCGAGGCATCAGACCACAGCGCAGCTCTGCGCCTCCCTGTGGAGGAGGGGCGGGCAGAGCGTGGAGTAAGGAGAACCTCAGAGGCTGGTGAAGTTCTAACAGAGCTTCCCCTGGGTCAGTGGTGAGACAGGAAGCCAGAGAGACCCATCAGATTCGTCCTGGGTCTTGCAGGAATGGGCCAGTCCCAGCTTCCCTGTGGACCCGGTCATCGGCTTGGGCCGGCCCCTGGCCAGTGTGCATGGCAGGAAGGAGTGGCCAGATCCAGAGAGCAACAGGCTGGCAGTTACCTCTGTATTGTAAGTCTCGGAAGTGATTGAGAGAGTCCAGAAATAGATTCTAGGTGAAGTCCAAGCAGAACCTTCACAGACGTTAACGTTGAAGCGGTGAGCACAGAGGAAAGGGGCCAGTGCAGGGTGCTGCAGAGAGAGTGTGTAAAGCAGAAAAGCAGAGCCAGATTGTACCAGAGGTTCCAGAGAGTCCAGGAGGATGAAAAGTGCAGAGGCCGCGGGCGACCTCACTGAGATGGCTTTCAGTGGATTTCAGGGCACAGGACAGAGCAAGGTGACTAGAGATCCTACGTGAGTACTCCTTTTTGAGATAGGACAAAATCTGTCCAAATAAACAGTATTTAAAGTCAGGTGACACCCTGCCTATTAAATTTTTCAGAATTCAGCATTCTTCTAATAGACATCCTCGAAGAACTGAGAAGGAGAGAAGAGAGATTCAAGTGTGGATGAAAAGAAAACGGAAGGAGAGGACGGCGGAGTACCTGCACCAGCTGGCAGAGAAGCGGGGCCAGGAACGCGACCCTTTCTGCCCCAGGAGCAACCCGGTACGTGTGCGGCACCGGGGCCTGCGGCTTCGGGCCCGTGGAGTTACCCTGGGATGCGGGCGGGGCCTCCCCAGCAAAATGCAAGGAAAGGAGTAACATGATTTGGATACATTCCTTATTTGACGTGGAAAAGTCAGCAATTTACGTAAGTTAGGCAAAGTTATGAAACTACCTTAACAAAATGTAGCAGGATATCATACAAACCATGTCTATTGAACTATCTTATTTTTTTCTCACCCTATGGCAAGCATTTGAAACACCTGAGGCGGTTGAGTGATTGGTTGACATCTGGATTGTTTCCTTAACTTTCACTGAGTCAGTGGCAGCTGAACACCAGGCGCTGTCTGTGGTATAAAGGCAATTTAAAAATCGATTTTCTATCCATACATTACCTACAAAAAATTTAATACATATAGTCCACTCATGTACCAATGGAACGACACTGTGTGTGTGTTTCCACTGCCCTTTAACTTGGCAGCATTTATTTCTGAGCTCTAACTGCAGACGTCACCATGGCTCGGTCTAAAGGTAAAACCGAGCGCTGTTCCTGTGATAATCACATTACTATGAAATTGCCATTGAGATTATACTTAGATAAATAAAACTTTTTTTTTTATTTTTTTATTTTGGAAAGTGGGAGGGACAGAGAAAGCAAGAGAGAAACATGGATCGGCAGCCTCCCGCATGCCCCCTGCTTGGGGACCTGGCCCGCAACCCAGGCCTGTGCCCTGACTGGGAATCAAACCTGCCATCTTTCCCTTTGCAGAATGACACCCAACTAACTGAGCTGCAACAGTCAGGGCTAGATTACTCTTTGATTACAATTTCTCTTTTACTTTCTAATCTGAAATAAAATAAAACAGCACTTCCATTTTTTTCAGCACCATTAGAGGAACACATTTTGTTAGTGAATTTTCCAGATAAGATTGTCATATTAAAGCACCAAATGGTGCGAAAGTAGATGAACTGTTGTTTCAAGTGTGTAGTTTACTTAAACTCTGTCTTGAGAGAGCATGTTGATGTCAACAGAACACTTTGTCGAAGCTGTAGGGACAGGGCAATGACCTTCAGGGCCCCTTAGGTGCAGAACCGGAATCGTAAAGCACACGTGTGTCTGTGGGCGTTCCGCCACGCCGTGGGGGGTGGGTCTGATATCCCCTGCCCTGTCAGCTGAGCAGACACCCAAGATGGGGAGAGTTGTGCCCAAATTCAGAACAAATGGTCCCTGAGGACACAGGGACTGTTGGGTTTATAGACTTTGTGATGTGGCCTTCAGGATTGCAGGCGATGTTTCTTTGGTTTTAGCTTTTAGTTGGGTAAAGGTATGGGATTAGTGAGGTATTCATGTAGTTAAAACTTCATTTGAATTTCTATAAAAAATCAATAAGGCCTTTAATTTGTTATGGACAAATATATAGAATCTTGAGAAAGTTCACTTCTGTGTGCACCTTTTTATCTACGCAATTTGGGTGAAAAGACTTAACTTCATTAGTGACTCAGAAGTAACTCATGATGTTCTGGAATAAGATGTATAGCTTATTGCTAGTTTACCTCATGATGCATAAGTTTTGAAGAGTTTACTACTCACAGCAAACTCACTGCATCAAGTTTCTGGTGAACATTTTAAAACATCAGAAGGGTGGTTTTAAATATTGGGCTCATTTCTACATTGTCTTGGTGCAATTAACCACAAGACTGAGTACAAAGTATAGGAGCTCTGTCCTTAAAATGTTCTTATTTTCCCTGCAGCTGGTTAGGTTCTTTCCTTTCCAGGAAATACAGGAATTTAGCTACTGAAATAGATTTTGCATTCCATTTATTGAACTGGATTTTATTTAATTACATGATGCTTTAACATTTTCATGTTTTGCGCTGGGGTCAGAAGCTTCATCAAATGTGACAGTATCTTGCACTCTTTCTTAAATAACAGAATTATATTTTAACCTGTTAAAGTCGATTAGTGGAATTTTAATGTTTTCCATGGATAATAATGGTTTATTGTTTGTACTGTACCATAGTGAACTAACTGGGTATTTCCTGTGCAGTTTTACCTGACTTCGCGGGAAATCAGGCTGAGACAAAAGATGAAGCATGAAAAAGACAGGTGAGCCTGGTGGCTGCCCCCGCGCGTGCCCTCCAGCGAGCTCACCTGAGGCGCAGGCAGTGCCTCGGTAGTTCTCGTTTCCACAGAAGCCCCTTTTTGTCAATTATGGGAGGTGACTGCAAGAAAAAGAATTAAACTCCACCAGCCTATTTAGGAATTTGCTTTCAAATAGTATTTATGCCATTCAATTTTATGATGTTCGTTTCTACTACTACCTGTGCTCCCTGTTCCAGTCCAGGTACGTGTATGCATTTTGAAATTACCCAAAGGCTGGAACTCCAGGTACTGTTAATAATAATACTGCCAGGTAGATTTCAGACAGATGAAATATGACACTACATTTGAAGTGCATTTGAAAAGTACTGAAAAAACAAATACGAGGTGGTCTTCAAACACTATGTTCCTTCTAGAAATATGAAAGGGACTCTTATTAAATGTTCTTTAATTCTTTCTTTAAAGATTGCTACTCTCTGACCACTATAATCGTCGAATCTCACAAGCATACAGTCTGATGAATGAACTGTTATCTGAATCTGTACAACTACCAGCTACTGCACAGAAACCATTGCCTAAAAAACCCAGAACTGCCCAAATTTCCAGACAGCAGCATTCCTTCTCTCCAAGAAGGTAAGTTAAGGTCTGGCATGTCATCTGGCAAGGTGATATCAAGTGTGATAAGAAAGGTGGTGCTTTTGTGACCCAAGTTCGCTGTATCTGCATCTGCCCTGTTCAGAACTGTGATGTTAAAGTGAAGGAAAACATGGTCCCTAATTGTGAGGTCTTTATAAGTGTATAAAATTACCAAGGAAAGAGACAATGGCATTAGATCTCTAAGCTGGAACAGCACTTCAGCTTACCTAATGCAGTTTTGATATCCATTCAATCCTTTTTGTCACTTCTGTAGTTTTGCTTAATATTTCCTCCTGTAATTTGCTCTCCCCTTGGCTCCACTTCTGCGGAAACAGTTCCCATCAGCTACCACTCCTTACCCCGCCATTTCTTCCTACACGTCCAGTAGTTGCTGACTCAACTCTAGATACTGTTACGTAGTTCTTCTTAAATGAATGACCTGCAGAAGGTTTGGGTATGAGTTCATGTGGCAGGAGTTAAACAGAGAATGACAAAGGAAAGTACCCAAGTGTAAAGTTTCTTACAAACACAAAATTATATTTGTTGGTGATTTATAAGGTGAGCAATAATAGGCAGTACAGTGTTGTTAAAAATTCCTACCTTTGACAAATTAAGTGGTTAAGATTATCATCACATAATTGAAGAGCCTAGAGGAAATGCTACCCAACACAGTGCGACGCGGTCTGATCCCCTGTGTGTGTGAGATTTGCGGTGCACTCAGAATACCAGGTACCTCTTGAATCTTTTCTAGAATAAAGCAGGGTCTTAGATACATAAATAACGGCTAAATACATAGAGAATTTGAAACAGAGAACAAAAATAGTATCTTTGAAAAAAACAAATGAAGTTTGAGATACGAGATATGAGGAATAATTTGTTCAGTTACTATACTATAAATGTATCACTGAGGAACAGAATAAGTGACTATATTCATCTGAGGCAGGATTTGGGCTTTTTCAAATATTATAGTTTCATCACTGATAGGAGATTCTAGGAATATATAATAATAATGTAATTTCTACTTCAGAGAGACTCCACATGGTCACAGTTTTCCAGTAAATCGACCTGGAAAAGCCAGGAACACACCCAAGCCAAGTTACAGCCCCACAGGGAGGCCTCTCGGGCAGCCTCGGGGCTCGCCGTGGCCGCGCGGTAAGGCTCGCAGCTCTTTCTGTCTTGTGTAATTTGGACCTCTTCCTTCTTGTCTACAAAGTTGTATTTTCATTCATAAAAGCTGTAAATCTTAGTGAAAAGCAATTCTTATTTCAGTAGAATTCAAGAGATGCATAAAGACTTAGCTATACTGGGATTCATTCTGTTGCTTTGAAGTAAGAAGAGACCCTAGGAATCTTTTCAAACAAATGGCCTTTTTGTAAGAGTGTGAATGGTCAGTAAACTAGATAAGGACTTATTTGAGAATCTGTTTCTTTTCTGGGTTTGGCTAAAGAACTTGACTTCTACAAGTACAGTTCTGCAGGGATGTAAAGCATAGCCAAGGGTATGCGGTCTGTAGTATTGCAGTAATTACGTGTCGTGCCAGGTGCGCACTCGACTTACGGGGGGAGTCGCTTCGTGAATTATATAAAAGTCTGATCACTATCTGTATACCTGAAATTAACCTAAATTAATGGTGAATGTCAACCATAATTGACAAAAAAATGTTTTGGCAGATTTCAGGCTGAATATATCACAGAAGAGGAATACTAAGAGACTCAGAGTAAAATAATACCATGTTTTTACCCTTTGAATGTCCTTTCCACATTTAAAGATAGATGTGTTCTTTATTGGTAGTTTTCCTTTGAGTTTTGCCAGAGCGGAGTTTAAATTACTAAAGTAAAACATGCTTTTGTAAAACAGTTACACATTAAAATGTATAATCATAGCTGACATGTAGTATACATGTATAGAGCTAAAAATGTATAATAACTATAACGTGCCAGGTAAGCTCCTAATGACGGCCCTCTGAGAGCGGCGCCAGTATGTTCCCATTTTAAAGATGAGAAAACCAGGGCAGAGAAAGCTGAAATAAAACTTCTTAAGCTCAGACAGGTAGGAAATGGCAGCACCAGGATTTAACACAGTCAGGGTCTAGCGCCTACACGGCTAGAGCCACACTTCACCGAGCTGTGTCAGATTAGAAAATTGCCATTTCCAGAAATTCCAGTCCTTCTGATAAAACTGCATGGTTTGGGTCCTCTTGGTTTTGACTGATAAGTTACAATAATACTATTCTTTTTAAACTAAAAATTCGAAATAATAACCATGTTTTCTCTTTTAAAATTTTATTTTATACCTGATACATATTTCAAAATTCCAAAATATTAAAAATTGGCAAGGACTTCTTACTGTCAGATGGACGAGCCTTGGGAGATGTGGCAACACGCCTTTCTCAGGCCTGTCCCCTGTCAGACCTGTGTTGTCACCGTGCGCTTCCCCTGCGCTGAGGCCTTGACCCTCTGTGGACCCCTCCCTTGCCGGGCTTGGCTTGCTGGGTGCTCCCGCTGCTCCCGGTCCCAGAAGTTCTCAGTGGCCACCCCCCACCCTGGACTCCTGCAGCTGGTACGTCCTTTCCCTGTCCCTGTCCCGGCAGGCGGTTGTCCCCATGCAGTCCAGTCCCAGGCTGTGCTTCTGTGCAGCCTCCTGCTCCGGCCTTGAAATTCTCCCTGACACCTTGACCGTGGCACCTTTGGGTCTTGGAAGAAGACATCCCTCATCACAGTACCTCAGCCCTTCCGCCCTTGATAGAATGATTTTGACACCCATGCTTTCATTTTTAAATCGGGGCTCATGCCTCACTCTCGTCGTGGCTCTGAGTAGTAAGAGGTAAATGGTAGCAGTGTACCTGAAATCGTCGTTTTGTTTTCAGGTCTCTGAAGCCTCAGTCACATGATCCATTCCTCCTGAGGCAGGTCTTCCCTTGTAGTTGCTTGTCATCTCGGGTCCCGTGCCTCTTCATCTCATATTCACAAGGGACTTGCAAACACTCTGCCTCCTCCTGGTCTAGAAGTGCCTTGGGGTGGCTGCTGCCACATCCAGGATGCAGCCGTTCCCCCGGGTGTTGTGGGGACCTCCCTGGGCAGTGGCACAGATAGGGAAGTAAGGATTCATTGAGATTTTAAAATTCACTGCAGTTCATCTGTGAAAGAATAGCTTTTCTGAAGATACCTGTGAGTTCGACAATACATTGCTAACTATCTTGTCAAACAGTGTGCAGTTTTCTTGCTAATTTCTTCAGCCCTGTTTGCAAACTGTTATACTTTGGTTTGTGTTTAGTTCTATCAAAAACAACGTAAAGGCTGTATGATACACAACTAAGGGGCGTCACCAACAGAGACCAAGGTCTAGCCTTGGGACCATCCGGGCCTCTGTCCCAGCTCTGTCGCTCACTTTGTGCCCTCAGTTGTGTTATTTAAAACCTAACCTCATCGAGTTGTTGAGGATTATAACTAAAACATTTTGCATAACCTAAACATTAAATGTTGCTATTAATTCTGGGATTTAAGAAACCTTGTTAATCATTCTCTTGGCAGGACTTAACTGGGCATTGTGCCCAGGTGTTCACGGCTGAGAGACTCCTGTGCCCGACTTGCCCGGTGGCCAGAGGCGTTGTCGGAGCGCGCTGGCCACAGGCGTGTGATCAGGATACCAGGTCTCAAAGCAGAGTTTGCCAGCCGCCATCTGCACTTTGGTCTTGCTCTCTCGGTTCAAATCAAATCTGTCTGCCAGGTTTCTGTACTCAAAGGTCTCACAGGATGATGTGTGAACAATCGTGTCTTTTTGTGTCTTTGCAGGAACTACCACTGTTACCCAGAAAAAAGCTGGGGGAGCCAGAGTGGCCGTGCGGAAGGCTGTGCAGTCTCCGATCACCTTCCACAAAGGTAGGGAGTGAGTGAAGGACAGGAAGTTCCTGAATTTAATACGAAACCTTTAAAGGTCATGGAACACTCTTAGAAATTTCAAATACAGGTTTCAGAATGAAAAGGTTAGCGTTGTGGGTCAGAGAAGAGGCTGTGGCGGAAGCCTGGAATCCCAGTTCGTTGGCCACTGACGCTTTAGCCTGGGGCGGTTCCGTCCACCTGAGTGAGCATCAGTGCTGTCCCCAGCAAACAGGTGGGAGACGGGCTGGCCCCAGTGCAGAGCGGAGCGCATGCTCCGGAAGGTGCTGCGGTGGCTCAGCTGCAGAACACACAGACCCATAAGTTTAGGCCTGATTCTGCTCCATCTTTGGATACTTACTCAAATTAGCCATGCTCTGATCAGCTGGAGAGAGGGAAGTCATACCAAAGGATCCTAATTTCTAACGTCTCCCCTGAGCAAACCCCTCACCCCATGTTCCTCCTCACAATTTAAAAAGCACTTTGACATTCCTTCTCCTGTTGGCCTGTAACAGCCCTCAGACCGAGTAAGGACCAGGCCCTAAGACACTCAGGTAAGTTCAAGGGACTGAATGTAGGTGAAGCACTTAGCCCGTAGTAGACGCCAAAATGAGTGCTGCTGTTACTATTTGGGAGGGTCTCATTTCTTGGCAGTACCCTTACCTATAAGTGTATGAGGTTGGTAAAGCTGTAAACGGCCAAACTTCACCACAGTGTGAACTGCCGTAGATTTGATGATAAAAGTCACAATGAAGAGCAAACTTCTAAATGCAGCAGTCCCAGTGTACGCCTTATTCTCTTCCCTCAGAAGCCCCCGCTGCTCCTTGTGGCGGCCCACAGCAGGCAACAAGGCAGGGGAGCGCGGGGCGCGCCCCTCCCACCCAGCGGCCAGGGGCAGAGGCGGGGCGTGGGGCGCCGGCGCGGGGGCCCTGGCCGGAGTCCTCGGCTGGCCGGCAGGTTCTTCTCCGAAGCCACAGCCCCCTTCTGCGGGTAAGCCTTGCTCCGGCCTCGGTTTGCCTGATGATTCCTCTCTCCTCACGGGTCTTTGGGAGCGGGTCGGGGTGGTTTGCTCGTTTAATTTGTGTTTTTCTGTGGGATGACGATATACAGAAAGATGATTAGGTCAGTTTGATGTAGAGATTCAAAGCAACTGCTACTCAGCGTTTATCTTTCAGAATTTTCTGTGACTTTGTATTTTTATGGAAAAACACCACCACAGTGCAAGAACACGTACTTGCACTGCAGGTGTAAAAATCCATTCGGACCCTTCAGATCCGGTGCCACCATCTGGTTGTCGGGTGACGTCCAGCTCAGGCCGACCAGGATGTGCTGGGCAGCTGCAGCCCTGCCTCCCTCCCTGTTGCCTTCCCCATTTGGTGAATGGGCGCCTCTGGAATCTTTGGTTCATGTTCCACTGATTTCTTTCTCAGGTTAGGACGGCCCCTCACTATCTTTCTCCACTTGACAGGACTTGCTACCAGCGGAAGAAGAGCCAGAGCCTCCCACTGGGGTGGGTGGCCTGGACAGCATGTCTGAGAGCACCGGCAGCATCCTCAGCAAGCTGGACTGGAACGCCATCGAAGACATGGTCGCCAGTGTGGACAACAAGAGCCCATCTGTCCGCTGGGCCCTGGGTCTGTGAGGCCTAAAGAGCACCCTGGGGCTGGCTCCTCCGCGGTGTAGTTCCGAGGGACGTGCGGGTTTAGGGGAAAGAAGTGATGTCAGTCTACCACCTGCAGCCATGTTATTACCTGGATAAGCCATTTCAAGAGGGAAAATAAACATTTCTCAATAATTTTGCCTTCAAGGGAAAGGGTTTTTTTAACCACAGATGTATTACATGTTTTTGCAGTTGATTATCTAGCTTTAGGCATAATTTTTTAAGTGATGAAAAATAAAACATACGTTTAAGTCAAGTTTGCATGAAATTTTGCCTCTTCTTTTACTTCCCCCTGAGTTTGAGGAAAAAACCTTATATGGGCAAGCCTGATGGGAAAAAGAAAGGAGAAGAAAATCACAACTATCTGAGACACTCAATAATGAACACCATTTTAAAACATATTCTAAAATTTACCTGTGCAGGGCTTGGCTCAGGAGTGAAAAGAATATACCTTCCACCCATCCTGAACTTGCAGAAGAAACTTTCATGTAGGCCAGATCGGTCCTCTGCCTGAAGAGCCATGGAGGAAAAACAGGGTCAGCTGCTTTGGGTAGGAAAGAAAGGGAATACAACTCCTGACTCCAGAAGGATCATGGTAACTGTAAAAACCGTGGAACCAGAGGACTTCTGGTCAAGATGGCAGAGTAGGTAATCACTGGGCTCACCTCCTCCCATAACCATAACTGAATTATAAAACAGCCATCACCCAGAACCATCTAAAGACTAGCTGAACAAAAGTCCTATAAGGATATAAAAGCAGCAGCCACGCTGAGGCTGGTGGGAGGGAAGAGAGATCTTGGCTCCCATACCAGGAAGGGGGCATCCCCATTATATCTGGCTGAGAAAGCCTGCGGGGGTTGCATCCATGTGGGACGGAGGCCTGCTGGAGACCGGGGCACTGCAGGGTCCCCATGCAGACTTACTTGTTCCGGGGGCCAGTGCGGAGGCAGCAGCTTGAAAAGCACCAGGTATATACAGGGAAGCACTAAACTGATTAGCGCTTGGGCAAGGGCTGGACAGGAAGGGTTAGGACAGCTCTCTCCAGGGATGGAAGTTGTGACAAGCGCCATTGTTCCTTTGTTGAGCCCTCCCCCAACCTAGCCAACCCAGCCAGCCCAGCGCAGGCAGTTGACAAATCTGAGCTTTCCATTTACCTGGTCAACACTGACGCCAGTGGCTGGCCTTGATAGACCATGTACCTCTTGCCAAGCTACTCCAAGCCTGGCATAAGCAGAGGCCAATTTCAACTTACCTTTTAACTCCCATCAAGTAGCCACAGGTCAGCACAGGCAGTGACCAGCCTTGGCTTGGAACGCAGCCTCAAGTCAGTGGCAACAAACCTGACAGCCAGCCTTGGTTCACAGGATAGACTCTACCAAGCACAGCATAAGCAGCAACCAGCCTCAGATAGTCCTGGAGCATTTACCAGACAGCCCCACGGTGAGCGCAGGTGATGGCTGACCTTGGCCTGCACTGGAGCCCCTCTGAAGAGGCTCCAGAACCAGTACAGCTGGTGGCCAGGTTCAGACCACACCAGAGCACCACCCAACCAGCTCCTCAAACCACACATCCAAAGGACACTTGGCTGGCACGAGAGCCCCGCTAAAGCACCTCCTGCCCCCCAGGGTCAGCCCCAGCACAGCAGCTCATGAGAGGCAGTGGTGGCCAGCCCCCATAGCCAGTCAGCCTGGTGGTCAGTCTCACCCACTGAGGTGCCAACTGCAATCAAGGCTCAAGTACACCAGGCGAGCACACACAATCCATGGGGGTGGTGCACCTGGAGTGCCCAGCTTGGGTGGTCAGGGAGACTGCGCCACTGGGCCCCACAGAACACCTACTACATTGGCCCACTCTGCCAAGGACAGGAGGTATAGCAGATCTGCCTAATATACACAGAAATGAACAGGGAGTCCGCCAGAATGAGGAGACAAGGAACATGTCCCAAAATGAAAGAACAGGACAAAACTCTAGAACTGAACAAAATGGAGACAATCGCTCAGATGCAGAGTTCAAAATACTGGTTATAAGGATGCTCACTGAATTTAGGAGAAGAATGGATGAACTCAGAACTTCAACAAAGAGATAGGAAACAAAAATGGAGATAGTAAACAAAAAAACTAGTCAGAAAATGTTACAGGGAATCAATAGCACCTTAGATGAAGCAGAGGACTGAATCAACAATTTGGAAGATAAGGAAGCAGAAAACACCCAATTAGAACAGCAAAAAGATAAAATAATTTTTAAAAATGAGGATAGCGTAAGGAGCCTCTGGGACAACTTCAGGCATACCAACATTCACAGCATGAAAGTGCTGGAGGAATAAAAGAGAGAGCAAAGAATTAAAAACCTACTTAAGAAAATAATGATGGGAAACTTCCCCAACCCAGTGAAGGAAATAGACATACAAGTCGAAGAAGCATGGAGAGTCCCAAACATAATGAACCCCAAGTGGGCCACACCGAGACACATCATAATTAAAAAGCAAAAGGTTAAAGACAGAATCTTAAAAGCAGAAAGAGGAACACATGCTTACAAAGGAGCTTCCATAGACTGTCAGCTGATTTCTCCACAAAAACTGTGCAGGCCAGAAGGAATTTGCACAAAATATTCAAAGTGTTGAAAAGCAAGAGCCTACAACCAAGACTACTCTACCCAGCAAAAGTATCATTTAGAATCGAAGGACAGAGAAAGAGTTTTTCAGACAAGGAAAAGCAAAAGGAATTCATCCACTCAACCAGCATTATATGAAATGTTAAAGGGTCTACTTTAAAAAGAAAAAAATATAAAATATATTAATAATTAAAAGGACCCTGGCTGGGTAGCTCAGTTGGTTAGAGTGTCATCCCAATAAGCCAAAGTTGTAGGTTTGATCCATGGTCAGGGCTCATACAAGAAGCAACCAATGAATGCATAAATAAGTAGAACAACAAAACTGGTATCTCTCTCTTTCTCAAATCAATAAAAATTTAAATATGCAATATAAAAAGGCAATAAATGTATATATCAATCACCAATTACTTTAAATATCAAGTGATTAAATACTTCAATCAAAAGACATAGGGTGGCTGAGTGGGTAAGAAAACAAGATCTTTATATATGTTGTCTGCAAGAGACTGACTGACTTCAGATTGAAAGACCCACAGGCTGAAAGGGATGGAAAAAGATATTTCATGAAAATAGAAACAAACAAAGAAAAAAAGCTGAGGGTAACAGTACTCATACAAGACAAAAGGAACTTTAAAACAAAGGCTATAGCAGGACAAAGAAGGACCCAGCAATTCCACTTCTGAGTATTTATCCAAAGAACCCCAAAACACTAAATCAAAGAGATAGATACATCCATATTTTAATTGCAGCATTATTTACAGTAGCCAAGATATGGAGGCAACCTAAAAGTCCACTAATAGGTGAGTGGATAAGGAAGAAGTGGTGCATATACGCAACAGGATATGGCTCAGCCATAAAAAAGAATGAAGTCTTGCTGTCTGCAACAGCATGGGTGGACCTAAGGGTGCTGTGCTGAGAGAAATAAGTCAGAGAAAGAAAAAGACCATATGATTTCACTTGAAATAAGTCAGAGAAAGACAAATGCCATATGATTTCACTTATATGTGGAATCTAAAAGCCAAAATAAATGAAGAAGCAAAACAGAAACAGATTCATAGATATAGAGAACGTTCTGACTGTTGCCAGCTGGGAGGGTGATTGGCGAGATGGGTGAAAAAAGGGACGGGGTTAAGAAATACAAATTGTTAGTTACAACATAGACCTGGGGATGTAAAGTACAGCATAGGGAACACACTCAGTAATAGTGTAATAATGATATGTGGTGTCAGATGGGCACTAGATTTATTGGGGTGATCACTCCACAAGTTATATATATGTCTAATCATAGGGTTGTACAGCTAAAACTAATATTGTATGTCAGCTGCAACTGAAAAATTATTTTAAAAGAAAAACAAATTAAAAAAAACAAAAAAAATTTATTTGAATATTATGGAACTTGTTTACTTTGAATAGCAATACAATTAAAGCATTTCATTCTTAAAAAAAAAACAAATTTTAAATGTAAATGGACTAAATGTTCTAATCAAAAGACACAGGGTGGCTGAATGGATAAAAACCAAGACCCAAAAGGGCTAAACACAGTCTCTTCAATAAATGGTATTGGGAAAACTGGACAGATACATGCAAAAGAATGAAACTAGACCAATTAAAGACAAATATAAGACCTGAAATCATAAAACTCCTAGAAGAAAAACACAGGTAGTGAACTTTCTGACAATGCCCTCAGTAATATTTTTTAGATATGCCTCCTAGGGTTTGGGAAACAAAAGAAAAATAAACCAGTGTGACTACATCAAACTAAAAAGTGTTTGCACAGCAAAGGAAACCATCAGCACAAAGAAAAGACGACCTATTGAATGGGAGAACATATTCGCCAATGATACATCTAATAAGGGGTTAATATCCAAAATTTATAAAGAACTCGTACAACTCAACACCAAAAACAAACAACCCCCCCCAACAGTTCAGTTAAAAAAAAGGAGCACAGGACCTGAATAGACATTTCTCCAAAGAGGACATACAGATGGCCAACAGACATATAAAAAGACGTCGCTAATCATCAGAGAAATGCAAATTAAAACTGCAATGAGCCCTGACACGTGTGGCTCTGCCGGTTGAGCACCATCCCGCACGGTTAGAGGTTGCCAGTTTAACCCCCCGTCAGGGCACTTGCTTGCGTTGTAGGTTCAGGCCCCAGTTGGAGCACGTGTGGGCAGTAGCCAACTGACGTTTCTCTCTGACTTTGATGTTCCTCTCCCTCTCATCCCCTCTCTAAAAATAAACTCACTCTTTAAAAAAACCCACAATGAGATATCACCTCACACCTGTCAGAATGGCTATCATCAATAAAGCGACAAGCAGCAAGTTGTCAAAAATGTGGAGAAAAGGGGACCCTTGTGCACTGTTGGTGGGAATGCTGATTGGTGCAGCCACGGTGGAAAACAGTATGAGGTTCCTAAAAAATTAAAAATAGAATTCTCACATGAGCCAGGATTCCTGCCTCTGGGTATTTATCTGAAGGAATCCAAAGCACTAATTTGAAAAGATATAGGCATCCCTATGTTCATTGCAGCATTATTTACAATAGCCAAGATGTGGAAGCAATGTAAGTGCCCATAAATAGACGATGGATAAAGATATGATTCATACATAC